AATTTAATCTTCAGACGTTAACACTATTATTTAACAAAATATATACCACTGGAATCTTCCCAGAAGACTATCTTAGATCGACATTTATACCTATATCCAAGAAAAATAAAGCAAATAGATGCTCACAGTTCAGATTAATTAGCCTGATGAGCCATTTTCTGAAAATTTTACTCAAAATTGTACATCAAGGAATATACAGAGAATGCGAAAGAAACCTGAGCGACAATCAATTTGGATTTGGATAAACATATAGGACCAGTACAAAGATTCCAGTATCTTGGTTGCTGGATAACAAACGATCTTGACCACTAGGTCGAAATACGTGCTCGTATAGAATATGCTAAGTCCGCATTTCAGCCAATGAAAAATTCCTAATAAACTTTACGTTATCGTTGGATATCCGACCAATTTGTAAAAACGTTTATTTATTCCATATTGCTATACGTAGTGGAAACATGGACTCTCGGAATTACAAGTATGAGGCGTATAGAAGCCTTTGAGATGTGGGTGTTTCGAAGGATGCTGAAGATCTCTTGGATAGAGCACGTGACCAACAACGAGGTGCTAAGAAGAATGGGTACTGAGAGAGAACTCCTAAATATTGTAAAAAACAGAAAAAGAGTTATCTAGAACATATTTACAGAGGAGAAAAATACAACTTCCTACCCTTATAATGTAAGGGAAAGTGGAAGAAAGAAGAGGTCCAGGAAGAAGACAATGCTCCTGGTTGAAGAATGTAAGAGACTGGACAGGCATGGACACACATTCGATAATAAGAACAGATTAAGATAGAGAGCCATTTGCTGTAGTTATACCCAGCCTTCAGTAATGGAGAAGGCACCTTAAGAAGAGGGGTAAAAACACTACCATCAAAAATGTGTTGTAGCCACCATGGGCTGTTGTCTTACAAGATCTAGGTCAAACATGTCATCTTTGAAATAACACAACCAATAACAAAATCTTTGGTTATACATATTTTTAAAATATGTATATGGTTATACATAATTTGTACAAAAAACCTTTTTTTTGAAAACAATTTAAAGAATAGAAATCGTTAGGTCAAATATTAGTTAATTAAAAATGTGATTTTCATCACAATCACAACCAATAATTGTGGCTTAATCCCATAAAAACATAATATTCACTGCCACAAGAAAGTAGTTTCAGATCCTTGAAACATCAATATCTTAATTACTTTTAGTTGTAGAAAAATAAAAAATGATGGACCATTTTTAGCAGAAAAATACTATATTTTCGTATTAGTCTATATGTTTCATATTTCTGTTAGTTTCACAGTAATTTTGAAAAAATGGAAAAAAATTTTAAACTTCAAAAATTTATTCAATACTGAATTGAAGTTTTTTTCAAATTTAGGTATTTTGAACTGGTTAAAATTTTATGACATGTTGTTAATACATAGATAAAGCTAATTCTACGTGGAGTAAAATTAATTTTCATTTTTGTGGAAAATACAATCACCTAATTTCTTCGTTTTTTAATTAGATCGTATTTTTTGTAAATGACTCTGGTGTTTTCCATCCTTATCACTTTAGCTTAGTTCATTTAAAAGATATTATTTAAAAAAAATTATTTAAAAAGTTTCCTTTATAACAGGTATATTAGTAAAAAAACCTTAGCGGGCTACTTCACAGAACGATTAATATACCTTATATAAAGGAAAAAGAAATTTTTTAAATAAAAATTTTTTGTGATACAGGTATACAGCCAACTACAGCAATTTAGTTTCCTTGTGGACTTTTAAAAGCATTGTAAGCATTAATTTTGTTTTTGAAAATCCTTTTGATTTGTTATTTTGAAAAGTTTATTTTTGATTCATATGGCTTTTTGGTTAAAATTTACTGTTGCGAGTTATTTTTGAAAAACCCCATTTTATGAAAGCAACAATTTCAAGCGTGAATAACTTGGAAATATTAACTAATCGAGAAAAGTCTGTATAACATTTTTTAGTATGAATTGAATTCTCTATCGATTTCGGGGGTTATTTAAAAGGTAAATATTTCCACTTCCTAGAAAGTATAACTTTTTTCTTCCTGTATAACTTTTTTCGTTTCCTATGTGTATTTTAAATTTAATGTCAATCGGCGAGGATTTTTGGAACTGTGAGGTTTTATAATATTTTATAACCCGACAAGCGAGAGCTGGCGGGTTGCGCGTAGAAGAAATTGAAAAGTGTTCACCGTTTAAGTCATGTACATCGTGTATAACCGTTTAAGTACCTATACTATATACCTATAATCGCGATTAAGTACCTCTCCTATCTCTCTTAGAATAATTCCTTTTCTATTTTCGAGCAGGTCACCCGCCAGCTCTCGCTTGTCGGATTATACCTAGATCAAATGTACTGACTACCTACTTGTCTGAGAATGTTTCTATCATCATCATCTTTGGCTCGACAATCCTCTGTGGATCTTGGCCTGCTCTAAGATTCGTCGCCATTCTGTTCGGTTTTTGGCAACATGTTGCCATCTTCTGATTTTTAATAGTCGTAAGTCGGTTTCTACTCCATCTAACCACCTAATTCGCGGTCGGTCTTTGCTTCTTTTTCCTACAGGTGTTCCTGTGGTTAGCTTTTTAGCAATGGTATTTTCTGGCATTCGTATTATGTGTCCAGTCCATCTAAGTCGCTGTGTTTTAATGAACGTTATGTTATCTGGCTCATCAAAGAGCTGATACAATTCAAAATTATATCTTCTGCGCCACTTCCCTTCGTCGTTTACAGCTCCAAATATTTTGCGGAGTATTTTACGCTCAAATATTCCCAAAAGTCTTTCATCTTTCTGCGTTAGAATCCATGTTTCTGCTACATATGTGAGGACCGGCCTCAGCAATGTTTTGTATATAATAATTTTAGTTTTTCTTTGAATGTTTCTTGAGTGGAAATACTTTTGGAGTCCATAGTATGCCCTATTTGTAAGATTTATTCGTCTTTTGATTTCTTCGCTTTTTTATTGGTAGCAGGCAATAGCGACCCAAGGTATCTGAAGTTGTCAACACGTCCAAAGGTATGACTTCCAAAGACTGTTTCTCGTTCCTCATTTGCTATCGGATCCTTTGTAACCAACATGTACTTGGTTTTGTCTTCGTTGATGACTAGACCGACCTGTTTCGCCGCTGTTTCCAATTCCAGGAGATATTGCTCAACATCTCGCTTGCTACGCCCTACTATGTCCATGTCATCAGCATATGCTAAGACTTGTATCGATCTATTGTAAATAGTACCGCCATCCCTAATTCGTGTATCTCGGACTGCCTGTTCTAAGGCAATATTAAATAGGAGGCAAGCCAGATCATCTCATTGTCTGAGTCCATCCTTTATCTCAAAGGATCTAGAACTCTCTCCCTGTATTCTAACAGTGGCTTCTAAGTTAGACATCGTCATTCTCGTTAGTCGGATAAGTTTCTCTGGTATACCAAACTCATGCATTGATTGGTATAGCACTGTTCTCTTGACACTGTCGTATGCGGCCTTGAAGTCGACGAATAGGTGATGGGTTTCAATATTGAATTCTAATGTCTTCTCGAGAATCTGTCTTATTGAATGAATCTGGTCAATTGTTGATTTTTCTGGAGTGAATCCAACTTGATATTTACCAATTATGCCCACTGTGTAAACTTGCAACCTTTCGTAGAGAATATTTGCTAGTATTTTGTAAGCAGTTGTTAACAGGGTTATACCTCTATAGTTGTCACACTGGAGCTGGTCACCTTTTTTATGTAACGGGCATATCACGCCTTGAGACCATTCACAAGGCATGGTCTCATTATGCCAAACAAGAAGTAAAAGCTTATGCAGTGTCTGTAGTAGGGCATCGCCACCATTCTTGTAGAGCTCACTGCAAATTTGATCAACTCCTGGTGATTTATTATTTTTAAGCTTTTTAATGGCTTGGGCAACGTTTTCGATGGTAGGTGGTCTTTCGTTTGGGTTGAAAGGATTCCAATCATTTCGATTTGCTAGGGTGTTATCTGCTTCTTCGATATGATGGCCCTTAAATTTTGCATCGAAAAATTCAACCCATCTGTTTTAGGATTGAGGCTGTATCATTTAGGATGTTTCCTTCTGCATCCTTACAGCTCCATATTCTTGGCTTAAACTCTTTGCGCATTTTGTTTAGATTTCTGTAGAACTTTCGAGTTTCATTTTGATTTCTTAGATATTCTGTGCTTTCCAACTGCTTTTGCTCAAATTGTCTTTTTTTTTTCTTCTATGTAATAGTTTTTCTTCTCTTCTTAGTGTCCGGTATTCTTCCTTTGCTCTTCTTGTGCATCCAGCTCGATTTGTCTTTAGGTATGCCCTGTTTTTGTTATCTGTTGCTTCTTGGCACTCCTTGTCAAACCATTCGTTTTCTTTAACTGGTTTGGTTTTCCCCAATATTTTTGTTGCTTTCTCAGTTAGTATGTTTTTACATTTTGTCCACAGTTTGTATATGTTTCTATCATAACTTGCTTATTTATGTTAGTCTGCATTATGCTTTGCCAGCCCTGCTAGACTTTTTATAACTATCAGTATATTTTCGAAGATAATTATTGTTTGTAGCAAAGACTTCATTTTCGATATGTGGAATTATTTTCAGTTTCGCAACTAAGTACATAGGAAAACCAACATGACGTAACTTTTACAGTTTTGTTTTTAAATTAATTTTTCCATTCTGTATATAGGAAAAGTTGTTATATATAAAGCCTTGTCTAAATTTAGAATTGACTTGGACAGAACTAAGAGCTTTTCTTGGTACGTAAGTTACTTCCGGACTTGTATTACTCTCTTATCCTCAATGTATCGATCTATTTTGTACCTACATGATCAGTCTGATCTCAATCTCACCGGCTCCTCTCCTAGCATTTACAATCGCATAAATCTGTTGAAGAGATGTTAATCAAAATGTTTGTATTTAGTGAATAAAAAGACGCAATTTAGTTAATATAAAAACGAGCGAAGAAGAAAAATTAGTTACTTTAGGTAGAACCTACTATTATCTGTCAGTTATACTGTCATTTTAATCCAACAGAAATTGTCAAAATCGTTCAAATTTTAGTAACATCTAATATTTCTCTAAAATTATTTTTCAATTCTAAATATGAAGAACAAATTATAGTGTATCAAATTATAGTAATTTTAAAGTGCAAAAGTGGTATAAAAATTCTGAGGTACAGTATCATGAGATAAACTTCGAGGTATCTATAACTTGATTGTCCTTGTAACAACCGTAACTTTTATATTTTTGTGCATATATTTGGTATAAAATAGCATCAAGTTGTCATAACCAAAGCAGATAAATGACCCATGATTATTCGAGCGCATTAAGCAAGCATTATAAAAGAAAAAGTTGTATTTTGATTAAGAGCATATTTGATTGATAGTATATAAGTATAAAATCCATATAAAAACCAGCATAGCTGTGTACAATGTTGATATTTTTTTCCTTATTCCTCGGCGCTAGGGCCCTTGTAGAGCCCTTCCTGCTGGATTGTCCCCATCCGATTTCGCTATCTTCTGACACTAACCTGCTGTAGGTTCGTCGTTCTTTGTTTCATCTTTTGCTTTCCTTCGTTTGAGTCGCCGTATTTCTGCATCCGTCGTGCACCTAGTCCTTAACTTCTGCGTACATAATATCTGCGTTATACCATATGTAATGTAAACAACATTTATCAAGTATATTTTCGGGTAGATTCAGGTAAGAACATAATTCATTCTACGAGAGAAAGATGTAATTTTGTAACGATAATCACACGATTCATCTTCACGTGGGTTCATTTGAGTGATATTACTAATTCCAAGGCCATCATATTGCACGTAAATTTCTAGAATTTCTTCCCATAAAAGTGATTCAGAAGCAAGATATTACTAAAATATCTTATGGCCCCTCTTCATAATCGGCGATTACGGGCAAGAAAGCGCGAGCACGACTGTGTAGAGGGCATTCTCGTCTATACTTTCCCATCATTGTCTATGATCGCCTACAACCCATGAATTGTCGGTTTTTCGGAGGCGCATCAAAGGGAATCGCTGGATGCTTGTGGTTTGGCATTACGGGCGATTGTTTGGACGCTTGGCGAATGATTATGCCGATCATAAACAATCACAATTCGAAATCCACTTAAAGAAAATAAAAAAATAAACAACAAAAGACAACAAATAAGCACTCTGCTAAAACACCCGAATACAAAAGGAGAACTAACGTTGAAAATTAAGGAGGAGTTAAGCAAAACAATAATCAATGATAATGAAGATTCCAACGAAAAATGGGAAAAATTTAAGGACACATTAATGATGCCAATTAAAGATATGATGAGTAGTCACAAAATCGATGAAGCTAAGACTCCATGGATGACAGATGAGATCTGGCAACTAATGGACAAAAGAAGATCATACAAAAACAAAAATGTAAACGAATACAAAGCCACACACAAGGAGATCAGGATAAAAATACGGGCAGCTAAAAAAAAGTGGTACAACGACAAATGTTTAGAGATAGAAGAACTCCAGAGAAATCATGATAGTTTTGAAGTGCACAAAAAAATTAGAGAATTAGCAGGTATAAGACGGTCCAACAATAGTAACACCCTGGTCGATACGAATGGTAAAATAATATCTGATGTCAAAGGCAAACTAAACAGATGGAGAGAATACGTCCAAGAATTGTTTGAGGATGACAGGACACAACAAGATAGCATGAACGATTGCGAGGAACATGATATATGTCCAATTATAACTAAGGATGAAATAATACATGCAATAAATCTGGCAAAATCTAATAAAACTGAGGGACCTGACACAATTCCATCTGAAATAATTAAATTAATATCAGAAGATCAGATCAATGTATTAGTAGACTTATATAATACTATATATAATACGGGTATTATTCCGAGAGATTGGCTCAAACCAACATTTATTACATTACCAAAAAAACCTAATGCAAGGGAATGTAATGACCACCGTATAATTAGTCTAATGAGTCACACACTAAAAATATTCTTAAAAACTATCCATTTAAGAATTTTCAGAAAAGTAGAACAAGACATCACTGAAACCCAATTTGGATTTAGGAATGCCATGGGTATACGAGAGGCATTATTTGGATTTAACGTCCTCATGCAAAGATGTATGAATGTAAACCAACCACTCTATGTTTGTTTTATTGATTATAATAAGGCGTTCGATAAGGTCCGACACAACCGTTTTATACAGTTACTTAAAGAGAAACACATTGACAAAAAAATCCACAAGGAAAAAATTCCTGTAGCTGGCTGTATACCACGTATAACAAAAAGAGGTTAATCTTTGTAAATGGGTATATTTATTTAAAAAACCCTTAAAAGGGCCACATCAATAGAACAAACGTTTTCGGACTACACAGTCCATCATCAGGTTATTAAAATCGAAAATGCTAGGTCATAATGCCTGAGCCACCAAAATATTAGGGTAAAAACCCTTTAAATTACATTTAGTTATGAAATGTTGTACATTGTGTTATAAAATAACTGTGATGTTATAATATTAAATTAAAATTTGACCAAAGGTAACACATGGCTCAAATGGGTTCCAGAGCCGGGCGAGAGACAACCTCTGCACTCGGAGAACAACGTGGAACTGAGTTCCACGTTTTTTTTTTTTTTTTTTTTTTTTATTGACAAAAAAGACTTAAGAATAATAACTTATCTCTACTTTAACCAAACTGCAAAAGTCAGAGTCGACAGAGAACTTTCGGAGGAAGTAGAGATAAGAAGAGGCGTAAGGCAAGGTTGCATACTCTCCCCCTTATTGTTCAATCTGTATTCGGAAGAAATAATTAAAAAATCTAACTAATAAAACAAAATTTGTGACAATTTCCAACAAGACATTTTAAACATAAGAGGAGTTCCAATAGAAAAAGTAAAAAATATAGATATCTTGGTACAATTATTAATGAAAATAACGAGTATACACAAGAAATAAAAAATGAGAATTGGACAATCTAGAGCAACATTTAATAAGATGAGAAAAGTATTATGCAGTAGAGACCTTAGTTTACAACTCAAAATAAGAATATTACGTTCTTATGTGTTTTCGGTGCTTCTGTATGGGGTGGAGGACTGGACCTTGAAGAAAGAGGTGAGCGATCGACTTGAATCATTCGAGATGTGGACCTACCGAAGAATATTAAAAATAAGTTGGGTAGACCGAATAACAAATGTTGAGCTCCTCAGAAAGATGACAAAGGAAATGGAAATCATGAATACGATTAAGATAAGAAAGTTACAGTATCTCAGCCACGTTATGAGAGGGGATAAATATGTGTTGCTACAAAACATAATACAGGGAAAACGAAGTATTGGAAGAAGACGCATCTCCTGGCTCAACAATCTGAGAAAGTGGTATAATTGCAGTTCCGTCGACTTGTTCAGAGCTGCAATCTCAAAAGTGAAAATAGCTGTGATGATTACCAACCTCCTTAGAGGAGTTTCATACACTTTTATAGTTGCTGTTGTTTGTATCTCTTTTAGGTTGTTACCAAGATTGTTTCTTTTTGCCGTTAGATTATGTTGACAATCAAGAAGTACATATTTTACGGAAGGCGTGTGTGTCCTATATTTAATTTCCGAATGATATATTTGTCCATTCGTTTCATTGGTGGAAGCTGGTGGTAGAAAAATTTTTTGTTGCAAAACGTTTAACTTGGTATTGCTTCTTTTACAGTGGTAATTCCAAAGACTCATTATGTTTTGTTTAAGTGTTCTTTTTAGATTTGGTCTAGAACAGGCTTGTTTTGCTGCTAGATAGGCTTCTTCATTGTTTGGAATCCCAACGTGTGATGACTCACAATATTTTTACTGTAGTATCCCGGCACCGACCGACAAAATTTTCAATATCTAATTCAACTGAGCTGTCACCGTGCTCCGGAGGGCACGTAAAGCCGTCGGCCCGGCTACGAAAGTAGTCGTTAAGTCATGTTAGGGGCGCTTGCGCGACCTGAAAACCCTAACACTAGACCGTAGCCAGAAGGTTACACGAACTTTACTTTACTTTTTTAGTTCCATTAGTTTGAAGACGATTGCACACACTCTGGATTTCTTGAACTATTGGCTGGTTAGAATGTAAGTTTCTTATGGAGTGCATATTTGCCAGTCAGTACAGTTTGTTATAGTTGTGTTATCGTTGAGTGGAGTTTTCACAGCCTTTATTATTCCATTAAACACTGCAATTGCAAATAGTTGATATAACGGCACAGCCAACACCTTTTGTACTCTTAGATGCATCTGAGTACAGGATCTTATTGAAGTTGCATTGATGTAGTATTTCGTAGAATCTTTTTGTGATAATGGAAGGTGATATTGAGATTTGGAAGTTTGTGTGTCTATGGACGAGTTCGAGAAATTCTATGAAGGGTGGTGGACAACAGGTTAATATTATCTAGATAAAGAATTAACGTCTGTATAGTGGACGGTACCATTCTAGAATTATTTGTAACGGGTAGCTGAGCTGCCTATTATAGATGAGATTTCTTTTGCGATTTGCGTTATTTGCTGAAACTAGCGAAGGACAGCAGTAAAATTAAGAAAAACTGGACAGTTTTGCAATTATATACAATTATATTATGTTGATGAGAAGGAAAATGTGAAAAACTATCGATCTAGTTCAAAAAAATTACTATATTTTCTTGGAATACTTATTGCACAAGTAAATTATCATCATGGTATTACAGGCCTAGTTGAACCTTGATCTTTCTATAATGTTTGGCCATTTTTTTGTCAACAGTCAAACCATTTTCCGTATCAATCTTTCTCACATCTGCACTAGACTTCAGTTTAAGCTTGACCTGCTCCTATCCCTCTTCAAAGGCGCTGATAATAGGATTCGTCTGGGTAGAATTGTCCTGATAATCTTAGTCTTATTATTTTTATGAATGATATTAAATTCCTTGCCAGGTGGTATTTCTTGAAGCTATTTCTGCAAATATACTTAAAATCTGTTATCCGATGGTGATTATATGATTTGCATCTGTTTTAGGAATAGTACACGTTCCAGATCCATTATTACTGTCCATATTTTATTTTTTTTTTGCTACAGTTTCTGTTCTTTAGGTTTTGCTTAATCCTAACACTGCTATATGCAAATGTTAATAACAAATATTCGTTGTACCTATATTTATTTCATGATGCAGTTGAAAGTAAGCATCTGTTTTGGATAAAGAAATAAATCTATAGATTGCCGAACTGCGCACAAATAATAGATACTTGACGAAGATCATCATCAGTGAGTGATAGGAGCGATAGGAGGTACGTATTGGGCCTCATCGGTTATAATATCTGCCGCCATTGTAGACGAAACTGTAGGAAGAAAATTTACAGATTACGAACTTTTAAACCCTGGATAGAATGTACTATTACAAGCTTATACACTACTTTGTCATAAAACTATTAATCATTTTGGATATTTTATCGCCAACAGAAATTCATTGCCAAAACTATATAAAGGATATACATATTTCCATTGGATTACCTACTCAGTGAGTAAAACTTACATGATTCTTCATCAACAAAGATCCCAGCATGAGAATTGAAAGCAGAAGCAGAGATTTAAAGTTTATACTCCAAACTGCGGACAAACCAGAGAGCGATCTTAAGAAATTTTCTATGAAGACATAGACAATATTTTAAAACGCAGGTTGTTACAATTATAATGGGAGATTTTAACGCAAAGGTTGCGAAATAAAAAGTAAAAGAATGTACAGGAGGATACGTCTGAGAAACACAAACGAAAGGTGTAAGCTTATCGATTTTTTCTAAAAACAATAATTTTGTTGTATCGATTACGTTATTTAAACTGCCAAAAAGAAGACTATACACATAAAAGTCACCAGTAGATCCAAAGAAGAGAGAATTGTGAGAAATCCCATAGACTATGTATTAGTTAGACAAAGCAGGAACGCAATTACACTATGCGTCATTAAAAACAGGACACCTAGAAGTTTTCAATAATTTTAAGTTTAGGCAATCTATTCTATTGTAACTAAACTAATACAATTCAGAAACACTTTTAGCACCTTTTAGTCACTGCCACTGGGTGCCGACAGGTCAATCAAAGGTAATAAGTTCACAGAATTGATATCAGTTTTTACGACTTCGGAGAAAGCACGTGTTGTTTGTACGTTGATTTTCTTAGAATTTGGATGTTCTGTATTTCAAAAATCTTTCATTAGTGTACAGTTATTCAAAGAGTGAACTTGTGCAATTTATAAATTAAAAGTATGGCTGGGAGATTTGTCAGATCTGTTCAAATTGTTACTTTGATTAATAATGGAATGAACCAAAGAGAAGTGGCCGGACAGCTTGGAGTAAGTCGTTCTATGGTCCAAAATCATACCAACCAGGGAAGAACATCCTTTATAAGGCATTCTTTGCAAAATCAGTTCTTTACGACGAGAGCAATCTACAGTGAGAAGAAGGTTGAGGGAATTTGGTCTAAGGGCTCGCTGCCTAGCAACAGCAGCACATCGATAACACCGACTTGAGTTTGTTAGAGACCACGAGCATTGGACGATAGAAGATTAGAAAAATTTTTTGTTCAGTGATGAGTCCAGAATGGTTCTTTATGGCCATCACATCAAAACGTACAGTAGACGTGGGCAGCGATATGCTGCTTATGTTCGACGAGCACGTGTTGCTTTTGGAGGAGGCTCGGTATTGTTGTGGGCAGGCATTTTATTCGAAAGCCGTACTGGTCTCGTCTTTATTGATAGAGGAGCGCTTGATGCTCGCCGATACATTATCGAAATTCTAGACGAGTATGTAATGCGTTTTGCTGGGTTTGTGGGCGAAAACTTTATTTTCTTACAAGACCACACATACCCATGATGGTAACGCAATGCTTGGAAACCGCCGGTGTGCCAAAAATAAATTGACTGGCTCAAAGCCCAGATTTGAACCCAATTGTGCATGTTTGGGTCCAACTCAAACGAAGAATACGAAACAAAATACCTGCTCGAATAAATCGTGAGCAGCTTCGGTCGGCGCACATAGAAGAATGGGAAGCTTTTCCTCAAGACAACATCCAGAATTTGATCAATTTCAATGTAATGTCGAGTGAGGAGTGTAATTCAAAATAGAGATGGTAATACAGAATATTAAAAATGACGGCTTTATTGTAATTTTTATAACGAAAACAGAAAAAAATTACAATGTTAATTTTTTAAATTTTAAATTAGAATATCATTTTGGGTGAAGTTTTTTTGACATGTGTTATTTAAGACATGGTTAGCTACAGTATGTGACCATTATTACACAAACATCTAATGACAATCAATTTGTTGTAGAGTTCGTAAAAATGAAAATATGCCAAAAATTTATTTGGCTTCGTTTTAATGACACGCTGTATATATCAGCAAAAACATATCCGAGTGCAGATATAGGATCAGATCACAACCTAATTGTGACCAAAATTGGGCTCAAAATGGAATGATAAAACGATGAACATTCATCGACAAATCGATAATGAATGTTACAGAACAAATTGTTGCAAAATACTGAAACGGTACAAAATGGTTATTAAAGACGGAAATAGATTAAAGTCAAAAAGAAATTCTGACACCAAGCAGATACATCAAAAGAAACAATGGATGACGGGGAAATTTTAGATTGAATGGAAGAAAGACATCAACATAAAAACAAAAATAATCAGATGTACAGAAAAGTGGATAATTATATAATATCGTGACGATTTTTTCTTTTCCAAGCATCCAAAAAATAATTTGGTTCGTGAAAATTCGTTCAGTTAACATTGACCTACTAACCTATTTTTCGTAGTTGACAATCATAGTGTCGTCAAATGTTCGTAAAAATCGTTACAAAAAAAGGAAAACTACTTCGAAAATTCAAAAATGAAACTGAAATATATGTTACAAAATATAAATATGAGTTGTTTTGTTTTTATTGATCTTGATTATTAGCTATAAAATTAATGATTAAATTGTCGTTTAGTTTTTATTAGACTCGTTGTAGGTACAACTATTTTTAGACTTCCTCCAATTTTTAGTAGGAAATATCAATTCTACATTCACGTGAACAAGAAATAAAATCTACAAACACACAATGTCTTATCAAAATGCGATACAGAAAAACCTGAGTTTGTATTTAAAACATTATCGACTATGTATATATAATGGATAAACACTAGGTTAACAGAATATAATTTTCGCACAGTTAGTAACTTTAAATGAAATGCTTAAAAAATATAATGGTTATTATATATTTTGTAATTTGCTATTTTTGCAATGCACTTACGGATTTCGCGACGTTATTCCATATATAAATACACAACCATGACACAGTCAGCTTTGGAGAGACAACTTTTATTTATAGATATAGAAAATAGACCGAAATCGGGACAATGATTCGTTTAGTAGGGTTTCCACGAAAAGATCGATATTTAACTGCTTTGGAGGGCATAACAACTTCGGGAGAATAGTGCATGCTCCTCCATTTTAAAATCGGTTTAATGTCGGTGGTGGGGAGAAACTTGCTACGAAGAGTGGGGTTATACAAGGGCAATCCAAGTTCACTAGCTCAGAGTTTTCTCATTTACCTCACTAGGTGCTCTATTACAGTTCAGATCAGAAATATGGTGTTCGTTACGAAATATGACGAGGACGTCCTCAAGAATATAAATAATTCGGTAATTTTTATACGTAATTTAACAAATTGTGAAGTGATTGTTTGATTTTTTAATTTTTTTTACAGATGGCTCAAAATGTGTTGCCATTCCAACTCCAAGCTTTGGATAAAAAAAATCATTTGGACCATTTGTGTGCCCTTGATATCAATTCTAGAGCCTCGTTTATCCGTCTTTCTGGAATAATATGTACCATTGGTAAGTTTTTATTATTTTATTTAAAATGTATGTCTATCGTTTGGACGACGTCCAAAATTACATAAATGACGTTTTGTGCCGGCGCGAGTTTTACGTCAACATTGATTGGGGAAGACGTAGCGGGAAGTTTTGTTGAAAATTTTGATTCAAACTTTTTTTACTACAATGTACTACCCTGAAATATTTTAAATGCAGGTTAGCCTTTCGATATAAAACCATTTTCGCAATTCATAATGTGTTTCCGTCGATATATTTGTTTATTGTCTATACAAGGCGCGATTGAAAAGTCTTCAACTAATATGAAAAATTGATTACAAAACACTTACAATTTTTGTCTTAAAAAATTATGCCGAATTAATTAAACTTTTATATTAAAGAATATATAAATATTATGTATTATAGTTCACCGTTCTTGGTTTCAGTGTACAATTATTTTGTCTCTTATTTGTTGATGTTTTAAGTATTCGTATTACATTTAGAGCTCCTTGTTCTGTATTTGGTCGACGATTGGGATTGTAATATAATGCTCCTCTTATTATTCTTTCATTCTCTATAAATACTGTTTTGCTTCCTAGCTTTATTTTGCAGAGTCTGTTTATTGTTTCACAATTTTCTGGTATTCATTGATTTTATTGTATATGTTTTTATAAATCATCTCTACGATATCGTTGTTTATAACTATTTTTGAACTTGCAGGCTCGTATCCTATAAACACTTTTGTTTTGTTTGTTGATATTTTCATGTTATGTTTTTCTTTACTGCCAAGTAGATGTTATGATGATATTGAACCTGAAACTTGGTCTCATTTTCTTGGATTATAACCTGATCATCTGCAAATGATAGTGTAATTAGATAGGTTCGAAGAGTTTAATTCCAGAATATGTTTTTTATTTCAATATACATGCTACACATTTGTTTTGAACCATGATTTATTTCAATTTCATCTGACATTTTTAAATTAAATTAAATATATGTTTTTGGAAACCTCATTATTTTCTAAGATGTTCCCAAATAAGTTAACTCGTCTTTTTATAAACGTTATCATCTCCTGTTTTTATCTTCCAACTTTGTTCCTTGACATATTTTGATTTTTTAATGTTAATTTCCAGCCCGTACTGTCTTGTTTCCTTCTCTAATTCTTTAAATGCCTTTGTCATAGCCAGTAGCGTTAAATCATCCTCAAAAGCTAGTGGTTAATGCTGCTTGCTGAAAATTGTTACATTTCTTAATAAATTGTTATTAATGTTTACAGAAGTAAACTAAACGTAGTTGTCGATAGTGAGCCACCTTGTCTTTATCATCAATAGCTGTTTTGAGTCCACAGCTGAAAATACACCTCCCGTAAATAATTCTATTGGATCCGATCTTGAGCACCTTGACTCCAGTTGTGCTGGGTCCGCTTGATGTCGTCCAACCTCCTCGTTGGAGGACGTCCGATAAGCATCGTGTCTAGGTCTCTATTCTAAAATTTTCTTGGTCCTTCTTCCATCTCTGACTCTGCCAACATTTTCTGTCCAGTTCCATTTCAGCGTTGTATTTCTTTTACCTGCGTCTGCAATACCAGTTTTTCTCCTAACTGTTTGATTTGAAATTTTTGTTTCTGACGGATATATTCAACATTTCATTTTTCCTTGTTTGCTTGGATTCGATTGTTTAGCCGCAAAAGATTGAATACATTGTTTCAAATATACGTCAATCCATTAAATGATCACAGTGATTAAGAAAACACAACTTGTTTTATTTTTACAGCGATGCGATAATCGCCCTACCACAATGAATCGTACGGCAAGCATAGATAGGCATCTACTTACGATTGTTTAGTCAGGATTCTGAAGCCAGCTTAGCCTGTTGTGTCTTCAACAATATTTAATTTTTAATTTTTTTAGAAATGTCAGACAACGAGGAATATGCTGGAAATGTTGGGAGCGTTTCAAGTACTATGGACTACCTAGCTCTGACGTCACAATGGGCGGAGATTTTAAAAACGAGCGGAAATGTTTTTTTATAATAGTGGGAATAATAAAGACTTCTGGTTATGAACATTCATTCTGTGCGATTGGTATTATTTGTTGTTCGTGAATTTGTGATGTAAGAATATTAAATGAATAAGATAGAATTTTTAAGACTATTTTATGGTTTGGTTAAAACTTTAATTATGATATTTCTTTAAACCGTTATTATGGCAATTTGATAGAAAGGTTTCCACAGAATGTTATATTACAACTTAAACTATGAAACGCTAGTATTTGCAGGATAAAATCACTGGCAACGAAAAAAAAAAATAAATCAATAATTTTAATATTTTTTAACTTTGTAAATAAATTCAATGATTTATTGATTTTATTATAAAATAACCCTGATAAAAACAACAACAAAATACCTTGAAATACAGTAAAAAATAATTAGTCTGAATCATACCAATTGCACAAAATGAATGTTCATAACCAAAAGACCTTATTTAAGTCCTAATATAAGGTTTTTAAAATCCCCGCCCATTGTGACGTCAGACTTAGGTAGTCCATTGATTCAGAGTAGTTGATTCACCAAAACTACTTTTTGACATGCATAATATAGGATCTCCTTTTTTTACGAATTGAATAAATACGTGCGTCAGATCATTCTACTTGTATCGCCTTCGTTTCCTAAATATGTTCAATTAATATAGGTAGTTGCTTTCCTAATAGCTTTTCAACGTTTCTTCCCGGCGCATATTGTTATTTAAATCTTAAATTATCTCTAATATTGCTTGTGTTGGTCTAATAGAGGTACTTGTGCATTCTAATATTGGTTGATCGGTTTCTTCCTCTTCGTCACCTTCATTTAACAGTTCATCGAAGAAACTTTCCATTTGTATATTACATGATCAACCTCATTTAGCAATATTCGTTAACTCAATCTCATATACATACTCTTGTTCTGATAACCCTTGTCCTCCTCAGTTCTTGGTAAAAGGACAATTTCGTTGCTTCGGAACTTTTCGGAGATCTTGGATTTGTCTTTGATTGCCTTTCATTGTCTTTTAAGCGATCTGCATATTTTCTTAAATTCTCTTCGCATTTCTATGTAGTCATGTGTTTTGGCTTCATTATGATTGGATTTTGCTTTGGTTAGATCTCTATATTCCTCACAATCAAGTTTGCACATACTAAGTTTTGTTCTCATCCGATCACTTCTTTCTTTTTCTTTTTTACTGCCTATATTCCCTGGCTTGCTTCTACTTGACTCTTTAATTCGTCATTTTTTGAAAATTGTATATGCAATTCATATTTTTGTCTTGTCTTCATCATTTGCTGCTGTCATATCTGGAAATACCCTTTCTTGGTGTGTGAGCTCGTTTTTTATCCACTTACAAAAAACGTATTCTTACTAAGAAGTAGTCAGAACCGTATTCCACCCCCTCTCTGGCTTCTTACTTTTGGTTCAAGTTTTTGGTCGATCAAGACATGGTGTGTGTGAAGTAATAAATAATCTAAGATATGCAGACGACACTGTCCTTGTTGCGTATAGTGCTGAAGGATTACAAAGACCGATAGATCAAGTATTTAATATCGGTAGAAAATATGGAATGAAACTTAATAATAAGAAGACGAAAATTATGATCATAAGCAAAAACCAAGATACAGATGCAAAGTTTTATGGCAGACAATGAGGTATTGGATAGAACAGAAAAAATAACATACCTAGGATGCAACATAACAGACAGCTGGGATCACTCATACGAGATTAAATGTAGGATCGAAAAAGCAAGGAGTGCCTTCCAACAAATGAAAGTTTTCTACAATTTAACCTTGAACTTTCATCTCCGACTCAAAATCCTTAATTGTTATGTGTTTTCTGTTCTTATGTGTGGAGCAGAGGCGTTGACACTCACTGATGCGTCTTGCAGACGGTTGCAGTCTTTCGAGATGTGGTGCTATCGTCGCATGCTCAGAATATTATATGTACATCATGTAACTAAAGACGCAGTAATGCAGCGTTTACAAAAAGAACCTGTAGTCTTGAAATCCATTAAAAGGAGAAAGTTAGCATACTTCGGACATATAGTGAGAAATGAAAATAAGTACAGAATCCTACTATTAATATTAGAAGGGAAAATCGAAGGAAATAGAGGACCAGCACGTCGCGTCGCCTAATATCCTGACTTAAGAATTTGAGACAGTGGACAGGTATGACCACCACAGACCTATTTCGAACAGCTGCTAATAAAATACGATGGGCCATTGTGGTAGCCAACATCCATAGAGGATAGAGAAGAAGACATGGTGTATCTGGTTAATTGATTTACCATCAATATGCGTGTATATCTCTTTTTGGACCCCTTTTCTCTCCAACTGCGTTCTTCTTATTACTAGTCTTTTCTAGTGTGAACCCTATCAATCTTTGCTGATTTCCATTATTTTATTCATGCATACTATTTGTTTCCTGCTGTTGACTTATATGTACTTGTTTTTCGTTTTTCTCATTACAGTTTCCCAAAACTATGTACATATGTCATGTTTTGGTATTTTACTAAATTTTTCCTAAATTAAGTTGCTAAGTTTTCTACTAGTAGCTTCTATTTTCACTGAACATTAGCTATTATTTCCCCAAACAGTATTGTGCGCAAAACACTCACTTGTTATAGAATTCTCGTTTTGAAACATTGACCATTGGTCTGTCGCAGAAAAGCACTTCTATATAGTTGTAAATCCTATATAAGATGAACTTGCTCAAGTTAAAAAGGTTTTTTCTTTTTAAAACTATAAAAAGTATCAAATTTGCCTACAGCCTAACTAACTTTTGTTAGTTTTATTTTTTATTTTGTTAAAGTAACCACTGTCTATAAACCCTCAATATATTATATCAACAAAACACCAGGTGCAAAAGCCTACACTCGTTATATATTTCGTTTATTTGTTCCTTAATATATTATTATTCTATACCTTTAAATTTGTTTAGGACCCGCTTCAAGAGACCCAGAGGTCTTGGTCGAAATGATGGAATCTGGTATGAACTGTGCCCGTTTGAACTTCTCTCACGGTTCTCATGAATATCACGCTGAAACCATCGCCAACATCAGAAAGGCCGTCGAGATGTACAGCAAGAAAATCGGCATGCCCTACCCATTGGCCATTGCCCTAGACACCAAAGGTCCTGAAATTCGTACTGGACTTTTAGAAGGGGTAAGTATATACCTGCTTATTTTTTTATATAGTTAATGAGTTTAGGTATGAGCTAGTAGAGACATTTAGGTTACAATAATTTTTAATATATTTCCATATTTAAGTGAAGAAAAATTTTAAATGGTAACATTCACTAGATTGACAATAAATTTCTCAATAACTGCTGATCTAAATTTGTAGTGGTGTATGTTTATCGCGTTGTTTAGGCTATGAATTCTTCTTTACATTAATGTGATGTGAGATTTTTATTGATAAGAACAACTATGAGTACTGAACCTTCTATAAACCGTCCCGGCCACGAATAAGAAAAATGAATTTAGGATGATGGAATGTGCAGGATATTAGTCCACAACATCAGTTATTTGAGACTCTTTTTTGATGACTGTACGTTAGATCTATCTATCTATCTAATTAGCCTTCTTCGGTCCCATCTTTGGACATAGGCCTCCCCAATCCTTTTCCATTCTTCTCTGTCTGTCGCTACAGTCATCCATCTAGAGCCCACGTGCTTCTTGATATCATCTGCCCATCTCATTTGGGGCCTTCCTCTGCTTCGTTTATATTCCCACGGTCTCCAGCTTATGAATTTTGTTCCATCGGTCTTCTTTTTGTCTTATATTGTGTCCGGCAAATCTCCATTTCAATTTTGCAACTTCTTGTTTAACACCCCTCACTTTTGTTTTCTCTCTTATCCACTCGTTTCTCTTATTATCCATTAGTCTTATGTACAACATTTGTTTTTCCATTGCAGCACAAGTGACCATTTACTAAGTATGAAAATAGAACGAGCAAATGAATACCACATTCCTCTATATATGGCGTTCATAGATTTCGAAAAGCTTTCGACAGTGTCGAACATTGGGCAGTGAAAAGTTCTTTGATTAACAGCCGAATTGACCACAGATATACGGAACTAATACCAATATATATAAGGAAGCCAAAACAACAATTAAAGTATATGAAGGAACAAAATCATTACAAATAAGTAGAGGCGTGAGACAGGGTTATAGAATATCACCGAAACTTTTCAATCAGGCTCTTGAAGATACTTTTAAAAGATTATGGAAAAAAAGGTATAAAAATTTGTGACAACGCTTGAAACATCTAAGGTACGCTGATGACATCGTATTGATAACCGATAAAAAACAAGAATTATTTGAAATGATGAAAGAACTGGACGTAGAAGCTGGAAAGATAGGCCTTAATATGAATTACAGCAAGACCAAAACTATAACAAATACAGATGAAGACATCACAATGAGAATCGGAACAAGATGAAATAGAACAAGTTAAGAATTATATATATATATATATATATATATATATATATATATATATATATATTATATATATATATATATATCTTGGTCAAACTATAAAACTTAACAAAGAGAACCAAACAGCAGAGATCAAGAGACGAGTTAGACTGGCATGGGCGGCATTTGGCAAACTAAGCTACATTCTTAAAAACAAAAGATATCCACAGCATCTTAAGACCAAAGTATATAATCAATGCGTACTCCCTGTTCTTACTTATGGTTCCCAAACGTGGACATTACAAAAGCAAACATGGACAAAATCATAAAAACCTAAAGAGCAATGTACGTTAGATATGTAGTCTTAAATGGCGTAAAAAATAAGGTAAATGGAAATGAGAGAAGAGGTAGTTATCTACACTTTTATAGCGCGTGTTAACAAGGGCAAACGTGTAACAACAGTAGTATCCATTGCACTAAGTACAAAATAAGATAAACAACGAATTATTAGCATGGACACATTAGACTTTACTATATTAGATATATATTTACCAAAAGACGTTGCAAATGATACTGAAAATGAAGAATTTTACGAAAATTTACGAAATTAATGGGAAGCAGAAAAGAGGTAGTAATTATTGGTGACTTTAACGACTGAGTTGGACAGAAATCAAAAAAATGAGATAGTAGAACAAATTGATGAAAATATTACTAATGACAATGGAGCGGGGCTTATTGAAGTCTGTACCAAATATAACTTAAAGATTTTGAATGGATTCTTTAAACATAAATAATGTGGTAAAGCTCCAGGACCCCGGAATATAACCATTAAACTAATTAAAAATGCTTCTTGAGTTGCAATAGAAGAGCTTCGTAAACTCTTTTAATGACATTATGAATGGAGCTCAAACACCTAATTTATGGAGAATTGCTTACATAAGCTCTATACATAAGAAGGGAACAGCGGGGATTGTAACAATTACAGGAATAAAAATGGGAATAGTCAGAGGAACAAAGTGGCTTTAGAGCAAGCATGTCGTGTGTGGATGTTTTCTGTATTAGACAACTAGCGAAAAAATTAATAGGGTGTGAATGAGGAAGCGTATGAAGCAATTATATAAAAACAAGCAAAGTAAAGTCAGGACAAAAACTGTCAGGTGAATTCACATTATCAAAAGGTTTAAGACAAGGTTATTGCATCACACTTTAAAATATGGGGTTAAAATTAGAAAACGATCCATAATACAGTCTACTTGTTGGCGATGATCAAATAAAATAATAGTAGCAGAAGACCAGGAAGAAAGCTAGTAGAATACACAAAGTGGGCACTAGAAAGAAACGTGAAAAAAACTCAATATATGGTAATCGGAGGACAATGGCAGGACATACAATTAGATAATGGTAGAATTATTAAACACACGTCAGAATATAAGTACTTCTTCTTTTTATGTAGACACATGACTATTTGTTTTTCAAGCCTCCAGTAAGTTGTCGTTCCATCGTTTTCGTGCCTACTGATCGTCTTCGTATTAGGGAACCGTCTCTTGTCGTCTTTACTACTCTATTTCTTATGCAGTTCTTGATGTTCTCCACATTATACTCCATTCACGAATATACGACTGTTTTAAATTCGCTTTAAGGTGTCGACTTAAATGGTCCAATGTGCTGAATTGTACAATGGTAAATTCTCCCCATTTTTAAAATACTGTTATGACAGATATACACCTTAGATTTAAATATGAAGTTATGATCTAAATATAGAATTGATAGTTTATAGAATAGTTGTAATTCAGATTTTGAAGTATACTCGTATAATTACTCTCATTGACTTTAGTATTGTAAACAAGTTGGTTTTTGAATTAAGTGATTTAAACGAAGTGTAACAATACTTAAGTGATTAAATAGTTTAATTTATTTAGTCGAATATTCAATTAGTATTAAAAAAAACAAAAAAACTTACTCTTACTCTTATTCTCCTAATCACCATTACAAACAAATACACTACACTAAACTCTCTCTTAACGGACACGTCTCTTCACCGGACACCTCTATACGGACTGTTTTTAAAACTAAAATCAGTCGGCGATTTATGAAACTGTATGTAAATTTTCGTTACTTTTTAATATCTGTAATGACTCGGTACTTTAACTATCAATAGCCGCCATGTTATACCCGTTACTTTCGGAACTTTTAAGAGTATATCCACTCAAAGCAAACAAAAAACTAACAAAGTGGAATACTAGATTCTTTTCCTGGTTTCTGAACCATCGTTCTGCCAATTTCTTTTTATTTATATTAAAAATATTATATTTCTTTTTATTACCGTTGTAGTACCTACCTAATAAAGTAATAAAGATACCCGGCGCGCCTCTTTGGTGTTTACATTTCACCGAAATCCAACCCAAATGGCTGATGAACACATTTTAACTTCATAGAGGTCATTGTATTTATTTGTAGGAGCGTTTACGTAAATTTTTTTGTTATTTTCGGATTAATTTTCACAATAAATTTTGCGTCTATCTGAACATCTACTAACTGAAATAATTTTAGTTTATATGTAATAGTAACAGAAGATCCTTTTTTTATGGAATAATAATTAGACCAATTTACTTTCATACTTCTACTTGTACAGTAAAATATTCGTTGTAGCAATAATTCCAAACAGTCGTATATTCGTGGAATAACCTATTACATCTACGTCGTATATATGTACTTGTAGCTCTGTCATTTCTTTTCCTATATTTTTATTTCGCCATATTGTTTCATTCAGGCACTTCAGTTTCGAGCTTTCCGTAGCTAGATAATGTGATACCTAGACATTTAAACTCCATCACTTGTTCTATTATTTGACCTTCCAGCACCAATTTACATCTTAGTAAATTTCCTGCTGTAACTATGCATTTTGTCTTTTTTGGGGAAATTAACGTGTTAAATTTTTCTGGTGGTTATATTAAATTGATGCAGGATACGTTTCATATGCTGCATACGTTGTGAGCGTTTACTTTGAGAGAGTAGTACGACGTCGTCTACATAGCAGATTATTAAGTTGTCTTTTCTCCCATTTGGTATCCTTTTATTTTTTTTTTTATTATTTCATCCATAATCAGGTTGAACAATAGAGGATTCAGAAAATCTCCGTCTTTATCCATTGCCAGCTTCAGGTGGGTCAGTTCTTAAGTTCTTCTTCCACTTTTTTTCCTTTTATTCCTAGAGGTATCACTCTGCCTACAATAAGTGGATAACGTCCTTTAATTTGACCCAGTCATATGCCTTCTTAAGGTCCACGAAACATAGATATGCCGGTTTTTTGTATTCTAATGATTTCTCTTGCACTTGCCTCATTATAAATATAGCGTCGGTCGGTGCATGATCTTCCCGATCTGAAACCTTGTTGTTATTCTGCTAGTGTTATAATTTCATTCAGTTTATTTGTTATCACTTTGGTTGTTAATTTTAGTGTTGTGTTTAATTAATTAATTCCTCTGTAATTTTCCGGGTCAGATTGGTTTCCCTTTTTGAAGAGAGGTATTATGTAGGATGCTTGACATCCATTCTTGAGGAATTCTGTTTTGTTCTATTATTTTTTGGGTTAATTTTAATATTTGGTTGGTCCTCCATACTTTAGGAGTTCGTTCTGTCCTCCATGGTGATTTTCTATTCTTGACTTTCCTTAATGCTTCCTTTAACTCTTCCTCCTCAATATGTTATTTCTTCGTTTGTCATCACCTCAGGTGTTGGTGGTTCATTATCGTCACCTTTAGCAAATAGGGATCGACAGTAATCTACCCATGTGCCAATACATTTACTTAGGTGTCACAATTTGATCGAACAGAAGAGGTGAAAAATAGATTCAAAAGAAAATATCAGTTATAAACCAATTACATACAATACGGTGAAACGAAACTCTATCCTAAAATACAAAATCAAATTGAAAGTTACTACATTTGTTGAAAGCACGGTGACTTATGTAGCTAACGAAAAAAACAAAAAGAAATAATCAAAAAGCGACAAAGACACAACACTAACTGATATATTAGAGGGAAAAACAACTGTTATGGTACGGGCGCGTGAGAAGAATCATAATAGAAAGATTACCTCAGAAAATTTGGAAATAAGGGCCCCTATTAGAAGAGTTCCCAGAACATCCTGGAATGTAGAGATCACAGAAGCGATGCAAAGAGGAACATTTCCGACAGCTTTCACAGTTTTATACAAATTTTTTTAATGATTTCGGTATCTGTCATTTGTTTCTTTTTTGATTGCTGTATTATTTCGAAATTAGAATTTTGTTTTACAATGAATAAGTTTAATTACTGTGCAGGTGGCTAAAGTATCAATCTCATCTCTCTCTCTCTCTCTCTCTCTCTCTCTCCTCTCTCTCTCTCTCTCAACTCTCTCTCTCTCTCTCTTCTCTCTCCAATGGCGCTACATCCCAAATCGCCTTGGCCTCCTCCAAACTATGCCTCCAACTTTGCCGGTCCCACCAGCCGGCCTTCTCCAGGTTTTCACGTCTAGCAAAATTTACGCGTCCGCTTCCACTTCATCCTCCCACCTTTTCAGTAGCCTTCCCTTTGGTCGTGCGCCCTGCATTTTACTATCTAGGGCTCTTTCTGGCAATCTGCCGGTCGCCATTCTCACTACATAACCAGCTCATCAAAGTCTCTGAAGTTTAACGAATTCTGAGGTTGATGCCTTTTTGAACAGTTGGTAATGTGCATGGTTGCGCCTGGATCTCCATACTCCGTTTTCGTTAATAGGTCCTAAGGAAGATATTTGGACCTATTAACGAAAGTATTCCAAGAAAACGTTGATCGACATAAATTTAGAAACAGTAAGCCAATACATCCACCTGGGACAGATAATGAAAGTTAACGAAGAAAATCAAACTGCCGAAATTACCAAAAGAATAAGGTTAGCCTGGGCAGAATTTGGAAAGCACTAAACTAGAACAATATTTGAAAACCAAAATTTACGATCAGTATATCCTCCTTATACTCACGTATGGTTCACAGACATGTGACACTCAATAAGTCTAATATGGAATAAAATAGTAAAAGCACAAAGAGCGATGGAAAGATCAATGCTCGGGGTGAGGCTTATAGACAAAAAACAAACAAATAGATTAGAAGCAAAACCAAAGTAAAAGACGTAGGAGAACATGCTGCACAAATTAAAATGGAGCTTCGCAGGACACAATGCTCTACTGAAGGATAAGAAATGGAACCACGAAATACAACAATGGAGACCATGGTTAGGAAAGAGAAGCAAAAGAAGACCACAAATGAGATGGGCGGGTTATATTAAGAAGATCGGAGGACACAATTGGAAGCAAATGGCTCAAAATAGAAGACACTGGATTGATTTGGGGGAGGCCTATGTCCAAAGTTGGATTACTTAAGGCCGAAGAAGAAGTACGAAAGTATCAATTAAAACTTTTAAATTATCACTTTTAAATAATTCTTGAGTGCTTTTTTGTACAGAACTTTATTTTATAAAAAAAATGGCAGTCAAGACCTTTGCTACCAATTTAATAATATGTTTTTAACGTTTTAGGGTGGCTCTGCTGAAGTCGAACTAGTAAAAGGACAAACAATCAAATTGACCACAGACAAAGCTTATGAATCCAAAGGCACAAAAGACTGCATCTACGTCGACTACGACAACATCCAGAAAGTAGTCAAACCGGGAAATCGTGTTTACGTTGATGATGGTCTAATTTCTCTAGTAGTAGACAGTATTCAAGGATCTTTCCTCACTTGCACAGTTGAAAATGGTGGTGTTCTCGGTAGTCGCAAAGGTAAGAAAACATAATTTGCAGAAATTATTATGATAACAATTTTTGAAATCCCCAAAAATACCATCATTTTACTCACACTAGCAAAAAGTAAATTAAGCCTAATCTTTGAAACAAATATTTACAAAATTATTACGCAAAAAAAATATTTACACTGCTAATAAAGGATCTAATAGTCATTTAGCGAACCGAAATTTTGAAAGCATATATCTTCCACTATTTGTTTATAATGTTCAAACTTACAATTATTGTCAAAAAATTATATAAACTTTAACAAAAGAGGATAATGCGTGGGGTTTTATTTTATTCATTGGTTGTCTTGATCTTAATTGTTAGCTTATCTGAGTTCCATTAAATATTCCTACTTTAATTTTTTTTTTACTGACTGCAAGAAGCTTATTTGACAACTATTTAAAACAAGACATCATTTTGATATAAAAAAAATTGCAGATGGTTTCATTAGTTCCAATTTATTTATCTCCTTTACCTGGGGCACATCACGAGAGGAGACAAATGTCAATTAAGAAGGTACTCCTAGTTTAAAAATACGTCGATAAATATCAGCAATAGTTGTCTGTGTAAACTGTTGTCTGCCAAACTTGGTAACGAAGAAGGCATTTACGATTTTTTAGTCCTTTTATGTCGTTGCAAAACACAGGTTATCTGTCTGAAAGTAAAATGTCAAATATTTTTCTCTGTCATGGTGTTAAGTCTAGAAACAAGCAACTCTACAAGGTATTCACTAAAAGTTTTGCATAAATAATAGAAAACCTAATTTTGGGATAAATCAGCTTTATTCTTTTTCAAAGTATTCGCATTCAATTTTGCATTCAAACAAACCAATCTCAGAGATATCTCAGAAATGAGATTTTTATAGAAAAGAGATGCTTTGACTGCGACTTAATCTGGAGTCTTAAAACGTTTACTGTGTACTTTTTTCATTTTCGGAAACGTAAAGAAATTACACGGTGCCAAGTCATGACTGTATGTAGGATGGCCCAATAAATCAATGTTTTTCTCTAAATACTCGGGATGTTTTACGAGCCATATGAGAGCTGGCATTGTTTGCATGATGCAAGAAGATACGGCGATTCCGGCTGTTTTTGCAGAGTTCTCATCAATTAATTCCGGTAAAAAAATGATTGTATACCATTCAGCATTGACGGTTCCGCAATTTTCTAACGATATCGTGGCAATGTATCAATTTTTTGTCACAATCGTTTGTTTGACAAACCTGCGAGTGCGGAATACTTTTGTTGGCTTTGACTTGTCTTGAAACACATAACACTGTTCATTGGTTTTTTGCTTCTGGCTCATAGCAAGATATCCATGTTTCGTCACATTGTTCGATACCAAATTTGAGCTGCCTCCGTTGAATCGTTTGAGTGTGGTAAGGCACCAACCGCCCTTCTTATGGGCAGCAGTCAAATTATAAGGAATCCAACGACAGCAAATGCAAAACTCAGCCTATGCCCAATGATGCACAAATCTCACGATAGGTAACAAGTCGATGAACGCATTGTTTAGTTATGCAGTTCACCCCACAGTCAATGCAGACAAAGATCGGTTCGGAGCACATACATAACAAAAATGTACGGTTGATCCCAACTATGTTTGCTTGTAGAAGCCATGGCTTTAATAAACTTGCAAGAATGAAGTTTTAAACTGATTTAGGGTTTAATACGTATTATATCGTTAGATATGAAAACTAAATTGTTAAATACCAGTTATACTGATATTTTCTACTTTTCCATAATTCATTTATTTATCTGGTACATTTTCAAAACTTTTTATTGTATAAACACATTAAAAACTGTATTCTTAAAAATCGTTAAGGTAATTGAGGGAATTTGAGATGATTAGAATGGTTTCTTAACTAGAAGCATTAGACCGTGATAACAAAAAGTATGATACAAGTTTGGATAATAATTCCACTTTTAAATAAGAAAAGATTCATTCAAAAATTATGAGTGGACATTAATAAAATATTTAATTTTGTTTGTCTGGAAAATTAAGAGCCGATGGAAGAAAAATAATGATATTTATGATGCACCAACTTTTTTTGTGTTATTTATAACCACAGCGAAGACTCCAGTACTTTAATATGAAAAGTTCCTTTCAACATAAAATAAAAAATTAACAAGTAACTTACGGTTTATCTAGATTTTCAATCTATCCAGGACTCCCGTAGAACAAACACTTTCACTCGCACTTTTACTTTGTAATCAAATTAATTGATTTTGTCAATCAATTAATTGATTTTGTGTTCAAATTGTAATTTGAAATTTTTTCAAAAATTCACTGCTAATCCTTGACAACTGAGTTCTTCAAACATTCATTTTAAGAAATCTCCGTTATTCGTTTCCTTATTTTTATCTTTTCACTTCTCACCTCCCAAATTCTCCCCGCCATACTTTTTCTATCCTACATAAGCTGAAAACAAAACTATTTCATCGTCGAAATGTTCAAAAACATTTTTCCTGTCGAAGACAAAGTGTTATTGAAAAATTAGAATAAGACTCCTCTTTTTCAACCTTTTACTTCAAATATCTCAAATCATACCTACGATAAAAATAAATAGAAGTACAATTTTTCTTAATTAAATTTCCTATCAAAATTTATCATAATTCGTAAAAAAATTTGTAGCGTTAAGCATTTGTCAGCTGTTCGTATGGGGTGTCTCAGTTTTTTGAATATTTTACTAAATAAATAAACCTTTTGTTCAGTTACGTTAATTACATTTTGATACTTTTAGGTTGCAACCTTCCCGGAGTTCCTGTAGACCTACCAGCCGTCTCAAGAAAAAGATAAATCAGATTTGAGATTTGGTGTAGAACAAAAAGTAGACATTGTTTTCGCCTCTTTCATTCGTGATGGCGGCGCTTTGACTGAAATCAGAAACATTCTAGGTGAAGAAGGAAAGAAAATTATTATTATTTCGAAGATTGAAAACCAACAAGGTATGTAACCGGCAAAATTATTGAGGAATTTAAAAGTTTTATATTTTTTAGATTTTTCAACTTGCCATAACATCATAATTTAAACTTATCTCTTGTAATTGAAATTGTTTTATCTGAATTTTTATTCTGTTATATATCGTTATTTTGTCTTTTAGGTATGACCAATTTGGATGAAATCATAGAAGCTTCCGACGGTATCATGGTAGCTCGTGGTGATCTTGGTATCGAAATTCCAACCGAAAAAGTATTCATCGCCCAGAAGGCCATGATTGCGCGCTGCAACAAGGCCGGCAAACCCGTCATCTGTGCCACCCAGATGTTGGAATCTATGACCAAAAAACCAAGACCTACTCGTGCCGAGAGCTCAGACGTTGCTAATGCCGTTATCGACGGTGCTGACTGTGTGATGTTGTCAGGAGAGACCGCCAAAGGAGACTATCCCTTGGAAGTGCGTCAGAACCATGGCTAATATCTGCAAGGAGGCCGAGGCTGCTATTTGGAGCGGCGAATTCTTCGGTGACTTGACCTCAATGGTAAGTAACCTTTTGATACGCCATTAAAAAAAAAACTAAAACTTAAAAATATTCATTCTCCGGGCTAAAATTTGAGTCGAATGAGGTCATCTCCGCCTGGGAGACCTATTTGCAGACTTCGAAAAAATATATTTTTCAGACGGGTTAAAGTAGTTGCAGCATCGCTGTGTCAGGAGTATCGAGCTAAAAGAAGACTATGTTGTCTCTTCCCCCCCCCCCCTAAAATAAATATCCCTTTAACGTCCTAATCAAAGTGTCTTTGTTGTTGCTCCCCTAAAATAAATATCCCGTTAATGTCCTAAGTGTTCACTGAATAGAAGTGTCGGTTAGGAGAGAGTTCACTTTCTAAGTCTGCTTTTCATCACTAAATCTACTCTTGATCGTTGATTTTCATTAGTTTGGTCTAGGATAACATTTTTTCCTTGCCTTATGAGCTTACAGAAATAGCAGTGAGTAATTATTTTTAGCAGCTAGTTCTAGCTGTACCTACTGATTATTTTTTTCATTTTAAGCTACTTTATTTGGACTCCTTTATTATATGTTTTATGTCCAAATATCGCTTTCGTTTTGTTAATTGTACTCAAGTTTTGATTCCCATCAAACTCTTATCAACACTATCAATACATAATAGTTTTAAGTCTCCACAAGAAACTAAATTACTGTATCTGGCTGTATACCATGTATCACAAAAAATTTATTTAAAAATTCCTTTATAAAAGGTGTAATATGAAAACACGTTTTCGGAATTATTATTTCATCATCAGTGATATCCTAAAAGTATGACCACTTTTAAAGCAAATTAAATTAATTTTAAATTAAAGCAAACATGAAATTAAAAATTTTGACCAAGGGTAATACAAAAATTCATTTTTATGAACAGTACATTACAAAATTTATTAAATTCACACTCAATCTCAATAACACTCTCAAATACATCAATTATCATTTCACTCTGCAATAGTAAAATTTAATGAACCCAACTTCCTACACATATCTGCTTTCCATATTCCAGGTACCAAATGTTGAAAAAACATATAGGGCCTTTTATAAAAAATCTTTAGTTCACCACCACTGAATTCAGATATCTGTATATATTAATAATAATTTTAACATAATACCTCAAGTTACATTGACTGCTTCAGTCCTAACATGTCATTATTGTCATTTCAATCAGTTGCTATCAATAAGTCCTCGTAGACACTTTGTGTCAGGACTAGCAACCTCCAGTGGAGTCTTACGTTGCCATGTTATCTATTCCTGGTGTAACTTAAATATCTTGTTTATAAAGTGAAATAATGTAACTCTAAATTTAATTAAATAATATTTAAAGGTTTTTATCTAGTATTAACCTTGGTCAAAAATTTAAATTTCATGTTTGCTTGAATTAAAGTGGTTAATCTTTTAGGATAGCACTGATGATGGAATATTAATTCTGAAAACGTTCTGGGATGTATGCCCGATAGGGTGTTTTAATATTATACCTTTTATAAAGTAATTTTTTAATAAATTTTTTAGTTTTATTTCGATTCGGTAAACTTCTGATATTTGTTATTAATCTATAAATAATAAATATCTGTGACAAATTTATAATTACCATTATCAAGTAATTAATCAAGTCATAAATTCATTGCATAAATATTTATTTGAAATATATTTTTTTATTATAATTATCTAGGATAATTTGTAGTTTAAATTTTAATATCGTAACATTATTAGTTAAATACACGGAATGTTTTTTTTTTAGATTCCTGCTCCATTGGATATGGCACAAGCTATCGCTATTTCCGCTGTTGAATCTGCCAATAAAACGTTGGCAGCTGCCATAGTTGTAATAACTACATCAGGAAAATCAGCTCATCTGATAGCCAAATTCAAGCCTAGGTGCCCTATTATCGCTGTTACGCGTATTCCACAAACAGCACGACAATGCCAAATGTACAGAGCCATTCTACCTTTGATCTACGAAGGTGAGTATAGTACTAATCGCACATCTAAGTTGTACGATCAAGAGTTTTTTGCACAAAAAAATTTTCATAACAATAACTTTTAGAAGTCTTTTGACATATAATAGTTGTTTCGTTTTATAACCGCGGCAATCCTGTCTGGTATTGTTCGTACTAAGGATTTACACAAGTCAGGGTAGAAACTATCCCTTAATTCACCCAATTTACTCTTCAAATCGGCGAGGTGTTCTCAGGGTCATCATTATCCAATTATGTTTCATCTTATGTCACAATGTCTCAATAACAATAAATTTTGGATTGTTTGAAAGTCATGAGAGGACTTTAATGTTGTTGTCTTCAAACCATTTTTTAGTTGTTTTAGCTGTATGGCATGCTGCACCGTCCTGCTGAAATATAAAACGCAAGTCGTGGTGGAGATCGTGAACACTTGGTACAAAACTGTTTAACATTTCTTAATGCTGCGTTAATTGTGCCTTCTACCACGTCATATTATAATCATAATTCCTTTGGGAAACTTCACAGTCCTTTTGGGGCAATCTTTATGCTTCATTTTGACTTTTGTTTTCGAAAGTCTTCCACGCAAACATCACATTTCGATTCGTCATTGAATATCACTCTGAACCAGTCATGAAAGGTCATGACTGATGACTGGTCCAGAGTCATATTCAGTGACCAATCAAAATTTGATGTTTGCCTGGGAGGCTTTCGAAAATTGGTTATCAGAAGTTAAAATAAAGCATTACATAAAGATTGTCTTAAAAGAACTGTGAAGTTTCTTAATTGAACTATGATTTGGGGGTGCGTTATACCTAGAAAGCTGGTCTAGGAAGATATGAGGTGGTGTAAAGCACAATTAACAGCAATTAAAGTATCCAGAAATTTTGAAAAATAGTCTTGTACCAAATGCTTACGATCTCTCCTGGACTTGAATATTTATATTCCAGTAGGACGGTGCTGTATGCCGTAACAGCTAAAACAACAAAAAAATGGTTTGAAGACAATATCATGTGCTCTAATGGCCTTCGAATAGTCCAAAATTTTATTTAGACATTGTGGCATAAGATGAAGCAGAAATTGTGTAATCCCTACAAAACCGACACCGATTTTAAGAGTAAATTAGGTGAATTATGGGATAGTTTCGACCCTGTCTTGTGTAAATCCTTACTACGAACAATGCCAGTCCAGTAGTAATTTCTTGAATTGTCCGAACATTTACTTGTTACGTTTGTTATGCAACATTTTCGTTTATTTTGCCGCCAACGTTGCAATTCAGTTTATAAAAACAAAACCATTTCAATATTTTGTTGTTAATGATAGTAACCTTTAGTTGTTAGGGCTCATAGAGTATAACACGTGCAAATGATAAAATTGTTTTGTAAAAATGGGTGTTCTGTTTGTAAAACGTTCCGCGCACTTCGCCCATTTTACATAATCCTACCGAGAGGACTATTCGCAATATGGGAAATAAATTTGGGTCTGGTTTACTAAACAATCAACCAAAATCGATACGTCGACGAAATAAAAGATTTATCAAAAACATCGCCGCTGTCCTTGAGAGCGTGCAGGCGTGTTGGAGGTAGTCTCCTGCTCTACTTTTAGATGTAACGCACGTCGGTTTTGTTGAACGTGATCGCCTCTGATGAATACCAGAGGTGTCCCATATGCAATAGCAACCATACTAAAATTCCACCCGCTTCCAATCGAGGAGCTCGTCTTTTTACTAAAGACACTTAAGAGACCATTCTAGTTCCCACCCAATTCAGCTGTTTTCTACACCAATCTAGTTGATCATTTTGTATAGGAGTGAGGGGTAGAACAATTTGAGGATGATATGAAGTAAGTCCAAATCTTCTAATCTTTCGATCAACAGTTCGCATTGAGAGGCCTTTCGTGGTCTCCAATTGACCTTGTGCAAATTAAGCTGTCTTATACAGACAAAAGTCTGGGTCGGTGGCCTTGGTGTGTGACCGTTCGTCTGACACGCCTTATACCTCTAATTCTTTGAGTACGGCCTTCCTGATTCCAGGCCCGACAACAAACCGTGTTGATACTTCTGTTTGCCCTCGTGGCTATTTCTCTAAAGGACAAATCGGCCCACTATTCGCCTTCCATCAAACTTAGTGAGCTATTGAAAAATTGGTTGTCTTTTTCACTCTAGACATAGTGAACCGACTAAATCAACTCTTCACAGGGTATTATACCATGATCACATGCTAATTGTGGTTAAAAACACAATTACCACTTACTTATTATTCTTTTAAGATGAGATATTACAACAATCACATTGATATAGTTGAAAAATTGATTGTTAGAAATTAGTTAGACTGGTTGTTCTTTTTTGATCTCACCTAGAATATAATAACGGGAGAAACAGAAAGTGAAAAAGAAGAATATTTGATATTCCAAATAAGAGAAGTAATTTACACTTTCGGAAAGAGTGTACTTATCTGAAGGTTGAAAATAAATGAAAATTGTTTATTGTTAATTAACAATAATTAAAGGGTGGAACACTTTAGATATCTGGGTACTTGGATTGACTGTAGCGTTGAAATTGACGTGGAAATTTCAACCAGAATAGACCTTGCACGAAAAAGCTTTATTAACTGGCATTCTGTATTGCGCTGAAGAAGTCTGTCATTGACCACACTATTGAAGTATTGAAGCGCTACGTCTGGTCCACTTTGTTCTATGGATGTGAAACTTGGACAACAAAAATAAAAAATCTTAATAAATTAGAAGCGTTCGAGTTGTGGTGTTACCGTCGCATGCTTAGAATCCCATGGATAGCACACATATCTAACGAACGTGTGCTAAAGACCATGCAAAAAGAGCGAGAAAAAGGTCCAATACTTCTTTTATAATATAATGAGAGTACCTAAATATCGCTTACTCCGGTTGATCAATTAGGGCAAAATCGAAGGAAAACGCTGGGTCGGAAGAAATTAACTGACCTGGCTGTGTAACACTAGACAATGGACAGGTCGAACAGTCGAATGAATTGTTTCATCTAGCTGCCGACCGAGAAACATTTCATCAGCTTATTAGCCATCCACGATATCCAACGCTTGAAAACACATTGTGTTTCTGATTTATTGAGGGGGGAATTGAAGAGTTGTAGACTATTATAAAAATCATATATTTTACATCTTGTTGATGTCCAGACTGTTTCCTGATTTAATGTCACCTTCGGGATTTTATGGCGGATTAATCATCCCAGTATTGTTAAAAATCTTGTTTACAGCTCCTTAAGTTACACCACACACTTTGGCAATAATTTTTTTACTCATTGATGTTTGTTCATTTAAAGTACAGTAATCACCAGTTAGAAAAAATCAAGCTTCATTCAGGCTTTCCGAATGTTGCCGAGAAACCGTTGGTGGGTGATTTCTTTACAAAAATGAAATCCGCTTTGGTACTAATACTACGAATACTAGCTGGCAGATACTAAAAATCGTACTGCGCGTTTTAAAATCAATCTTTAAAAAATATAACAAGCAAATAAAGCCTTAGTACAGATTACGTTTATTGTATATTCTGAGTGATTGTAGTTATTCACTGCTATTTACTTTTATCTCCCTTTTGTATTATATTAAATAAAACATATTGTTTTAGCTGACCGTCAAGAAGATTGGCTCAAGGACGTAGACGCCAGATTACACTATGGTATCACATTCGGCAAATCCCGAGGATTCGTCAGGACTGGCGATCCAGTTGTCGTAGTAACAGGATGGAAACAGGGATCTGGTTACACCAACACTCTTAGAATTATCTACGTATCCGATGAAGTCGAATCCATATGCCTTGGCACATGTGCAAAGTAAACGTCTAGAAGTTAAGTCAATATCAGTGTTATCTTCGAAGGTCTAAATATTTTCTGGAACGTTGTTGCCAACAACCAACAACTTGTAGAATAACATCAGTCAGAATTCCTTAATTACGTCTATTTTAATTTATTTTTAGTTGCCTTAGTACTAGTTCACATCATTAAATGAATTTTTCCAAATAAAACACCAACACACATTACTAACAGGTGTCTAAATTACAAAACATTTTTTGGCAATTTGTTTTGTTTTTCTCTAAAAACTTCAGGTCTGGCTATTTATTTTGTGATTGTTATTTATGAATGTATTATACGTGTTGTAAAATAAACAGACTTCAAAATTATATCCAAATAAAGTAGTATTAAACTGTTAAACAAATTCGTGTTTTTATGTACACCCCTCAAAAGGTTCAAAATTTGATGTTTCAGCTGCCAGATCGGCAGATTTCTTAATCTAATTCTCAATTTGAAGAAATACATACACTATTATGTGGACACGAACATTTTTTTATTTAAACTATTGTGTCTTAACTACAAGATTATTGACAGTTAATTTACAATAAAAAGAAAAGACAAAAAAAAAAGAAAAACATTAAATTTTGTGATACAAACTTGATTCTTTTAGAAAATCTAGTACATTCTGAAGAAGTTCTGATTGGCTAAGGATCACATTCGTAAAACCCTGAAAAGTAGTTCTAGGTCTAATGAGAGTTTGACGGTTTTAATGACCGAGTTGGTGATAATGGCTTTCTTTGCAGCAGTGTCTGCAGTCTCATTACCTAAAAAGCCAACGTAGGAAGGAGGAGTTCATATTAATGTTATGTCTATTTCAGAAGAATTGAGACTGTTTGTTACTTCACGTAAATTATGAGTGTTCTTTTAAGACGTAGAAACGCCCAAAAAAACTTATTTACGCTAGCAAAGAGTTTAGTTACAAATTAAGGCCGTTCCTCGCGATTCTGGCCATAGCTAAATTCCAATGTAAAAGTTTATATCAAATAACGCAAAAACTATGGCAGATATTGGGCTGATTCTTTTTTTATATGGAAGGTTTTAAAAAGTTCTAGTGTACTATTTGGTTGTAAATTAATAAATTGTTTAAACAATATATTTTTTTTTTTTTAATAGGGCACTACAGAATTTGACCCACTTTCCGAATCTGTTTTTATTTTTAACATAAAGTGTAACACACAAAGCAGCTATTTGGTATAAACTTTTTTAAAAATCTCCAATTTTGCTAAATGTACTCTCTCCCTCTCTCTCGGTCAGTACAGGCTGTCCTTGTCGATAGTTTCTGGATTCTCGCCGACGGTTAGGTTGGTTAGGTAAGAAGTATAATACCCTCTCGAGGTTGGGTCATAAATAATGTTGAATAACATTATTAGAGTTTATTCCAACTTTTGACAAACCAGTGTGTTAATTGTTTTTAAAATGAATGAATTTGATTATTTATATTTATTGGAATATTTATTTTGAACGTTTTTGTTAGTAAAGTTTACATAATAATATATGAAGTTTGTTTCTTCACTTGCTTGTTCAGTCATATTAGTCCAAGGTAATAAGGATTTTCTGGTGACACTCAATAATCCAGGTAGCTGACAACTTTTTTAGTTATTGTAGACCCATAAGAAGAAAACCTATCTGTTTCCTGCCTAAAGTTCGGAGCCGTTTTTTAATGATTAACAATTAATGCAAAAAACGCGATTCTTTCGATTTTTTACACTCTATTAGAAAGCTAAATACTTTCAGCTTTCTAATTCAAAAATTAGGACATAAAATTACAAAGCTACAAAATGCCGATACTTGTAAGTTGAAAAATCAATTTATTGCTTTGCAAACTGTAAAATAAGTGACAATTGATATTTGTTAAAAACTTTTTAAACTTAAAATTTAAACTTTAGATTGCCACCCAAGGTTGGGTATTGGGGTACTTAACAAACCCTTAAAATTTGGGACCAATATTTTAATTAGTATAAAAGTTATTGTATTTGTTTATCCCAGAGACCTTTTTTTTACAACAACATAAGACCGAAAATAATAAAGATAGGGTAATGCTGTGGGTAACAAATGAAAGCAATAGACTTATACTATCAATATGTATTAAAAAAAGATAAAAAAAATGATTTAATATAGTCAAAAATCCTGATGCCAAATTTTTGAAATTATGTAGTTTATAAACTTTTAGAATAACTTTAAAACATTGTCCTTAGAAAAAATCTTTTTTTACATTCGAAAAGCTAGTATTTTCACCCGAATTTTCAAATAAAAAATTTGGCCTAGGTAAATTTGGGCCAAAGTTAGCCATGTTTTTTGTTAATTCACAGATAATTTGATTATAATAATTAAGGATCCTCATTGACGCCATTTTAAAGAATGGGATTTGTATTTTTAACACTAGTTCTTTTAACACTGTCATAGGCTGCTTTGAACTCGACAAAGAGATAGTGTGTATCTATGTTATATTCTAGTGATTTCTAGAATCTACTGATGTGCTTGAATTTGAAGTATAGTTGATTTAGCAGCAGTAAATCCGCATTAATATTGACCAACAATATCCTTTAAATGTTGTAAGTCTTTCAAACAATATATTGCCGAAGATTTTATACGCAGATGCTAACAGAGTAATGCCTCTATCGTTCTTACAATCCAGTTAATCGCCGTTTTTATGCAACGTATATTATTTCATTTAGCCACTCTTCTGGTACCAATTCATTCTGCCATATAAGTACTATTCGTTTATGGGTTACTGCAAAAAGTGGATCACCACCTTTTTTTTATATATTTCCTAACCGATTTATTCGATTCCTGTGGCTTTATTTCCTATGAGTTTTAGGACGACACTTGACACTTCTATTATTGTTGGGTCTTCACTGTGTATTTGACGATGTAGATTTTGTTGATTGTTTATGTTGTAACCTAATTCAATATCGTGTATATCATATATGATATAAATATATATAATATGATATAATAATAATGTACTTATTCTTCTTCTTCAAGTTCCACTCCTATCGGAGATTGGAAATCATTCTGGCAATTATAATTGGAGATTGCATAACCACGAGATTTTACGTCTTCCGACGCTTCTTCTTCCTTTGATTTTACCCTACATTATATTCCTTATTAGTTCGTATTTTTCACCTATCATGATGTGCCCCAAGTATTCAAATTTCCTGATTTTTATGGAATTTAAAACTTCGCATTGTTTTCCTAGTTGTTCGAGAACTTGTTCGTTTGTTTTGCGATCCATCCATGATATTTTCAAAATACGTAGATAACACCACATTTCGAATGCTTCTAGGTTTTTAATGTTGGATTTTTTAAGTGACCAAGGTTCAATCCCATACAAAAGGGTAAAGAAAATATAACATCGAAACATTCTTATCCGGAGCGATATATTGATATCGCGATTACAAAAAACTTTTCTCATTCTATTAAAAGTTGACCGTGCAATTCCAATGCGGCATCTTATTTCTTTTGTCTGATCAGTATCTTCTGTGATCTATGCTTCAAGGTATTTGTACGAAGATATTTGTTCAATTTCTGTATTATCTAGTACTAGCTTAACTTTGATGTTTGTGCTTTTGTAAATACCATAAACTTGGTTTTCTTCAAATTTATTTTTAGTCCAAAAAATGTACGTTATGATAGAATCCCTATAAAACGTCTCAATTCGGCTGTTCCATTGTTCTTTAAGTTCTTTCGAGCTCATTAAGTTTCTTATTCTTTTCATCCATGTTTTCTAAGGTAATCCTCTCTTCTGGATTCCTGTAGGTGTTCATATAGGTACTTGTTTCAGGGGTCTACTGTCTTTCATTCATTGGACCTGTCTGTACCATTTGAGCTGCTTTCGTTGTATGCCATGCATGACTGTACCGTCTATTCCCATACTTTATTGCATCCAGTTCGACGAGATATCTTTCTTCGATGTCTCTGTTAATCGTCGTGTTTCACAACCGTATAAATAAAGCATGCTTTTATACCACAGTTTCATGGGTTGTAGTGCTAGAGAGAGCATGTCAGCTGACCAAAACGAAAAATAATCCTCCTTATTGCTTCCACTGGAATAAGCTTGACCGTTCAAGTGGGCCCGGACTACCTCGTTGTAATTCTTTAAACTCCTGTTTTGAAATTAATAATACTCACTATTTTGTCTAATTACCTATTTAGTTGTCAAAACAGATACATTGTTACCTAAAGAAATGAAAGTGGTTCAATTTAGAAATTATATAGTAAATAATAAATATTTTAAAACTGATGCACATATTCCTCCGCGATTTTGGCTTCAAGTACTAATTGTATAAATCGCACTACTAATAGACGTAAATCCTTTCATTTTAATTTCATGAATGTTTTTATTCGCCACATCTCAATATTTTCCATTTCAGAATATTTATCATCAAACTGTAATCTACGTTAAAAACTGTAGAAAAATTTGAAGTTTGTCTTCGAATTTATTGTTACGATTTACAGGACAATCATTTGTTACCTGTATGTACCCTTGCTAAGTTGTGAATTAATTATTCAATAAATAATATTACTCTGGTATAAGTATTATTCTAATTACCCCAAAACCGCACTGAATAGAAGGCCGCCCGCTTTATTGTATAGACCCAAGACTTTTCACAATAGTGGGTTGTATAAGGTAGGTATAAAGCTAACCTCTAGTACAAGATGATGTTTAGAATATTCTTCGTGAATGGATTTTGTTTTCGTAAAGAAAGATATTTTTGAAATAGGTATCTCTCTGAATTTTACCGTTACAATTTTCGAGGGTAAGCCTTAAAATATAATATTCAGACTGAAAAAAATGGTTTTACGATGCTTTTTTATAATAAATTCAAATAATGAATATGCCGTCCTAGTAAGTCGCAAAAAGTGTTGCAACCTGTCGCAAGTGTAACCTCGTATTGAATTTGCGAGATATCAGCGGTCGTTGTCCTATAACTACTCCATCCCCTGAAGAAGTTTTGTGAGGGATGAACAAAACTTTTGAATTGGCATCTTCTGGAGTTTTGGTGCTAGAATTATTTTTGTTCCTTGCTTTATACCTGCAACATATTAAGGTCGATAATTATCATAAAAACATACAGGAGTCATCCAAAAATTCTTATGGTTATGATTCCATGATTTTGGGTTAATTATGTGTAGATGTCTTCTTCCTTGGAGAGTTTATCTAAAGGTATGTGATCTATCTTCAATGTATTGAAATTCATCGCCGTTGAATATCTATGGCCCTAATTTTGGTTCAGTTTGGTAAGCATTAGCTGTTCATCTGGGATTGTTGTTCTTGAATCTATATAACTCTGGGTTCGGGTTTTGAATTCACACCTTGGCCGGAGATTGCTGAAGTAAGTTCCTTTTATGCTCAAAATTCTGTTGAATTTTAGAACATCGAGTTGTAATTTTAGTAGATTAAGGGAATAGTGCTATATCTGATAATATTTGAATGGTGATGTCTTGAGTTTGGACAAGTGTGTATTGGCAAAAAGCTTCTTTGGTACTCAACTGTAATATTTGCTTGATACAGTCCTCGGTTTTCGTTACTTCTTGTATTGTTCCCTCTCTGCAAAGAAATCTGTCGAATAAAAACTGTAAAAAAGGTTAGAAATTTCGATGTAAGGTAGCTGCTTATCGTAAAATTAATGGGGTTATATTTCTTTACGTACATTTCGTAGTAGTGGTAGTGGGCATTCTCTACCTCATTTCCTTGGCATTGAATATTGTAGAGGTAATGGATTTTAACAAGAGCCATGAGTCATGCCGATTCAGTACGCAAGTTTACCTGTTATTTTCAAGGTCATGGCTCTTGTCAAAATCCATTACTTCTACAATTTTACGGTAAACATCGGCTGTTCTCGGTAATTTGGTGTTACGAAGACAGTATGGCCTTGATTTGGCGAAGTAGTAGTTTTTTTTCCTTCACGACTGTCTCTTTCTATCCCTTTCTATAAGAATATTTCTACTTTTCATATATTTAATGTTTATTCGCTTTGATGATCGCAATAATATACATAGAGATATTTTGAGTACCAAATCGTCGGAATCTATGTCGGCTGCGACTTAGAATTTCATTTCAAAAAAAGAATAAGGGAAATGTGTTTGTGCCGCCATAGTACATTCTTACTGTAGGTATTGCGCTATTATATTTGTTTCGAAGAAGAGTTGTGTATCTATGATCAATATTGCTGTAACAAAATTTCTTATGTTTCTTCACTTTGGGAAGCTACTGTAACCAATAGTAGCTAGATCACTTGGACAAGGTCCCTGATGTTATAAGATCGGTAAAGTAGTGTGAAGAAGTTGGAAACCAAATTAAAATGAAAGTTGAAACTGAATGCAGTTCGGCTAGCTGGGTATGCTTGAGACTGGCCAGTTGATATTCAAGGTAGGGTTAGGCCTATTTGCATGCCCTTAGAAAATAGTAAGGAATAGAAAGGATGTATATTATCTAAGAAAATGTAAGAAAAACCAAAACGAACTAAGAGTAAGTACTCAAAAACCGGAATAGAGGAAAAAAGAATGATTTGGGCGCCAGGGAAGATGTTGACTGGACTCTTAGTCTAACAAACACTTCACCTAGTGACTTTATTGCTGTGGTTAAATATGTTTTCTATTACTAAATATAACCTTATAAAAAAAAAGAAAAAAAAATAGGTGGTTTAATAAAACAGAGTATTACTGATAACCCAATTTAATAACTATAAAATAGAAACTTAGAAACCCCGTAATGTACAAATTAACTTAATACCCTATACAAAAATCCCCTTAACAAAGTTCTATATACCTAATCTAATTTTGACTACCCTTATAATATACAATATATTTACATTCAATAGTTTACTAGGAAAGTATCAACTTATTTTGTTAAGTTTTATTTATTAATTAACGCCAAATCTGATGACAACCAATATTTCTATATATTTGAACAACTATAACCCCTCCCTATATTTATTACAATTTATCAGTTTGACAAGTTCTACGTTGATTCAAATCAGATCACCTGTAGATATATCTAAATTGGTCTGTCCAGAAAGGAACAGATCCAATATGAATTGGTGATATTACCAGTAGGGTTGTAGAAATACAAAATGGACCTTTGTGCACAAATGACCTTACAAAATTGTATTAAAATCCACCCCTACCATGTTATAACTAATACATATGTATATATATTTAAAATATTTGATGACAAAAAATGAGCCAATGATATTGAGAAAAAAAAATTAAATGTTATATAAATAATGATATGAAAATATTAATTAAGAAAATTGACTAACATGATTATTAAGGTTTTTTTTTTTCGTTCACTGATGAAAGTTTACACAAAATTTAAGGTAAATTATTTAAAAAAAAAATAGTCTGAAACAATAAAAAAAAACCTGGACTACTTCCCAACAGAGAAGATTCTTCTTCTGGATGCCTTACGTCACTGGGACTCGTACGGTGAAAGCTATATAAGCACACTCTCCTAGTAGTTAAACTAAACAGCTATTCCAGTAATCGGGAAAAACCAAAAACTTCAACCAAACTATATGGACTTCATTATCTCAAATTCAAAATAATCTTGAATTGACTTTATATTCGTTTCTACTCCAGCGACTAAAAATAAAATCAAAGAAAGCTCTCATTAGCTTTATTCTGAGTTGATAAACAAAAAGGCGGTTAGGACAAGAAAAACTAGCCCGAATAATGATAATTAGTGAAGGTTTGTACACTTTTTGTGATCTTGGAAAATTAATTGAAAACTATGTATTTATAAAAATAATGTTGGGATTAACTATGAAGATTTCAAAAAAAAAAAATTTAACATATCTTAACGAATATATTATAGGCCAAGAGTAATGGAGGATCTCCTTACATTACCGAATTGCTTGGATATTGATGAGAACGTGTACTTAGGAGAATTTCTAACAGAAAGAATTCTGAACGTGATTTACTGATATAATTAGGGTAAAATTATTGTATAAATGATATTAATATGAAATTAAGAATGGTTTAAAAAAATGATTTAGTTTAATTAAAATGAAACTCACCCAACGCAACACTATTTCACTATTTAAACTAAAATCTTCTTATCCCAAAAATTCTAATATTAAAACAAAAAACGCCTTCTGTAACTTAAATAGTGGATCTCTGAATAAATTAAAATGTTGTCCTGTTAACTTAAAAACCACGTGCGTTGGTCGCTGGAATTAATCAATCCTCTATCCCGATCAAAGGCGGATATAAAGTGAGTTATTATCATAGATTAAATATATATAAGTAGAGAGGTTATTATACTTTAAAAATCGTTGGCTTCCGTCAGCTCCAAGGTAACCGCACGATACACACAGACATGTCTGTGTGTATCGTGGGTAACCGGAAGCGGTAGGTAAGCAGTCTGACCAATGGGTAAAAATTGATAACACCATTATGTATAGCTGGTTGCATACCTTACAGGCAGAATTAAGTTGTTTTAAAGTTTTCAGTAACGATAAAGTACTCTTATCGTTACATTGCATTCTATAAGAGCTCTCAACATGGAGCTATGCTGGACTGAGTGAAATGCTTTCTCAAAGTGTACAAATATTAATATCAATGGCTTGTTGTATTCTATAGCTTTCTCTGTCAAGGATTTTATTACTTGTAGGTGGTCATTCGTTCCAAATCTTTCCTGTCACTCCTAAATCCGGCTTGCTCTAGTGGTTGGTGAAAATCTAAATTAGGTCTCAGTCTGTTAGTAATTGTGCTTATAAAGGGCTTATATAAATAAGATAACAAGGTGATAGGTCTGTAGTTTTTAAGTTCTGTTACCATCTTCTTTTTTATGCAATATTATCATAATGCTACTATTCCATTTTTCTGGTGTAGTAGTGATTGCAAATTTCACTGTCTTTGGGGACTTTTTTTTTAATACGTGTTCAGCCTATGTTGCTGAAGAAAGTCTATAAGAGTTTGACCCCTTTTGGTTCTATCGTCATATCTGTGAGGTTCAAGTACAAACTCTGAATCATCCTGCTTGTAGCCTATTTTGGCGTTTAGGTCTCCGATCAGTGAACTATGGTTGGGGGTTACCTCTTGTATCCCAGTGTTAATATCATCGTAATAAACTTCTTCGCCTGCGTAGGTACTGGTAAGTGCGTATACCTGGATGAGCTTTAATTGAATTTTTTTATTTAATGTGTAAATAAGATATATATCCTATCACTTTTATTGTGAGTATATTCTTTGTATGTTTTTTATTTGCCATAAATCCGACGCCACCATTAGATGACTTTACTCTATAATGCAATAGGTTTTCCGATGAAAGCACCATTTGTTCTTCACCTTTTCGCCGTCCCTCGGAGAATCCAAGTATATCCCATTTTATATGCGTCAACATGTTTTTTAAGTTCCACAAGTTGTTCATCCATCAACCTCCATCAATATTCTGGTGATATATGTTGCCATAAACCATATTCTTTGCCGTTGTCGTTTGTAAAGATAGCTTAGTCGACTCCGGGAATTCTTAACACCCTCTGTTCGTCTACTTCCGAGACTACTACCATAGCCTGGTTTCAAGAGACTGATGGCCTTGCAATTTCTTCGTATCTCATTTTACGGGGATTTTAGCCGTTTTTCTACCATGCTAGCCTGTGTGGTTTGGTAGAGAGATGTTAGGATGGGTTAGGAAATTTGGGGTCATTGGACAAGGATGATAGATTGGGGCATGGTACCCTCTCCGTTAAAGGAAATAAAAGTGAACGACGGCTGGCGTAGGCAGAGTTGAACCCTGAAGTAGATCGAACTTTACCGAAATAATGTACAGATAATTATAAATCTTTGTTTTTTATTATCGAAAGTTATATTATAAAAATCTACACAAAATACAATTACTTTGAAACTATTAAACTAAAAAAATTGTGGAGTTAATAGATTTGTGCAGTAAACCGCTCAAATATAGAAATAAATAAAATTGAAGTTACGAAAGTTTAAACAATATTGATAAAACAAAAAGACTGTTTCCTTCATTTATTATCTAAATTAATATTGCTAAACATTATTCAAATATAGCATGATTCACAATTTAACACAAAATGAAATTAACATAAAACACTAACTGATATTTTACCACGTAGAAAATTTATGCGATTAATTTTTCGATGAATTCTATTAATGCTGGAACCTAAAAAATACATTTAAATTAAAGATTGTATCAGATTATCATATTTTAATCGAAAAAATTGTTAACTAATTAAGACAAAACTATATGGCATAGTAGTACCATCCAAATAAACCGATATATCTAAAATCTGTCTCTATTTAAAGTTGATAAACAAATTATAGTTGATTCGCCGAATTTTTTTTTGTTTGAGTATCATTGTCGGAAATATACAAAATAAAAATTCCTGCCTATCATTATGAATAGCTGAAATAGACCACTAATGCATACTTCTTTAATTTAAAAAAGAATACTAATCATGATATTGTGAAGTATGCACGTCCCTTTCTTGTATCGGGAACAGGGATTTTTAAACAATTCCCTTATTATAAAAAATAAGTGTTTATTTTCACACGCATGCCTTTTGCTTTCACGATCATCAAATCTAATGACTACACAGAAATATAATAGTGAGGGACAAAATTATGGAATAAACTCATTTTCTCGAGAATGAGCGATTTTGGAAACAAATTTCGAAGCAGGTCATCCAAAGGTATATCCAAAGTTCAAAGGCTTCGAGCTTCTTAACTATTTACGCTTTTAACGTCTTGCCGTCCATGCCTCCTTTGAAGTCAAACTGCGTTTGATCTATCGGCTCCTGACATTCTTATAAATTCGGTTTTGAACAATTTTCAAGAGAGTCTTTAAAGGGTGGCACATTAGACTTATCAATCTATAGTCATTACATGATTTGGGATTGTTGTTCTTTGGTAGAGGTAAAAATATCGATTTAAGCCATTCCTCCGGAATGTTACCCTATACATATATGTGGTTGAGAATTTGGATGAGTCTCTTTGTATTACCGTCATCTTTGAACAGTTCAACTGGAATTTGATAAGGACCCGGTGCTTTTCCTTGTTTTGCATTCTGTAGGGCATGCTTTACTTTTGAGGGTAAAATTTGTAGGTATTGTTCTTCTTCACCTATATCTTGTTCATTTTCCCTCTGGTCATGGAACAGATGGATTATATATTGTTTCAATACTTCCTTTATTTTGCTCTCTTCAGTAACTATTCCTCTATTATTATCTTTTGTTATGAGTGTTCTTCTTTGTCTGGTGTTGCTTGTAAGTTCTTTCATTTTTTTAGTTTGAGGTGTCATGTTTGTTGCTGAGGTCTTCCAGTTCCTGGCATTCCTTGTTCATCCATTCCTCCTTAGCCTTTCTGATTTCATATTTAATTTTATTCTTGATGGTTATATATTTATTTCCATCTTTATTTTTGTATTTTCTTTTTTCAGTTATTAGCTCAACTATTTACGGTGTCATTCAGTGTTTTGTAGTGGTTTTCTCTTCTTCGCCTAGGACCTCTTTTCCCGCTTTTAGTATGTCTTTTCCCGCTTTTTTTATATCTGCCCATTCCACGCTTCCTTCAGTTAATTTATTTATCGCTGCGTTTAGTTATTGTTGGCAGTTGCCGTCTTTTAGGTTTTCGATGTTTATTTTGGTGGTTTTAACTTTTTTCTCTGGTTTTCTGAGTTTAATGTTGACGTTAGCTAGTAATAGATTATGGTCCGTATCTGCATCTGCGCTTGGATAGGATTTTGCACTTTGTACTCCATTACGAAACCTTTTATACGAAACTCGTTATAAAATCTATTTGGTTTCTGATTATATTGTTGGTGTTATCTTTTGGAGAAGTCCACGTGTATAATCTTCGTGAGGGTAGGTCGTAGTATGTATTTGTTATGGACTAATTCTTTCTCCGGGCACTGCCGGGCAGTACTGGACTAGTCTATCACTTCTTTCGTTTCTTTTACCTAACCAAAAAATTTCCTACAAAATATTTCCAGTTTGTCCTCGACCGGCTTTAGCAATAAAGTCGCGCATAATTATTTTGACCTCCTGCTTCTTTATGTTTTTTGGTAACAACTCCCACATTTTACTGCTGATAGAAAACAGAAAAAAAAAATTTGATTAATTAGAATTAGTTTTTTTCTTAAATTACATGTTCAAATTTCCTCAAACCTATCTTTTAGCAGTAATTGAAGCGAGGACGAGAATTTTCTTGAACGTTATGGATCATTTCTGGAGTTATATTACGAATTTCCAATCTGATTATTTATTTTAAATCTTGTAAATTTTGTGGTCGATCGATACAATTATTTGGATTTTAAGTAATCCCATAAGAAAAAAATTGAAGTGGTTAAGATCTAGTGGGGGGAGGGAGAACGTATTTAAACAAAAGGCTAATTCATCACAAAAAGGAATTGGCGAATAAAGCGTGTTGGATTTTGATTGAATAAATCTTGCATTATTTCGCAAAATTGCATTCGGTAATTATATTTCGGCGATGATATTAAATTTCTCTTTAAGTAGACGTAAAACAGGCCTCTTAGAAATGTTTGTAACAGCTGCAACTTGCTTTGAGTTAATCTAGGGAATCTCTGCCACATTTAATAGTACATCAAGTTTTATATTACCATTTATATTAATGTATATATTATATTACATACTTCTTCTGTTCTGGTTTTATCCCCATATAGTTTTTAACTATGTTTCGACTCTTGGTGTTTCTAAGTTGTGTTAATAAGTTAACGCAATTAGTCAGCGCAACATCAGCAAGTGGTCTTTTGCTCTTAAGGACCAGCTTAGAGCTAACTTTGGACGTTTCCAAAGCCCTTAGGTTGCTGAACTGTCGGCGCAGATAGAGATGGTCGTGCCTAAGCAACCCCTATCTTTTATTTCCTGAGCACATACCAGGGTCGTAAAGATTTTTTCCTGAAAGACTGATGCATGGGAGCCGAAGAACTGACTAGATTCAAATCCGATTCCGCTACCATATATTCCTGCATTGAATCATTTGCCCAGAATGGACCAGCAGCTCCCACTCGTCCATTCTGGACTCATCCGTAAGCCAGGTTCATCAGCGCAGGCTCTCGTTCCCTCCAATCATCCCGGTAAGAAAATATAAACGAAGAAGAAGGATAAGAACTCAAATTGATGTGCCATGATCTCCTGTACCATAGACAGCACAGGACACCAATTAAGGTCCTGTCCGCAAATGTCGGCCCATTCATTCCCAACCAGTATCCAAAGCATTTGAGATGATAGTCTGCCATCATGGCTTCGTGCTCTACAATAAGATGTATAGGAGGTAAATCTAGCAGAGCCTTAAGAGCTGCTGTGGGAGTCGTCCTCACGGCAGCCGAGATGTCAACGCATGCCAACCGCTGGAGTTGAGTCAACTGGGTCTTAGCTAAAACCAGTCTAGCTCGGAGTTACCACACAATGGCAGAATACGTCAGTATAGAAATTTTCGTTGCAGACCCCATTTGGCTCTGAAAGCTCTTCTGCACGCCAGAAAAACTGCAGCGGCCTTCTTCACCTTAACATCGAGATATACCTTCCATGAAAGTTCAGAATCCAGGATCACTCGTAGGAACTTCACTTCACGTAGGACTTTAAAAACAGATAAAGCTTTACCATAGAAAATAAGATCCCTATTAGATCCCATAGCTCTTCTTCGAGTAAACAGAACCACAGAAGTCTTCTCAGGATTAACCTCGAGTGACTGCTCGTGGCACCATTTATTAACGAACCCGAGGCTCACCTGAGCGACCTCGTGCACAGTTCCCGGAAAAATCCTCTCAACCAGTATACTACGTCATCGGCGTAGGCTTGCGCATATATACGTTATTCGGACAATCTCTGAATAGGACCATCAACCGCCAGGTACCACAGAAGCAGAGCCAAAACTGCTCCCCGAGGGCAACCACGAGATGCCGACCCCCAAATACAAATCCACAACAGTGAAACATAGACTTCCACTGGTAAGACGCACCTGAGCCACCCCTAGAGTCGGATCTTTGAAGAGGGCATGATGGAGCTTAGCTGCAGTGGACATGTGTTCCACGCTGTCACAGTAGGCTCCCCAAGAGCTCCGCTTTGACCTCTCTATCAGATACTTGTATTCCCTCTGAGCCTCCTTAAAGGAGTCCCAATGAAGAGATTAATGCTGTTAAACATGTATACAATAGTCTAGGCTACGTCTAGGTATTAACTTGAAAAAGCACTACACAACTTTTTTTCTATATACCTAGGTAGTTTTAGTTTTTTTCCTATTTATTTTTTGCTCTTCAGCCCAAAGGCTCTTATCAGTATCCTGATTAAGAGTCTGCGTTAATATGTTAATATGTAAAACTTTTCTTCTTTTATTATTCTTCCATTTTATCAGCTGTTTTAACGTTTACTGATACAAAGTTTAATTTCACTGGAATGTTGTTTAGTTACATTACTATTATCCTTTTAAAGATCGGTATAAAGTTTTGGGTGAATTGACCAATTTGGTACATCCATTAGATGAGAGAGATATTAATTTCAAAAACTATAAGTGATAAATATACAAATGATAGTATAGAGTAGTTCGATACTCCTCTGAAAGCTATAGCGGTATGACAATAGTTTTAATAATTTAATATTTGATGAAATACCGTTTTTGTTTAATATGCCTACGCCACTGTTAAAGTCTCGTTTAATTAAAAAAGAAGAATGATAATGAATAATGGGAGTTATTCATTAATTTTCATTAAAAACTTTGCGTTTGTAAACACAAACTACTATAAAGCTTCATAAATACCTAAACATTTAAAGTTTTGTTTTAATTTATGCAGTTCTATTTTGTTATTAACCTGCATGTAAATATTTTTTTATTTTAAAGTTACAATTAAGGAGGTTATAAAATATTACAATATTTTTTATTTTAAAGTTACAGGAGGAGTAAACTAAAAAGACAGATTCACACCCAAGAAAGTTACTAGAAAAGTCACCAAATACATCTTTTTGGTTGATTATCTCGGAATTGCGGTAATTCTGTAATCAGTATCGGACAACTAAAATAGGAATCATCAGCATCATCATCATCATTCCTCAACCTCTTGCATCCACTGTTGGATATAGGTCTCCCCCATGTTCTTCCACTGTTCTCTATCTTGCGCCTTCTGTATCCAATTTCCGACTTTTTCTCAAGTCGTCCATCCATCATTTTGGTGGTCTGCCTCGGTGTCTTTTGTCTTCTCTAGGTCTCCATTCTACGAGTCTTTTGGTCCACCTATTATCATTTAAACGTGCTATATGTCCAGCCCATCTCCATTTGGCTTGTGCAATTTTTTCTATGACATCTGTCACTTTAGTCCTCTCTCTCACTATCCTATTTGGTACCATATCTCTTCTAGTTATTCCCAACATTGCTCTTTCCATTTTTCTTTGGGTTACTCTCAATTTATTTGCAGAATGTTTGGTTAAAGTTATTGTTTCGGAACCATATGTTATTACTGGCAGTATGCATTGGGTGTAAACCTTTTTCTTTAAGCAAATCGGTAGCGTTCCTTTTAGAATATCCCGCATCTTGCCAAATGCTGCCCATCCCAAGCCTATGCGACGCTGGATCTCACAGGTTTGATTGTCTTTTCCTATTCTAATTTCATGCCCTAAATAGATATAGCTAAAGACCTGATGTACTTCGTTCCCATCTACCCTCATAACATCACTTGGAACTAAATTGGTCATGTATTTTGTTTTTTCAAAGTTTATGTTCAGGCCTATTTGTTCTATTGCCTGTTTCAGTTCTTCCATCATTTTGTGAGCTTCATTTAAACTCTTGGCTATAATGACAATATCATCTGCAAAGCGCAAGTGGCTTAAGTATTCACCATCAATATTTATTCCCCTTTTAGCCCAATCTAGTTTTTCAAAGGCATATTCCAGAGCTGCAGTGAATAGTTGGGGGGAGATGGTGTCGCCCTGTCTAATTCCTCGCTCAATTCTATATTTATCGGTAAAGTCATGGAGTTTAACAGATGCTGTTGCGTTGTTGTATATATGTTTTATCAAATTTGTATATCTATAGTCTACTCGGCTTTGTTCTAATGCTCCTAATACTGCCGGTAATTCCACGGTATCAAAAGCTTTCTTGAAGTCTATGAAAATCAACGTGAGTGGTTTATTATATTCAACACATTTTTCAATTAGTATTTTAAGTGCTGTAGGTATTGTGATGATCTTGGTAAACCATTTGTAGAGATGTGACAACATACTTATCGGTCTATAATTCTCTAGGTCTAATATATCTCCTTTTTTGTGTATTAGGATAGTAATTGCATTGTTCCATTTTGTAGGGACAATACCTTGGTTTAGACATAGGTTGAATAGTTCAGTTACTACTTCCAGCAGTTTCTTGCCTCCTACTTTAACAGCTTCTATTACTATTTGGTCATCATTCGGAGGCTTGTTGTTTTTCATTTCCTTTAGAGTTCGTTTCACTTCTTCTATCGTTATGGTAGGCAGAAGTTCGGATCCTTGGTTCATTACTCTGCGTTCTCTAATTTGTGTTTTGTCTTCTTCTGTTAACTGGCTTTTGTATAATTCTTCATAGAAGCTTTTTGCTATCTCTACTATTCCCTCTCTATTTGTTGTTATATTACCTTCCTTGTCTTTTAGTTTAACAATTTCATTTTTACCATCACAAAGCTTTCTTCTGAGTATTTTTATATTTCCATTTTGCTCAATCACATTTTGTATTTTCTCAGTATTATACTTCCTCTGATCTTTACGAATTGCTTTTGAGATATCTCTGTTTAGATTTCTGAGTTCAGCTGAGTCGCCTTTCTGCTCTGATCTCTTGATTTTTCTTTCTTTGGAAAACCTGGAAAACTCAAATGGTGGCATTGGTCTGCTCATCCATAAAAAAACATGTACACAGTATATTAGATATTAAGCAAATATCAGAGAGAGTGATATACATAATAATTTCACTGAATAATAGATACAAAATGAAAGTTGTACAATGTTATGCTCCAACATCAGCACATGAAGAAGAAGAAATCGAAAACTTCTATGAAGATTTAATTATTTTCCACTTTACCGTCTTTTTTCCTTCATATGTTTCTTCTGACCTCTTCTCAAAATTAAAGTACTTAATCAAAGGATACACCTCAACGTCATTATCGTTGCATAGTTCAGTGTTAACAGTACAATCTACCTGAGCAAAAGATACACTAGTGTCTTCTTTAAAATGTTCAGCAACTTCTTGAAATTTTGGTTTAGTTTTTCTACAATGAGGGCAGTCTAAAACGAAAAATTTTTAATGAAGTTTTTAAATACAAAGAACGGATGTATAAAAATATAATAAAACAGGTAACGCATAGAATATTATATTCTTGATAAAGAGGGGCCCTTTTTATTACATAGGTACTTTCCCATCATTGTCAGGATATGGATTGTAATATGAAAAGTAAACAAACGAAATCTGCGAAGAAAATCGTCTTTAAGATCTGCATCAACATTTTAGAAAATGGCAGAGATCTGTTGATTTTTATTTCAAGGGAAAACGTGTTCTGATATTTTTGACTCGGTCACCTTTACATCCAAGTGAGAACAAGAAACACGCCACAACTTTTTAATGGCATCTATCGATTAATCGAGTGTCGTTTTCAGGCCCTTGTTATTCCTTTTACAATAGTGTAAATTTTAAAATTTTGTCTAATTCTTTTTAAATGGCAAATTCAAGTAAGTTGCTTTTTCTTAGAGGTCGTCTAAGGTCGACTACAATGGATTGGAGTATTGAATATCTTCCATTCATTCACAATACCCATTCCATCTTTTAAAACCATTTACCCGCTTGTACAGATTTAGCGGATAGATAAGATATATTTTTAGTAATTTGATAGTCTCCAAAAGTTGCTTACCGCTTATAATCTAATCTCTCTAGTATAGTTGACTGTTTCAGAGTATCTGCTACAGACTTAAGTCCCAATGCAACACCCCCATAATGTGCTGGTGCTCCTTGATCCATTCCGTTTCCGAGATTTCGTTTATGATGTTACTATGTCCTCATCTAACAAATTAGTTCCTCAGGTTTTCTCGCAGTCTACAATATATCATTCCCGCTTCAATTTTATAATAATGTTCAGAGGAGAAAGGTCTCGTATCACATCCATAGCTACTGTTGGTATGTCCCTAGAAGTCCCTGTGACTCCAGGAACGCAGAGCCTTGTTTAGTTTGAGGATGATACATTTTTGCTGCACTTTGAACAGTATATTACTGAAGCATATATAATTAAACTTTAAAAAATTAAGGCAAATATCGAGCACAAGTTTAATCAAATCTTGCCCAAGTACTTTCGCTATCTACAGCATCATCATGGGCATTTCGTCAAATTTGGGCCATTCAACAAGCGTAGAATGTAATACACATGAAAGTGGACATAAATTGTACATAACACGACATTAACACAAGAACAAACAGTTTAAAATTATTAAAATTATTCTAACGCTCTACATTCTTGTCAGCAATCGGAGAGAGAGAATTCTCTCTCCAATTGCCCCGATCTTCTTTTATCTGGTTACGACCATGTGTACAAATCTTCTCGGGAGATGTGGATGGTGGTCTAAATGACTTGCAGCAAATAGACAACGATGGAAATACAAAATACCGTCGAACGGGGTAAAACCAATCACATGGGTTTAAACCGATCGCTGACGGTTTTTTGCCTAATATTTTCAGGATTATTAGTATATGTAAATTTACCGCCAAACAAGCGTTCGTACCTGTCCAAGGATATACCAGTCGCCATAGTGAGCTCAAAGTAACAGGTTGAAAGTGTCGCGTGGATGCAATGTAGACTAGTAAACAAACGTCGTATTCGGGTGTTTTTTACAAAACTTGGAAAGATTTCCGTCTACAGAAAAAGTTATTACAATAGAACATTTCTGGTAAGTGTTATTTTGTTGTGGAATTCTTAGAGAGTATTAGTCATGGCCAATTATGCGATTTTTCTTTTTTAATTAATTTTGATATATTTTTTTCTGTAAAATCTGAAATTTGTGGGGTAAAACCGACCAACAATTCCCTAGTTATTTTATAGATGGTATCTACCTAATTCTTATGGATATGAACGTTATGGGCAGCACAGAGTGTGGACGTGGTTTGGTGATCACCAAACTCCTCTTCAAATTGGTGTAAGATTTTAAGATATTTTTTTTTTGTTTACAGGCAATGCCTCGCACCTATAAGAAGAAGTTAGGGCCAACAAGAAAAACTACAGTACAATGAAATTTATATGGAACGAGCATTGAAAGCTGTTGCTAGTGGGAGTATGTCTATAAGAAAGGCCTCTGAGAATTATGGAGTACGTTATACCACCTCTAAGGCCTCTGAGAATTATGGAGTACCTTATACCACCTTACAAGAAAAAATTCGAAAAAAGAGGCAACATCTCAAGATTGGAGCGCCACCAGTTCTTTCTGAACTGGAAGAAAAAAAGATGGTTAATTGTCTACTAGTGTGCGCGGACTGAGGATAGCCTCTACACAGTATTGACATTCGATATATGGTTCAGCAGTTTTTTTAATAGAGCAGGAAGAAGAGAAAAAAGATTCAGAGACAATTTACCAGGACCAGATTGGTTCTTCAAATTTATGGGCCGACATAAGGATCTCACCGTAAAATTAACAGAGAATACAAAAAGGGTAAGGGCTGCAGTCACTTATGAAACAGCTGAAGAGTATTTTCGTCATCTTAAAGAGTCTTTGAAAGGGGTCGCACCGTCAAATGTGATAAACTAAGACGAAACCAACTTCACGGACGATCCAGGAGCTGTAAAAGTCGTGGTCAGAAAAGAATCAAAACACGTTCATCGAGTGATGGACACGTCGAAAGCGAGTACTAGCGTTATGTTTTCAGTTGCTGGCGATGGAACACTGTTGCCACTTATATATTGTACAAAGCAAAGCATTTGTATGAAGGAAGGGCCGATGGAGGCTTTCCTGGTGCACGATATAGTAGAACTTTAGAAGGCCCTAAAGTAATGATAGGGGATAATTTATTCAGTCATCTTACAGTAAATGTTATCGAGCAATGTGAAAATAATGGTATAAAGTTTATACTTTTACCTTCAAACTACACAGATTTATTACAACCACTTGACGTTGCCTATTTTCGACCTTTAAAGAATGCTTGGTGGAAAGTGCTCATAATTTGGAAAATCAAAAACAGGGATGTCCTGCCCAAAACTGTTTTTCCAAGACTGTTAAAAGAAACAATAGAAAAAGTGGGTCTAAAATCAACCTCAAACACCCAAGCCGGTTTTAAAGCTTGTGGCATCGTACCTTTAAATCCAGATCAAGTGCTCAAAAAAATACAACATTTGAAAAGAGGAGAAAACAAACATAGCGAACAGGAAGCGACTAGAGTCGAGAAAATTTGGACGAATACCATTGTCGATCATTTGAGAAAACTAAGAACAGGTTCAAGTGAAAATCCAACGAGAGGTAAAAGGATGAAGGTGGCAACAGGAAAAAGTATTTCTAAGAAAGACCTTGTACAAGAAAGTGAAGCTTCTGAAAGTGAGCAAGGGTTAAAAGTACACAATCTAAGTTTTTCAGAGTTAGAAAATGACGAGGAAATTTCACACCCCAGGTTTCTATGATACACATTTTCAGCTTGGAGAATTTGTTGTCGTTAAATTTGTTACGAACAAAAGAGATCGATTTTTTGCTGCTAAAATTACAGATATTTCTGACGAGGAGGCCACACTTTAATGCTTGAGGAAAAAGTCGTCAAAAAAACAAATTTGCTTTGCTTATCCAGAAATCGAGGATATCGCCATAGTTCAGAAAGAACAGATGATACAAAGAATACAAGCAATTCCTCGCAGAAGAGGAACATTTACTTTCAGCGGGATTTCCAAGTTTATGTTAGAATAAGTTAGAAAGTACCAAATTACCAATGTACCACCAAAGAACCAACGTCTTCCTTTTGTTTTTTAGAAATAAGTGTAAATTTTATTTTGTTTTAAGTTTTTTCAATGTTTTAAACCCAAATTTGTATTTATTTTTGAAATAAATTTCTTTAGTAAACAAATCTTGTGTTGATTTTTACAATTTATTGCATAAAAAATAGTTAAAAATTTTTTTTGTGTAATCGGTTTTACTCCAAAGCTTGCTTAAAAGCAACATAAACGCAATTCAACACCCGATCGGTTTTACCCCAACATATGGGGTACAACCGATTACCTTTTGAAAATATATGAGAAAAAACTATTAGGATGATTTCAAAAGAAAAACTACTAATTGGCACTTCAGATATGATACTTTAACATATATAATTTGCAGCTTTCTCAATTCAAACATAATCATGAAAACATGAAAAAAACCTCAAATTTTGGTCGGTTTTACCCCGTTCGACGGTATATCAACAACTGGAAACTAGAGTAAAATAGACCATGAAGACGTACATGTGGTATTCTAGAAGAAGAATTATAGAGCACAGTCGTATGTGATAGAAAGGAATAGAGTACAATTGTTGATCAGACCAAAACTCATAGAGCTACCAAAATAGAGAAAGTCAAAGAAAGGTGTAAAAAGTTTTAAAATGTCCTAATAATGTACTTACATGGTGACATGAACATAACTAATACATGTTTTTTCGATTTCAAGAATTTTAGAAAGGTATTTTCGTTTAGCTCTGTAATAAGACATTTCTCTGTTTTTTCTTCATCGTCTGACATAATTGCCCCGAGTCAGGGTATTTTTTTTTTCTATAAAAATCAAATAAAAAGTCTTTTTTGATATTGTAAATTAAACGAATTGCTTGATGTAAGCATTATATTAAAGTAACATCGAATTTTGAAGTAATTAAATGACAGTGATAGGAAAACAACAGGAACAGTAGTTCTGCTAGTAAGTAATAACTCGATAACTTCTTCTAACAAATTTATGTATACATACTTATTTTGAACTCTTGCATTTCGACACACAATCAGCCTATCTAATAAAGACTCGACATGTCCATAGATCATCGAGTTAGAATCTATGGAGAAGCTATGAGCATATTAACGTATGTATTAAAAACGGCATAGGTAGGAGTGGCTAACTATGATACCAATATGGCGGTGACATCAGGGCCAGACTCAATAATAATAAAACTACTATACAAATATGACTAGTTATTCAGAAGATCATAATCATAATCTAAAAAGTGCAATACATTTTTAATAAACTATGATTTATTTATCCCGCGGTAAACACTAAAAACACGATATATTATATATAAAGATAAATTAATAAAGTCAAATAGTATTAATTTATTCTCTGAAGTACGGGCCATTACTTTGTTTACATATTTGTATACTAACCTGTGGAACGATATTCCTGAAGATTTTTTATTAACATTACTTCTGCTACTGCAACTACGTTGAGAACAAGAAACCATTATTATCACAATATATTACAGTTTCTATAAAATTATTATAAAACTGAAAATATTCGAAAAACAACAAATATAACCAAACATATACGATCTGTCAAAAGTTTCAAAACAATAATACCAATATGGCCGAAGTTGGGTCGTTTTTAGTCACGTGACCTCTCCATAGATTCTAACTCGATGCCATAGATAAATAATATAGTGACATGTGCCGATTAAAATCACATTGTCGGTGATCTGGCAATTTCTGCTATCTGATTTTTTTAAGAAAATAAGTTATCGATGAATTCGGACTGCTTGTGGCAAAGATTCGTCTAAAGAAGTCATATCTTCTTCTTATGGTGCCTATCCGTTACGGATGTTGGACACTAACATGGCTATTCTGACTTTGTTGACTGCTGCCCTAAAAAGTCCGGTAGTGGTTAAGTTAAACCACTTTCGCAGGTGGTCAAAGAAGTCATATGAAAGAGAAAAATGTCTAGATAGATAAAAACATAACTTGTAATTGCTCCTACCAAAATTTACACGAGTTATTTGTAAGCGAAACACAATATTTCTGATAAATTTCACAAACTATTATGTACATATTAATGGTAATATGTGATTATAACAACTAAAGTAATACGATTCTAAACTAAAATGATAAAAAAGAAATATATAGTTTTTATGATTTCTTTTAGATAGGAGAATTTGCAAGTAGCCAATAAACAAATGTTTTTTACGGAAGTACATGCCCTGCGACACTTTGCCTCCTGGTCCTATAGGTAAAGATTGCAATTACTGGATCCAGCGTTTTTTTATATGCTGGATCCAGCAAACCATGATGGATCCAGCAGCGCGGATCCACAAACGTGTCAAATTCGAAATAAGTTACTTCATGTCTTCATTAGCCTTTTTATTATATCTAATAATTTAGCATAATTTATGATAAGAACATCACTTGATGATTTATTTAAGTTAATTGAATAAGGACTGGCAATAGTAAACACTTCCTTCTTAACTATCAACACCGATCATCTTCTACAATGATATTTATTTTTGCCCATTTCACAGCAATTTTTTGCCAACAGCCTTTTTCTTGCAGTGGACATGATATATACGTCTAGCTTTATCTGAAATCAAAAATTGTCTTATAGTTTATAGCTCTGGCTAGTGAACACACGAAGCAATTAAAGATAAAAAAAAAACGAAATTTTAAGGTTGTACATGTTTAAAACACGTTTTCGATCCCAATTTTCACTCATTTTTTTCAAATTTGACCATTTTCAAAGTATTTTTTTGTATACAAAAACGACTTGACTAAATGAAAATTCCTTCGTTTATTCACTAGCCAGAGGTACAAACTACAAGAACATTTTTTGATTCCAGATGAAGCTAGACCTAGACATCATGTCCACTGCAAGAAAAAGGATATTGACGAAAAATTACTGTGAAATTAACAAAAATGAATATTTTTGGCTGCAATTCTTTTTTAGAGTACATTAAGTACTATATGTCTTAATTACAAAAAAAAATAATTTTTAGTTTTTGAGATATAATTTTTTTAAAAACTCGTTTTTTTATACCCTCACGACCTATGTAACACCTTAATTTTTAGTTTTTTCTTCAATCAAAACATTCAACAAATATAACTCGTCCAGATAAAGAAACAGTATATAAAGGCACTTGAGAAACAACCATATGGAATAAACATCAACTAGGAACTACTTAATGTGATTAGATATGCAGACGATACAGTAATTCTATCAGATAATATTGAAGGTCTTCAAATTCTGCTTGATCGTATTCACGAGGTGGGAAAGGAAATGGGCATTAAAATAAACTCAAACAAAACCAAATTTTTAGTGTTTAGTCGTGACCCACATCCCGATGCAAAGCTTCAATTGAACGGAGTCCAAGTTGAGAAAGTTCACAAAATGACATATTTGTAGAAAAAAACGTAGAATAGCAATGACTAACACTACTTTTATGAAAATGAAGTCATTTCTTTGCAATAACCATCTCAGTTTAGAACTAAGGCAAAGAATGGTTAAGTGTTATGTTTGGTCTGTACTTTTGTATAGTGCAGAAGTATGGACGCTAAAAGTATTGATCATGAACAAAATTGAAGCATTGGAAATGTGGGTTTATAGACGAATGCTGAAGATACCTTGGACAGCAAGAAAAAGTAATGAAGAAGTATTAAGGAGCGTCAACAAAGACAGAGAACTGCTAAAGAGTGTTAAACATCGAAAAATGTCTTATCTGGGACATATAGTAAGGGGAAGTCGATATAAAATTTTACACTGATCCTTAAAGGCAAAATAGAGGGCCGTAGAGGTGTAGGAAGAAAACAAGTTTCTTGGTTAAAAAACATTCGTGAATGGACTCAGATAACAAATGCAGGACAATTATTCCATATTGCAGAAGATCGAGAAGCCTTCGCAATGGTGATCGTCAACGTCGGATAGTTCTGATATGGCACGCGAAGAAGAAGAATATAAAGGGTTGCCAGTGATCATGCTTTTTCGCTCACACTAAGACTAAATCTCACACATATATATCAGGCGTTCTTGTTTTCTCATTCACGCTCGCGTTCAGATAGCCGTTACCATTTACAGTTTGTTTCTTTATCTGGGCGAGTTATACCTACACCTTATTTCACAGACGTTTTTTTTTCTTTTCAGATTTAATGCTGCTCCAGTTACTCCAATATTAATTAAAATGTCTTTTAAAAATGAAGTTGATTAGCAACCGCTCAAAAACAGGCTTAAAAGGACATCTGAATAAGATACACAACGTCTCTTCTTCAAGTTCCAACACGAGCACTATTATACCAGCTCCCAATGCAACCTTGTCAAAAGATGAAGATAATCAGTAGAAGGAAGTAGTTCCGAGCAAAAAGTCGAAAAAGACTATTGATTCCTACTTTAAAAGAGAAAATTTTATGGAAGATATGGTTACTAGGAACACTATAAGAGCGATAATTTACAGGTATACAGAGAAAGTCCAAGCAAATCTTATAAAAGAATTTACTAATTTAAAACAAAAAAGACAAAGATTTTCGTTGAACTTCGACGAGTATAACTCTCAAAAAAATTACAGATACATAAATCTCAATTTGCACAACGCAGAATATTTTAATCTAGGTTTGATCAGAATTCACGGCTCGTACACTGACGAACACTGCATTGAATTAGTGGCAGAACGGTTGAAAATTTTTGGTTTAATGATTGAATCCGACACCATTGGTATCACAACCGACGCGACGGCGCATCCGTTATGGTGAAGTGAACGTTGGAAAGCTCATGCCTTGCCATCAACAAATGTGGTATGCACATGTAATTCATTTGGCTCTAGTAAACGTGCTGTATAAAAAGAAATCTCAAAACCTCAGCCGACATAAGCAAAGCTCTATGTTTCACTTCCACGGCTTGCTGAGTACGAGTTTTTTTAAAATCTCATGATAATTAGCTTGTTAGATTGTTGATAAATAGATTAGATTAATAGATTGATTGCGAATTGCAACTGATTATGCGTCCTTATTTGAATTTTTATTTTATTAGATTGAATTAAAAAGCTGAAGTAATAAATAAAAAAAAAAAACATTAAAATCGTGTTTTTTATTTTGATTCCACGTTTTGCTGGATCCGCGCTGGATTCAGGCCAATCCTCCAAAATCCAGCTAAACTGAAAATGCTGCTGGATTGCAATGTACATAATATCTACATATTTTTCTTTAAGAATCTGACCTCACAATCTGTTTGATCCACATTATCAACTACTGCCACAAAATCTCTACGCCACGTTTTTTCCCAAAAACTTTGGTAACAACGTAATCGCCCTTAGAAATTTCTGTATCTACCCTTTTTTCTTTTAATTCGAAACTTTCATCTGACGAATTATCGTTGTACTCTACTTTATCACTCTCGGAGTTCGATGATTCATCCTGTAGGATTTTCTTCTTAACATCATTATTTTTCTTATTTGCCACTATATCTTTTCCCTTCAAAGTTTCCTCAAGTATATTTTTCTCCGGTGTGTCGGTTGCAATTATACATCGGCCTCTTTTCCTACCTCTATTACAAATTCTTCTAGCAGGCGCTTTTGGATAGGGCTGAATAAGTTCTGGAGAGATAAAATTATTTGTGTCTTGTAATGAGTTTTTTTTTAGGTAGCGTTTGCGGATCTGAAATACGATCTATGACAGATGAAGATAGAAAATTCTCTTCAGAAAATATATTTTTATCAAATGGAACAATCCCTGTAAATCGAAATCCAGATTTTATATTAACTGGATTAGCGGCTCTGTCCCAAGACTATCAAAGGTAAATCGTATATGCTCAGGGTCTGTCCAGGATGAGAAAGCATCCATAAATCTGCTGCCTGATTAAAAAAGTTTTAAATGTACAGTTCGCGTCATAAAAAACTGATACAACTCTTATAACCGAAAATCGTGTTTTTCAAGTTATGTAAGTTGATCTTGTCACATATGTCATTCTAGTTTCTATGCAACGTTACCTGTTCAACGAAATATTGTATCAAATTAGCTAAAAGGAATTCTGTGCGACAAACACATTATAAAATTACAGTAGAGGCATTCCGGATAAAATTTCCGGGCTTTTTTAGGGTATAGGTACACTTTAAAACTACATTTTCCTCTGAAGTTTTGAAGATTTTTGTCTATAGTGACGAATGCAGAATGAGTGTGGTTTTCTTGACAGTGCCGTAAAAAGTCGTCGAAAAATTCCCTAAAACAGTATAATTTGTCCAATAAATGTCGTTGCCCATCTTCACTGCTAAAATGGTCGAAACGGAGTACTTGTAATAGAAATTTAATACATAGAAAAAAAATCAACATAATAGTTGAGTTGTGGTTGAGTCTGAACATTTCTACATCCAATCCATCACTTCTTCATAAATCCACATTTTTTTTAGTAGGTTGACAAACACCACTTGAATATAGAAACCCAATTAGTGCTTGCACTTCAATAAAATTCGTTTCTCTTACATCCCTAAGAATATGGTTATTTTGGACTTATCTAGTTTTTATATTTGTATAGGTAACTAGTTGCTCAATTAGGTAATCAGGAAAAAAAAGCGCCAACAATCTATTTAAGTTTTTCTTTGTTTAGCTTCTCTTATTGGGTCCGGAAATTGGGCAAATATTTGATTTCACGCAAACAACCCCTATGTATCTGTTGATACGTATTTCGTCCTAATAGGTCTCATCAGAACAGCTATTCATAGGTATTCTCAACGTGAAAAATCAATATTTTCTGTCTTTTAAGAAGCAACAATAAAATGACTTCAATACGGACGCGATAGCGACATCTAATTACAAAATCCGTAAAATAGTTTCGAAACACAATGTCTTTCAATTTTGGATAATGTTTTCTGAGGTATTCTCGGCCATATGGTTGGATTGGGTATATCCTTACCGATGTATGTTGAGCTGATAAAACCTGGTTCAAGAGGCATTGATTTCTGTGAATTAGATAATGATGAATAGATGGCTGTGAATGTTGATGGAACATTTTTGTTGGTGATATTCTGAACCGACGAAACTTCTCCTGCAGTATTCTCGGCAGTTACGAGCGTACTGTATAAGCGTGGCGGAGGAATAGTCAGCACCGCGACTCTTCTTTTATGCCATCAATGGAATTATTTTAAGAATTTCTGGAACTGCTGCAAGTTGCCGCGAGTACGTGTAATGAGGTGTTAATAAAAAAAAAAAGAAAAATGGTGGTCTCTTGTGCGATATAAATGTTCTAGTGTCCAAGTAAAAACCTACGAACACCAGTGATATTCAAGAAAGTTCTGGTATAAACTATAATATGAAAGGAAATCAGTGATGGGAAAGTTACCACAAAGAGAAGGAGAAGCTGAGTCAAAACAAAAATTAATGCACACGACTTAAAAACTACAAATAAAAGGTGAAATATACATGGGCCGTCGTAAAAAAGCCGAGAAAATTAAGCAAGATATACCAAGCAAAACAAAATCTTTAAAATAAATGTGTACTAAGTAAAATATTCGAACTCTAAATTAGGATATTACAAGGAATTTACAGAACTGTAGGTACATATCTCATATATTTAACATATTTTGGGGTATCACTTGGGGTTAATGTAAGGCCCTTATAGAATCTTATGGATTTACTATATATATTGAAAGGAAGACACCAGAGAAACTAAAATTCTGGATTAAGTCAGAAGTGAAAGAGATGAAATAATAGCACTAACAATGGACTTACAAGCTGACAAGTTTTGTCCATATTTACCAGCGACCAAAATATATTCAAAAACCAAACTGTTCTGACATAACTTCTACAGTTAATAACCTAAAAACTCGCAATATTATGTAACGCAATATTATGCATTGGTTATCAGAAAACAAGAATAACTAGCTCAAAGCATCCACATTCATTTTCTGTATCATAGATTACTCTAAATAATGTATGATACATGTTGAAGCCGGAATTAGAATTAACGGAGAATGTATCAATAATATCAAATACGTGGATGATACGGTGGTACGCTGACAGTTATGAGGCCCTCCATTAGTTAATGAATAAAATCACAGAAATAAGTCAGAGATATGGACTTTCACTAAACATTAACAAAATGTATAATGATCTCCAAAAAGGAACAGCAAATTGGAAGAATCAGTGTGAATGGTCAATCAATAAGAGTAAAAACATACAACTAACTTGGTACGAACGTCAAAGAAAATTGGGACCATTCCTTAGAAATAAAATGTAGGATAGACAAAGCAAGATCTGCATTTCAAAAAATAACTAAGCTATTCGAATATCATGATTTATCAGTGCCCATAAAAATCAGGTTACTACGATGTTATATCTTTCCTATACCATTGTACGGAGTTGAGACGTGGACTCTCATAAACGCTAGTCAGGACGTTTTATTAAGCATGCAAAAAGAAAAAGAGCTGTTAACCACAATAAAAACAACCAAAATCGAATACCTCATGAGGAAAAGCGAAAGATATGGGTTGCTGCAATTAATTCTATAAGGAAAACGAGGACCAGGAAGGCGGAGGATGTCATTACTGAAAAATTTATGTATGTGGTTAAACCACAAATCTGTTCAAAGCAGCAGTGTGCAAAATACAAATTGCCATGAATGTCTTTAACATTCGAAACGGACAGGCACAACAAGACGATGTGTTATTTTGTAGATTTAAAAGCAATATTCTAAGCCTACACCACGACCGATAACACTTTACAATTATGAAAATAAACTGTTCAAATTTACTACAATACAGAGAAATAAAACACAGGTTCGATTTTTTATTATTTTCATTAAATTAGTCACCTTTAAATATCAGATCTGCAGTTTAATGAGCATGAGTATTTTTGAGCTTGATTCGAGATACCTACAATCACTTTTTACAACTCCTCTTTTGGATTATTCATATATTTCAACACGAAAGTTTTTAAATCATCAGCAGTCCTTTTCCCGTTATAATCGGCAACAAATTTTCCGTTTTTAAATAATTTCAGTGTCGGGAACCCGGATATGTTGTATTCTTCAGCAATTGATGGATTTTCGGCACAATCAATCATGGCAAGACAATATTTGTGTCCTTCAGAGCTAAGTTGCTGGGCTGCTACGTTATACTCCGGCTTCATTTTCTTGCAGTACCCACACCAAGGAGCGTAGAACATGACTAGAACCACTTTGTCCGCAAGCTGAGTTCGGAAGTTTTTGTCTGTTAATAACACCACGGCAGGATCCACTGTCCATTCAGCCGGCTCAGCAGGCGGAGAAGGAATATTTACTACTTTGTCGGGTTCTCTCATGAAGTCTATAAAATCAGGAGCCTAAAACAAATACATACTAGATTAAAAAAAAAACGAATTATCGTTATTAAATGTTGATAATACTATCAAATGTTGATAATGCGCTACAAATCTAAGAGAAGCGAAAACCCAACAATGAATGCAGTCTGCCTTCATTACAAAGCGACGATAAATGAATTAAGAATAAGGAGTTATGATTATCTATCTATAAGAATAATGAATCGCCGAAATATTTGTACAGGCATAACTTCAGAACGGCTGCACCATATCCCAGAATCTTGTTTTGTTGTGTTTGTTATTACAAGGAGAAAGATTGTGTAAAAGATAATTTTCAAAAAAAAAACAGACAGACTGTTCTTCTAACATTCGTTTTTAATACTTTATATTGAATTCACTATCAAATTAAACTAATGCTTTTAGGATTCATATTTTTTTTTCGAGAATGCATATTTTCAAGATTCATAAACTTTTGAAACGTCCCTTAAGTTATTTAAAATTGGGAAAAACCAGTAATCAATGTATAACATAGATAGGTGCATTAACTCGTCCCCGGGATTAAAACTAACAATTCGGTTAATTTTATATCTAAAGAAACATACATCAATTTGTCCCCTAAATAAAAATAGATTCACACACTCGTCCTCGTAAAAATATGAATCAGTATTAAAGTATGATGTCCCCGTTGGGATTTTTAATACAGAAATAAAATTAAAATATTGTTTGCCTTATGTGGTATTGCTACGAGTTTACTATGAAACTATGAAATCCGACATGTAAATTAGTAAACTAGTTAAGGTATTTATTGTTTTTCTTCTAACAGTCGTTTGTATTACTTTATTCACAATCATAATTCATTTTTTTCGTTATCATTCTAATTATTAAACCAGCGATCTTATTTAGTTTTACATAAAACAGTATTATATTTCTAATGCTTTTAATAAAAAAAATTACAAACATCGGACAAATTTGCTGACATCGATTAGCTCTTTTTTATCGTTTACTCCGGCTCCACACATACGGGCCAACAGCTTTCGTCCAATGTGTGTACCGACAAAACTGTGTTGGAGCCAATGTTGGCGCCAATGTTTATATGACTTGCTCCAACGTTGGGAGTTTTTCATGGAGTGTCGGTTTTTGCGTACACATCAAAGGGATTCGCGCTAATATTGGTGTTGCCGTTGATGCTTCAACCCAATGTGTGGATGCCTCATCGAACATGCTAACAAAGTTGACCCAACGTTGGATCCTATGTGTGGAGCTGGCCTTAGATTATTCTTGTTGATTTATGTGTATTATAAACTATATTCATAACTAAATCTCGGAAACATAAATTGGTGAATCGTCATTAAGTTTTATTTTACTGATCTATATATAGGGTACTTAGCGTTATCAAAATGTGCAGTATTTTGGTAATCAGTTGAATGTGAATCTGTGCACAAGTAGTATTGTTTTATGATACATTTTTTGTTTATTGCGATTTTCATAAAAACTTTTATATTTTATCATACTTAGGAAAAATTATTCCGCAGTAACTAATATTTTAATAAATATTATTTTGGATTAGAAATATATGATAATGACTCATTGAAGCAATTTATACGTGAAAAACTTATTCGATTCGGCTACAAATTTTTGGATTCTTGTGAAAATAGCTGATATTGTTATAATTTTGACTTTAACACTGGCAAAACAATCGCGAAAAATGATCGCGAATATTTGACCTTCAGATCAAGAGTAATACTTTGTAATGAGTCCGTTACTTAAATACCCATTTACTGCTTTGTCACTGGAATCCTTTAATTTAATTACAAATTAAATTCATTTCGAAATATTCTTAAACCAAACATTTGAATAACTTCGGTAAATTTTATTTTTAAAAGTTGGCAATAAATCACGCCCTCTGCCTACGGCTCTGATCGTCGTAACAGCTGCAACGCCATCAGACCGGCACTTGCTTGGAAGTCCGTGAATTGAACAGACGTGTTAGGCGACTGAGAGTGCCACGTTTCAGTGTTTGGTTTAAGTTTTATTTTATTTCGAAGAAGCTATTATTTTGTGGAAGAAAAACAGTTTGTTATTTTATTTTGTTTTGTTTTTGGTGAAAATACATTAAGTTGGGATCACTCTCAGTCGCCAACGTCCGGAATCCAGTGCAAGTCTGGGAAGAAAAAACTTTTTATTTAATTTTTGGGAATTGGAATACAATTAGTAATTTTTATTTAATGGGTTAAGAAGAATTTCAAGGACTTAATTTAAAAGTACCTCCTTTTTTTTATATGGTGTCCAGGTTTGGCGTATCACCCACCTGCGACTAGTTCTCCCAGAGGATCTCGAGGGAAACCTGCAGAAACTAACAGGAAGAACTAATTTTTTTTTATATTTAAATATTTGTAGCAACTTTTTAACGCCCTCTTCAAGGTTTAACTTTTGTTTCACTTTAAATTTTTTTTTTCAAAATATATCCTTAATAATAATTACATTCATTTTTTCTAAAATAATAGTCATTGTAAATTTAGTAAAACATTTATTGTCCACCAAGGGTTGAGATTGTAACTCCCCTGGAATCTCTCGTTATCAGGTTATAGTGTGCACACATATCCGGAGAGGTTTATTTCATTTATTTGATAATTGTAACGTTTATATTATTATATATTTCATTTTATATTATATACTTAACTATTGCATAACCTTAGTCAAAATTTCACATTATCAGGTACATTAGAGGGGAAATTGTTTTATCATTATATTCAGGGTTTTCATTGTAAATATAGATAAGTTGATTGTATATAAGAGGTGTTGGGTTATATTGTTATATATAAGGGTTTAAAATAATTTGTACATAAAATAGGTATTTATTAAAGTTGGGTTAAAACAATTTAAGATTTCACTTGGTACCTATCCTTTAATATTTCAGCAATACAAGATATCTCGGAAGAAACCATTTAACTTCCTGGCGCCCAAACATTCAGTAGAGCAACTTTATCTTTCGTCTGTTTATTTCTTGGTAGATTTCTTGTCATTAGTTCTTATATCTTACGGTCACTGTAGGACATGCAAATTGGCCTAATCCCTCTTGAGTGTCAAGTGGTCATTCTCCTGCATAGTCGCTAGCCAACATTATTTTTGTTATATTTAAATATTCATATTTACACGTTATTTATTTCTTTTATATAATTTCTTTCTATCCAATCCCTTCCATCTTCTGTTATTCCAGATATTAATCCGTTGGTGTATCAAGGTACATTTTAGAGTTTACCCTATTGCTACACTGTAGATTGTTGTTACATTTCCCTACTCTCACCCTTCTTATTACATTGTTTCACTAGAAACAATTCATTCTTGTTATATTGGCGCTCCAGCCAATTCATTTTTGTTACAACTTGATATATTAAATTTAATTTCTGGACATACAAGCCACTGGATATTTTTTAATAATTTATTTACCAGCAGAGATTTATTATTTCATTTACAAAAATGTGAATACCGAGCAACATAAACCTTGCGGGAAATAGGTAAGCGAAGTGCCTTATACAAGATACAAAAGTTCTTTGTAAAGGAGCTCGTCGATGACATGATTTTCCATTTAATGTAACAGAAGAAATGGGCCTTTTTGTGAAATGGAACGATAATAAGTGTGTTCGGAAAATAAAAATTCGGAAGTTACAATATTTCGGTCATGTAATGAGACATCCAGAGAGGTATAACCTTCTACACCTCATAATACAGGGTAAGATCGACGGAAGGAGAGGCCCAGGCCGACGAAGAACATCCTGACTACGAAATCTCCGAGAATGGTATCAAGAAACCACCTTTAATTTATTTAGAGCCGCCGTGAATAAGGTTATTATTGCCAATATGATCGCCAACGTTCGATAATCGGACAGGGCACTGAAAGAAGAAGAATAAGTGTGTTACTATAGCATTAAATTTGATGGAATGATAAGGTCAAAGGAAAGCGTTTATTTTTTAACCGTTTAGGAATACCTAAAAAGTTAGTTAAATTTATACAAATGACTTAAGAGGGTTCCAAGGTCATGGTGAGAATATATGGAGATATGACAAACGCATTTGATATTAAAAATGGAGTTAGGTAAGGTGATGCCTTGTCAAAAACACTTTTTAGTCTAATTTTACAAGCTATTATCAGAAAACTAGATTTGAACAGCTGTATTAATACAAGATCCACTCAAATATGCGCATATACGGATAAAAATGCCATCTTCTTCTTCTTAGCCTTCTGTCGTCCATGTTTGGACATAGGCCTCTCCCAACTCCTTCCATCGGTTTCTATCCCAAGCAACATATTTCCAATTTGTTCCGGCTATTCTTTTAATGTCATCAACCCATCTCATCTGTGGTCTTCCTCTTGGTCGTTTACTTTCGTAAGGTCTCGAATGTTGTATTGTAGTATTCAAACGTTGGTCTTTCTGTCTAGCAGTGTGGCCCGCGAAGCTCCATTTAAATTTGGCAATTTTTGTTGTTATGTCCTCGACTTTTGTTTTGGATCTTACCCAGTCGTTCCTCTTTTTATCTGACAGTCGTATACCTAACATTGCTCTTTCCATTGTTCTTTCTGTTGTGGCTAGTTTATTCATGTTTGCCTTGGTTAGGGTCCAGGTTTGACATCCATATGCCATGATAGGAAGGATGCATTAATTGAACACTTTGCTCCTCAAGTATTGGTGTATTTTGCGGTTCTTAAATGTTGCCATAACAAGAAGTAATAAAAGGGTATTAAGCGAAAAATATATAGATTTGAAACGGTCTAAACGGCCTTTACATTTGGTCTAAATATAAATAAAAGGAAAACAAAATATGTGGAGTGCACAAACTCCATATATTTTGTTTAATATCAAATAACAGCAATGTCAGCCACGAAATACAAGCACGGATTCAATCGTGAGTATAAGCTCGGAATCTACAAAACAATAATTAGACCAGTGGTCACATATGGATGTGAAACGTGGACCCTTTCAACTATTGATGAAAATCAGGATTTGAGCGCAAAATATTAAGAAAGATATTTGGACCAACCCATTGTAGCGATGGTTCGTGGAGAATAAAAAGAACCAAGAGGTGAATGAATTAATGCAGAACGTAGATACCGTTACATTTTTAAAGTGACAAAGACTTAACTAGTTTGGTCACTTAGAAAGATAATCGAGCTGTAAAAGTAATCCAGAGATAGAAATCCCAAGGAAATAGGACAAGAGGAAGGAAGGAATAGACGATGAAGATTTTAAAGCCGTGAAAATTAGGCAGAGGCTAATAAGGAAAATATCCGATAGGGCAGAATGGAAGAACGTTGTTAAGCAGGAAAAGACCCACAAAGAGTTGTAGCGCCATTAGAAGAAAAAAAAGTGTATAATATATTCATAGTAGGTGTTGGAAAACCAACTAATTCTTTAAATGTTACACCCTAAGCGTACTTGACGATTCCCATACACCCGCTCACCCTTTGTCCAAGCTAGTCACATATTACATATAAGCATAAAGTCAGTCGCATTAAGTAGCTCAAGTCAAGAAGTCGCAAAAGAAGTTATTCTCTCTCCTCGTTTCTCTCTCTCTCACCCGTATCACACAACAAGATATATTACAAGTTAGTTTAGTGTTGCAAGGTGTATATATGTGTAAAGTATTGTGCAAGCAAATAAAGCGAAGATAAAAAGGTGTAGAGGTAATGGATTTTGGGAACAGCTATGACCTTGAACATTTCACATAAACTTGTGTACTAAATAGGCATAATGCATAGCTCTTGTTAAAATCCAATACATTAATAATATAATTACATATCTTCGATTCTAAAATATTGTAAAAGACTTTAAAGAGTCTGGGTAAGAAAAAAGATTTAGTTATATTCTTTGTGGCATTTTCAAGGTCATAGCTGTTCCCAAAATCCATTAACTCTAAGTGTATAATTTCACCCCCACAAGAGTAATAAAACGAATCAGCAACCCACGCTTAAATCCTGTAACAAATCAAGACAGGTCAGCACGAGGGTTTGGTGCTCTCAGGGAACGTTGAAAATAACCCCACCGTTTCCCTTTAGTAGGCATGGATTAACACTACTAATTTGTTGGAAAATATGCCACTAAAATCGGAACTAAGAAGTGAAATTCGCCAATATTAACAAAACTAATTGATATGACATGTAAATCCATGGTTTTCTCCAAAAACCAGTTAATAAGTCATAGATTACTTAATTAGATTTTCGTCGATCTGTAGCATTGCCCTACCTAAAACTGACTCTTAGTACAATAAGTATAGTACGAAGATCTAGAACATCAACATCGAAATTATTTAGGGACTGAAAATTTGATTGGAAAGAACACTTCATGGAGAAACGTAAAGAGCAAAGACGATGTAATGGAGAAAATTGCAAAGCCACACCACTAACATATTGTGGAAAATGTACTGTAACATTGTGTAAGAATTGGTTTATATAATATCAATAAACATAAACTTATTTTTATTAGACCCAAATAAAAATGTTAATTCTCATAATTGTTTATAACTTTCTCGTACATACTTGCAATTATGATAACCCTAACGCCCGGTGATCTATTTCTAGGAGAAGTCAAAATTAAAAAATGCAAATATACAAAACAATTTCATGAAGATTTTCATATTAAGAACAATATTACTGATAATTATGTATAACTAAAATTTTTAAATAAAAAAAAAACATTTGCACGTTAATGGGTTAGTTTATAGACCATAGTTTATTTTATTATCAAACATGGGTCTCAATAATTAATGCTCAAATTGCAACCTGAGTGTTGTACTGGATAACCACGTTAACATTTTAGGTTGCAGTGCAAAATTTCCAATAAACATAACAGATTCGAAATCTTAAGAATTTTTAATGGAGTACAATTTATATATTGGAGAACAATGCACTCTGTATTCCCTTCGATTAAATTAAAGATATCTTAACAAAATTTGCAACGCGTCATACACAAATAATTTCAATTTTCTGAATTAAAATTCACTAATAAAACAGCAAAATTAGTAAAATGTTTTCAATGATTAACATTACTTACAGGAACTACAGGAAAAAATCTTACCGTTCTTCCACCTTTATAGTCTTTCATCTCCTTCTTGTAGTAACTGAAGTATTTAAACGTGGGATAACCTGTCACGTCGTTTGCACTACAGACTGCTGGGTATACAGTACAATCAACAGCAGTAAATTCGACTCTGGGATCATCCTTGAACTCTGCAGCGGCTTGAGTATATTCAGGTTTGGCTTTTTTACAATGTCCACACCCTAGAAAATGGATAAATGTCATAATTTTTCGATTAAAGATCTTTAGTATGTCGCCATTCTATCTGTTCATCTATCTTTATTCGGCTTTTGTAAACGTATACGCTCGTCCGGTAGAGATCGGATCACGGGATGATCGGGGAGCGTATTTGGCACGTGTACGCAGACAGTGTACCGTCTACCGATATTTGCCTGAAATTCCGTTTGGAATATTCGTAATTCTGTATTTTTGTGAAGATAATAATGTTTTATTAACAACAATTTTGTTTGTATTCATTAGGTATTATTTGAATTGGTTAATTTATACTTTAATACATTTATTATTCCAAATATTGTTTATCATTAAAAATTTCAAAGGGTTTATATTATTATATATCGAAATCTACAGATTTTTGCCGAAGGTATCTACCGATTTAGAAACAGTCCCAAGGAACATCACTGATCGAGCAAATCAAATACCTTTTCTTCTCATTATAACGCCATACGCCATAAGCTGAAATTAAAGTAGTGTTTCTAACCATGTATACAAACGAAGAAAAAGTACAAATTTTAAAATGGTATTTTGGGGACAACTCGCACCATGATATTATAAATTTATTTACTTGTGCCTATAAAGATAGGTCAATACCGACACAATCACCTATTAGTCGTATTATTAAAAAATTTGAATTATTTTTTACGGATCTACCACGAGAGAAAATAATCAACGAAGTTCGGCAAAATAGGGAAATTGATGTTTGTAGTGTTGCTGAAACTAGTGATCCTTGTTCAAGTAAAACTTTTGCTGAAGAAGTTGACATGAATGATAGGACTGTCAGGAATATTTTGAAACGAAATGGTTACCGTTGTTTTAAAGTTTCAACTCCTTATGAGTTATTAGCAAAGGACAATATCAAACGCATGGACTTGTGTGAACTCACGATGAATAAACAAAATGAAAATGAACATGTTTTAAAAAACATTTTGTTTACCGATGAATCGACATTTTCTTTACATTGGAAATACAATCCTTATGTCGTACGATATTCGTCTCGGCATAATGAACAGTTGAGTATTCCAGTATGGAATACTTCGGTAACACAATATCCCCAAAAACTTAATATTTGGACAGGTATTTTGGGGGACTATATCGTCTGTCTATTTTTTATTGATGGAAATTTAACAGGAAATAAATATTTAGAATTGTTGCAAAATCAAATTATTCTAACAGTCCAATTACTTCCTGTCGACTTCGACGATACCAGTAAGACGGCTGTCCTGCTCACAATACACGAGCAGTTCAAAATTATTTAGAAACCATTTTTGGAAATAAATTAATTTCTTCTCGTGGTATGATCAAGTGGCCTCCCAGATCACCAGACTATCCCCAAATGCTTTTTTTCTTTAGGGATATTTGAAAGCCAGTGTTTATCGACATGATTTTAAAAGAGCCCAAAATTTAGCGGAATTGAGGGACAAAATAATTCATCTTTGTAGAAGCATTAGACCGGAACTGCTCAGGGATATGAGGGTATCTTTGTACAACAGATTTGGAGTTTGCTCTGCAGAAAGAGGTGGAATATTTTGAACCTCTATTAGGTTGAATTTTTATGTTTAATATTATTATTATGTTATTTTTGAAATTCTTTTTTATTTTAATTTTTAGAAATCTACTTTTTTTTAAGCCATTTTGGCAATAAAATATAACAATTTTTTTTAGTAAAATAATATTTTAATTCCATATCTACGTAAAATTGTACGTTTTTGGCGAATTGAGATGCACTCTACCTGTGTTCCGTTTTTACACTTGCGGCACTTCCGTTTTTGAGTTTGGTAACGTGCAGCAGTAGTAGAATAACGACTGGACATATTTTATTATATACGCGTAGTAATAATAGTTAAAGATTTCTATTAATGTTAACTTAACGAAATACACAATAATATGTTTCATTTAATTTGTATAAATGTATTATAAAGCGTTTCTATGAAGAACATTTGTTCGGAACTATAACTGTAATCAAATAAAGGTGATATTTTGGCATAAATTGGTAACACTTATTTGACAGTTGCGGTGTTGACACTTTTTGCACTTTATTATTTTGAATTTTAAAGTGAATACATCTTGGTTTATATTTTTACCTATTTAATAAAATATGTTCTTCTTAGAACAAAATCAGTGTGTTTTATTTCAAAAATCTCACCTAAGAATTTAAGTAGTCGTTGTAAAGAGATGGTAATAGTTTTGCAATAATTATGTGACGTATTTGATTTAAAATGGATTCAGTTTTTTATACTTTGGCAACTATGTCAACTTCGATCTCTGTCAATGCTAATGACGTGCAACGGTAAGTAAATTAGATGAAGTATATATAAATATTATATACATATATATATATATATATATATATATATATATATTATATATATATATATATATATATATACATACAAAGGTTTGTATGTATAACACTAATTATCTACAAAACTGGCAACTATCATCTGTGTTTTATGGCTTCTTTTTAAGAATATAAACTTACATGGAGCATAAAACATGACCAAGGAATGTTTCTTTTTCTTTAGGAATGGTTTGAATGTCTCTTCGGTCAAATGAACTACCTCACTTTCTTCATCAACCCAAGGTTTTTCTGGCGGGGGTGGTGGTGGAGGTTCTTTAGGATCTTTCATGAAGTCTATAATTTTAGAAGCGTCTCTAACGTTGATGTCGAACTTTTGTTCTCCGAATGAGAAGTAAATAACAGTTGGATAGCCTTTGACTGAATACCTAGAGGCCAGTGTGGGTTCTTTGGTGGCGTCCACTGCAGCTAACATGCCTGGAATCTACAAGAAAATTATTTTATAATAGCATGTTAGAAAAATATGACAAATTGAGATTTTCTTTTTAATATGCATCTTTGATGATTTGATGAGTACTATACTAGAAAATATTACAGTTTAAGTTCTTGTGGTCAACAAAGGTTCGATGCAGTGTACTTAGCATTGTTCTGAAGCTATTTTCTTGTGGCATTTTAAAGTAATTACTATGTTGATGGGAATAAGCCACAATTGAAGGTTAAAATAAGTTTAGTGACGTTTCAATCTCCACTTCGGAAATCCGATTTATTCCGAAATATTAATTAAAAACATTTATTAATGTTTGTATTTTGAGAACGATTTCCGGAGTGGCGATTAAAACGCCAATAAACTTATTTTAACCTTCAATTGTAGCTTATTCCCATTAAAATAGTAATAAGCGTACTTAGTAATTCAATTTAATTTGTCAGAAAAACTAGGAAATGAAATGAGTTGGAAACTGCACTTTCAATCAAACTAATATTGTAAGATTAATAGAAACTTATAATAAAACTAACTAATCGACTAGGTAATTTAACTCTCCACGTTGGTGCTGTAAATGTAATTTTATCTCCAGTAAAGCCGACGTTAAAAAACCTATATCAAGATGCTAGAAATGAAAAAAAGGTTTCCAACAAAAACCCATATTCGTTAAAAACAAAGCAGGAAATAATATAAGCGGGGAAGCAGAAATAGTCGAAAGATGGAAAGAGTATTTTGATGAATTACTAAATGGCAATAATAAGCCAAACCAAAGAGAATACATGGAAGCAGAAGCAAGAATCGAACACTTAGAAGACATAGAAGATAATTTACCCAGCAAAGAACAAATCGAGGAAATCATAAAAAATCTGAAAAACAACAAATCCCCTGGAAGCGATAACATAACAGCAGGGATGATGAAATATGGTGGAAAACTGCTAAATAATTGGATATATAAGATCATAAAAGAGATATGGATAAAAGAACGAATACCAGAAGATTGGAAGGAAGCCATTATTTGCCCATTACACAAAAAAGGAGACAAAACAGAATGCAGTAATTACAGAGGAGTAGCGTTACTAAATACCGTATATAAAATCCTATCAAAATCCATAAAAGATAAGCTAGAAAAAGAAGCTGAAAATATAACAGGCGAATATCAGTGTGGATTTAGACGAGGGAGAAGCACAACGGACCAAGTATCCTTTGTCATCATTACTCTTCGATTTATGCCTAGAAAAAATAATGCGAGAAGCGAGAATTAATAGAGAAGGACTCCTATATCATAAAAGACACCAAGTTTTGGCATTTGCGGATGACATAGTGTTGCTGGCAAGAGGAAAAAAAAAGAGCTACAGGAGATAGTACAGAGATTAGTAAAAGCAGCAAAGAAAATGGGAATTTACATAAATCAAACTAAAACAAAATGTATGCAGTGGACATATGATCAGTTTAGGGATGGATAAAAGTTTAAAGCAGAAGTAGAAGATCATCATACGAATTCGAAATGGTAGAAAGATTTACATACCTAGGTACAATAATATCACGTAAAAGTAACATTAAAGAAGAAATACAAGCTAGAATAATGGAAGGCAATAGAAGTGTACATGCTCTTAGTGGAATGTTGAAAAGCTGCTAAGTTTTTATCAAGAAAGGCAAAAATACAGTTATACAAAACAACTATACAACCAATAGCAACATACTGCAGTGAGACGTGGACAATGACAAAAAATGAACAACATTTACTGGAGATATGGGAAAGGAAAATCTTGAGGAAGATATATGGGGGAATAATAAGGGACGGTTTATGGATAAGAAGATCAAATGATGAGTTAAAGAAATTATATAATCAACCTAACATAATAGGAGTCATAAAGGCACAGAGAGTAAGATGGCGGGGTCACCTAGAAAGGATGCCGAAGACGAGGACTCCAAAAAGGGCACTAAACTAAACTATAACTTGAATGGATGGAATCAGGAGGTAAAAAAAGATATGGAAGAAATTGGACTAGACGGCCAGAAAAGAAAAATGAATAACAAGAAGGAATGGAGAAAAGTCACATATCGAGCCAGAGAAGATCTCAGGACATACAGGAAAGCGAAAATGAAGAAAGAACAAAATTTTTTAAGCTATGGGCCTCTAAGGCCTTTAGTGCTATTGTATATATATATATATATATATATATATATATATATATATATATATATATATATATATTATATATATATATATATATACAGTGTAGGAAAAATTTTATGGTCGGTATGGACCTTACGTGAGATGGAGTGAGAAACAGCTGTTTAAAAAGAGAGAGGTATATTAGGTACGCCCTTTATATCGCCGAATGGAAATATTAAAAAAGGGGAAATTCAACGTTGCCAAACTTATTGGTTTTATTTGACCTGTTGTCTTTTTTTGCATTTGAACAATGTTCTATCAAGAAGATAAAATGCTCAAGATAATCAAATTTGGGCGAAATTGATTTAAATGGCAGGTTACTGTTTTTTTTATTGGGAATATGCCACAAGTTTTCTTTACAATAATTGTAATATAACATTTTGATTTCCATTTCGGAAATCGTTTTATATAAATAAAATTTATTAATGTTTCGTATTTTAAGTACGATTTCCGAACTAAAAATCTAAACATCAAAATAATTTCCCAATATGAAATAATAAACAATTAAACATGCATACAATAACGCCACATTAAAAAATATTCATACACTAATTCTTTGGCAACGTCTAGTCTAGATAGTCTTCTGGTCAAAAGATCGAGTAACGAGAAGTAGAGGTGGGTCGTGCTAGTTTATCGTTAAGAGCGTAGAAGCAAAATGTTTTTTAAAAGCATTCATTTTTTTCGAATCCTGAGAAAACTAATAAATATTTTTGAAAAATTTAAACGCAGAATGAAACAATACATTATTACCGAGAGCCGAAAGTCCCTGAAAACTTCTATAATGTTTATTTTAATAAGTTATAGGGATGAAAAAAAAAAACAAAATTTAGTGTGATTTTTAATTTCAAATATCTCATTAAAAAAACTTTTTGTTTACTCTAAGGGACTTTCGGCGCTCGGTAATAATGTAATCTTCCATTCTGCATTTAAATTTTTCAAAAATATTTGTTAGTTTTCTCAGGATTCCAAAAAAATTTAAATTTTTTTAAATGCTAAAAAGCATTTAAGCATTTTTAAATGCTAAAAAGCATTTAAAAATTTTAATTTTCATAAACAAGTAACTATGATTGTTTAAAAGTAGTTTCAAGTAAGAGAGTACCTACATAAACAAACATAACGGCTATTATCGTTTATGTGTATATCTTTTGAAGTGAAAGAAACTACCTAATGATATATTTATTATAACTTGAAAAATAAACTAAACAATACAAATAGTAAATCGGACTTACATTTACATTACACGTTATTATTAAATCGCGAATAGTCTAAATTGACATTAAAACATAAGTTTTTCTTGTAATGGACTCTCGATGCAGGTGTACGTGTAGATGAGTCATCTCCAATTAATTGATCAAAAATACACCATGGACTTAAGTCATATTTATTGGTTTCTTTTCCTTGTACTGGTTGATTTTCAATAGTACAATCTTCTTGTTCGTTAATTATAGAAGTAACCAGCTTCTTAACTTTTTGTTTTGTTCTGCACTTTAAATCGTGAATCCATAAATGTACATAATGACAATGTGCCACTCTGTTCTATCCCTCTAAATCTTTTTGCTAAACCCGATATTAGTAATTGTACTATGTCGGATACTATGGATGTAAGTATGCCGTTTGCTAAAATTTTATTGCAAGATTCTTGCAGGCAGCGTACCACAACAATCACTGAACTAGCATTCAAGCATTTTTGGTCACTCATTGTACTTGTTATTTCTTTAAACGGTCGTAAAATTTGGGAAAGTTGAGAACAAATAATCCAGTGTTCTTTATTTAGATTAGGTTTAAGTCTAAGTCTGTATTATTTAATACCAATGTGGAACGGGTTGCCTCTTCTAACTCGGTCATTCTTTTTAACATGTAATAGGTGAAGTTCTACCTAGTTTCCACGTCTTGGATTGGCCGTTTGGGAACTGTGTTCTGTTGTAATTAATACTTTAAAAGCCTTTCTGAAGATAAGGTACTTTTTTGAAATGTGTTTTTTTTGCAGAATTGTCGAAAAAAGGACTTTTTATTTTATCTATTTGTACACGACAGCATTTAAGTGCGTGCCCCACCAATAAATTTAATCATCATCATAAATCACAATCATCATAAAACAAAACATATTTAATAGCTTTGACCATATTTGAGGAATTATCAGTTACTGCAAAATTTACTTTTCGTTTTAGACCCCACTGATTAATAATTTCAGTAATCGCTGTTTTCTGGATTATGGTTTCCAGAAAAATGGCAGCAGCCTAATAAAAAAGTTTTGAATACTAAATTTTCGGTTAAATATTGTCCTGTTAATGCGAAGTAACTCTCAGTTACTCCAGATATCCAGAGGTCAGTAGTAATACAGATATTTTCTACTTCTTTAACAACTTGTGATCTAATAATTTGCTCACTTTTGACATAACATTCCTGAAGTAATGAACCTGACAAAATTTTTCTTGTTGGCGGTTTATATCCAGGAATCCACCCTGCAAACTTTTTAAAAGCTGGTTCTTTAACTATGGAAAACGGATGAAACGAAAAGTTTAGTAAATCTTGAAAATCAATCAGTCCAAGAAAAAGAAACTGATAAAGATGACTTAAGTCCATGGTGTATTTTTGATGAATTAATTGGACATGACTCATCTAAACATACACCTGTATCGAGAGGTATAAAAGAAGTCGACATGTAATTGTCTGATGATATATTACCTACAAACAATTTCGAACGGAGATTGGAACTGTCCATTACCGTGGTGAAAAAACCATCGCCATGTATATCGTAACTTAACCACTATATTCATAAAATGTTGTAGTATTGTAACAAAATCTTTTCCTTGTGAACACATGTTTAACATCTGGTATAATTTTAAATAAAAGAAGAACGCGACTAACAAGAAAAGTGGAAAAACTTATGTTTTTAAATGTCAATTTAGACGATTCGCGATTTAATAATGTGTAATGTAAATGTAAGTATTTAAGTACCATTTGTATTATTTAATTTATTTTTCAAGTTACAATAAATATATCCTTCGTTAGGTTCTTTTATTTCAATACTTATACACATAAACGATAATAGCCAATATCGATACATTTTTGGCAAAGTAACATAAGTGACATTTTTGGCGAAAATAATGTTTTTCAATTAAACTAATGCTATTACTGTTAAAAAGGTACTGAAAGAGTGTAGTAAGCCTAGATTTACTTTAAACCTTTTTTAGGACAAGTTTTTTCAGTCATAATTTAAATAAGTTTAAGCAGGTTGAATTAAAAAATTGTTTTTTCTACAAATCGTTTTTGGTGACTTACGTTACTTTGCCAAAAATGTATCGATATGTTTGTGTACTCGCTAATTTGAATACTGGTAAACAATCAACTAGTTACAGTTTACGAAAAACGGTTCCGATAAAAATTAAAAAAACGAGAGGACCCACCTCTAGTTTTTTAGGTATATTAGGATCGGAACCAGAGAATATCTGATCGGAACTAATCGTCTCACTAATGGGCAATGGCCAATGAGTGTTAAAAGGATTTTAGGAGGGGAGACGAAGGGGAAATATGATTGTTATCTTTGTCTAATTCGCTGAAAATATGATTTTATATCTGCGTTAGATATCCTGTTAAATTTTACCATACCGACCTTAAAATTTTACCTACACTGTATATATATATATATATATATAATAAAGCCGACGGTTTAGAAATACTTACTCCTTCGTTCTTCATTTGAGCAGCTGCAGCCTCATATTCCGGCTTCATTTTTTTGCAATGACCACACCAAGGAGCATAGAACATTATTAACACTGACGATTCGTCTTTTAACACTGGATCAAAACTGCTTGTGGTCAAGTGAACTACATCGTTATCGACGTCGGACCATTCTGCTTCTTTGATTTTGACCGGTGGCGCTGATGGATTACGCATGAAGGACACTATCGCTGCTTTCTTGTTTTCCCCTTCGTAAGGAAACTTAAGATGACCGTTCCTAAAAATATATATTTTTATAACCGAAAGGAAGCACGAGCTCTAATAATTATATTTCTATTTAGATCACGATCCAATAGTTGCATATTTTTACTTAAAACATGTTTTCTTTTTAAAATACTTGTACCAGTAATAATAAATCATCTCCGTTTGCTAGCAAAATGCAATGGACCACAGGAGTGATCACGTAGATTTTACTGACATAAATCAGTTTCACTTTCCAAACAAACCTGGTTTAGTGTGGATAATTTGTATTTTTCGTTATTTTTTAATTTATTTTATAGAATCTTTCCGCTTATTGCAATATTTAAGTATTCTAATAGTTACTACAACAATTTTAACAAGGTTGTATAAATAATAAAGCACATTGTTTTATGCTAATAGCAATAAAATGCATGTATTAATAAAGTAAGATTACAATTTCTTTATTTAAACTTTTAAACTATATTTCATACAAATAGAACTCTCAATTATGATGGTATTATCGTAAAAAATACTATGCTTACAAGAAAAAGCAGCAGAGGAAGCAAAATGTTAACTTTATAGAAATTAAAAAGTCTTGAGATTTGACATGTCAACTTTTGTTTGGAAAGTAATAATGTCAATGTGACAGTCGTGACGTCACACTCCTGTGGTCCATTGCATTACTTAAACGTAGTTTCACAGATTTTTATTGTTCGAAAATCTTAAAAAAATTATACCAAGTGGAATTGCTACTAACAATCGATTACCAAATTTCTATTATGTCAATAATTAAGAAAAGTAAGGCAGATAAGTAAGGCATGTCAATAATCATGTAGAGCAGATATTGGATCTGATCATCAACCACTTTTAGCATATATTAAACTAGGGTTAAAACGAATTCAGCGACAAAAACCAATGTACTTAACTCTGACGATATAAACATGAAACATAACATCAAAAAAAGAGTTTAACAATATAATAAAAAACATCGAACAACTAGAAGATCCAGAAGATCTATGGAGTGAATTTAAAAACCAAGTTAACGAATTCTCCACAAACAATTATTATAGAAAAAACTTAATCAAGAAAAATAAATGGACGACAGACGACATCTTGAAATTAATGGAACAACGTCGACTGACAAAATCTAATGAAACAACAAAATTATTGCAAATGAGCACGAAATAAGAAAAGAATGACAGCTATATATATCAGCGTCGTTTGAAGATATATATATATATATTTATATATATATATATATATTATATATATATATATATATATATAAAAGGTTCTTGAACTCCTAAGTGGAGCATAGAGCTTCAGTGAAAACGCGCCATCGGGTTCTATTTTGCGCTAAGGCCTTCACCTCATTCCAAGACTTTGCTTGTTTTCTTATCTCGTCCATGATGGATCTTCTCCAAGTTTGTACTGGGCGACCTTTTTTTCGTTTTCCTTGGGGATTCCACTCTAGGGCAGTCTTTGCAATACTGGAGTTATTTTTTCGGAGTGTGTGACCGATCCAACCCCACTTTCTGGACTTTATTTCATTTACTACCCTCTTTTGTTTGGTCAGGTGTAGTAAATCTTCGTTTCTGATGATGTTAGGCCAGAAAATACGAACAATTCTTCGTAGACATTTATTAACAAAGACCTGCAGTTTGTCTGTAAGGGTTTTTGTCGCATTTCCAGGTTTCACATCCGTAAAGTAGTACAGACATGACATTTGACTGGAATATGCGGATCTTTGTCCTCGTAGTGTATTCTCCAGACCTCCAAACAGGGTTGAGCATGCTGAAAGCTTGTTGCGCTTTTCGTATCCTCATACGAATATCGTCTTCTGTACCTCCGCTTTCTGTTATGACACTTCCAAGATACGTAAAGTTTTCCACATTTTCAATCTGCATGTTATTAATGGTGAATAGCGTGTTGTTTCTTGCATTTATTCTCATGGATTTGGTTTTACCAATATTGATTTTCAAACCTATTTTATTGGCTTCAGTGGAAAGTGTTTCCAATTGGTCAGCCACATCTTGGAACCTTTGTCCTAACAGGCAGATATCGTCGGCGTATTCTAGATCGCTTAGGCGTGTGGTTAGCGTCCATTGTATCCCTCTTGTGTCAGAGTCTAGTTTGGAGAGAACATAGTCTAGAGCTATGTTAAAAAGAAACGGAGAAAGCACGCATCCCTGTCTGACTCCAGTAAGTACGTCAAATTCGTCACTGTTGATCCCATTGTGTGTCACGCTGCATTTCGCTTCAGTGTACAGTAACTTTATAATGGAAATTATTTTATGCGGATGTTTCTTAGCTCTAAAATTTTCCATATCGCATCATGAGATAAGCTGTCAAAAGCACGCTCGAAATCAACAAAAACCATGTATAGGGGTGCGTTCCATTCAACCGATTGTTCCATTATTAGCCTCACAGTATTAATGTGGTCTATGCAGGAGGATTCTGGTCTAAAGCCTACTTGATTAGCTCGAAATTCAACCTTGTTTGTTAATCTTTTAAGTATGATGTTCGTGAAGATTTTATTTATGGCGGTAAGCAAGGTTCTTTTTTGGAAGCTTAGTAATGATGCCTTTTTTCCAGCCCGCTGGAATGCGGTTTGTTTCCCACACCTCTCGAATTATGGGAGCAAAAGTTCAGCATTAGATGCGGATCAGTTTTAAGTATTTCGGCAGCAATGTTATCGATTCCCGGAGACTTGTTATTTTTCAGAGATCTGATAGCTGTTATTATCTCTGTTTTGGAAGGGGCGTCGCAAGATATACGCAAGTCTATATTCTGTGGATTTTCGACAATTTCATCTGCGTTATCCCTGGGCGTGCCTAGCATCTCCTGAAAATGCTCTTTCCATCTCTCTATATGGTCATTTGTTGTAGTAAGTAGTTCTCCTGTCTTGGATCTTACGACGTTTGAACAGTTGGGCCCACTTTTTGTTAGACGTCTAGTAATTTGGTATAGCTCTCTAGTTCTATTGTGTTGTGCAGCTGTTTCGGCTTGTTTTGCCAGTTCTTCAGCCCATCTTCTTTTGTCTCTTCTTGCATTTCTTTTAACTGCTTTATTTATTGTTTCATATTCTTGTTGTCGGTTCGCTCTTTCTTCTACAGTTCTTGCTTGCAAAATATCTTTTTTTTGCTGTTTTCTTTCTTCGATAAGATTCCAAGTTTCATCTGATATCCATTCTTTTCTATGTTTCTCTTTTTTACCCAGTTTATCTTCAGCTATTTCTGTCAAAACATTTGCCAGATCTTCCCAGCTATTTACTTCACGTTCTCTTCTTTTGAGTTGAAGTTCCTCCCTAAACATGTGTCTTCCTGTAGCCGTTTTTAATTTGTCTAGATTGTATGTTGGTCGTTTGGTGTTTCGTGTGATTTTGTTTTTTGCCATTTTGATTTTAATGGTACCGATTACAAGATGATGGTCGCTTGCGATGTCTGCTCCTCTTTTGTTACGTACATCAAGGAGAGATGATCTCCATCTTTTTGATATGGCGATGTGGTCTATTTGATTTTCTCTTATATGACCTGGTGCAGTCCATGTAACCTTGTGAATATTTTTATGTGGGAAGATGGTTCCACCAATAACTAAGCTATGATTGGAGCAAAAATTTGTAAAGCGCTCTCCGTTTTCATTCATCACTCCCAGGCCATGTTTGCCCATTACGGTTTCTAAGTTAATATTGTCTTCTCCAACTTTAACGTTCATATCGCCCATCACTATTAGTATATCGGTCGTTTGAAGATGACAGGAATAATATTGCCTAATTCTACCAAAATTGTACTGACGGCCCAGAAATTATGAAATGCGAGATAGAACACGCTATAAATAATGCTGAAATTAGAAAAGCATGTGGTCCAGATGATAGATCAACTAAGTTGCTGAAACTAATAGAGGATGATAACATAAAAGTAGTAGTAAGACTTTTTAATTCAATATATAACACCGGAGTGATTGCCACAGATTAGCTCAAATCCATCTTTGTCGCAATACCTAAAAAACACACAATGCGAGAAAATGTTCAGAATATCGATTAAGTAGCCTAATGACCTACACTCTTAAAATTTTCCTAAGAATACTTCACAACAGAATTAGACTCAAATCCGAATAAGATCTCCAAGATACCCAATTTGGTTTTAGAAATGCTATGGGAACCAGGGAGGCACTTTTTGCGCTTAAATCCTATTACAAAAATGTCGATGACCAAAGAAAATATGTATTTGCATGTTTCGTAGACTTCGAAAAAGGCATTCGATAAAGTTAGGCATGTAAAATTAATGCAAATACTGAGAAATATCGGAATAGATGACAAGGATATTCGTGTCATTAAAATTTGATCTGGAATCAAACTGCTATCGTAAAAATTGGAGATATCTAACACCGATAAAAAATATCCTTACAACGAGAAGTAAGACTTCTACTTCTTCGTGTACCATATCAGAATTATCCGACATGGGCGATGACCATTGCGAAGACTTCTCAATCTTCTGCAATATGGAATAATTGTCCATTTGCTATCTGAGTCCATTCACGAATGTTTTTTAACCAAGACAGTTGTTTTCTTCCTACACCTCTACGGCCCTCTATTTGCCTTTAAGGATCAGTTGTAATATTTTATATCGACTTCGCCTTACTATATGTCCCAGATAAGACTTTTTTCCATGTTAAACAGTCTTTAGCAGTTCTCTATCTTTGTTGACGCTCCTTAGTACTTCTTCATTAGTTTTCTTTGCTGTCCAAGGTATCTTCAGCATTCGTCTATGAACCCACATTTCCAATGCTTCAATTTTGTGCATGATCCATACTTTTAGCGAAGAAAAAGTCAGACAAGTTTGCAATTTGTCGCCAACATTGTTCAATGTTTACTCGGACCAGTTATTTAAAAAGGCACTTGAGAGATAACCATATGGAATAAAAATCAACGGGGAACTACTTAATGTGATTAGATATGCAGACGATACAGTAATTCTATTAGATAATATTGAAGGTCTCCACATTCTGCTTGATCGTATTTACGAGGTAGGAGGGGAAATGGGCATAAAATAAACTTAACAAAACCAAATTTTTAGTGTTTAGTCGTGACCCACATCCGATGCAAAGCCTCAATTAAACGGAGTCCAAGTTCAGAAAGTTCACAAAATAACATATTTGGGTCATGTTACCAATTCCACTGGTAACTTAAACATCTTAACTTTTAAGAACATATAATGTAACAAAAATTTAAATTAGCAACATTTAACGGGTTTTTACCAATATATTTTAGTAGTTCAAAACATGTATACTTAGTGACACTGATGATGGAATTTACATTCCGAAAACGTTCTGTAATTGTGATATAGCCCGTTTGGGTATTTTATTATATACCTTTTATAAAGGATTTTAAATAAAAATTATTTGGGAACTGTGATAACGGACCAACTACTTTTGGTCCGTACTTTTGTATAGTGTAGAAGTGTGGAGGCTAAAAGTATCGATCATGAACAAAATTAAAGCATTGGAAATGGGGGTTCATAGACGAATGCTGAAGATATCTTGGGCAGCAAGGAAAACTAATGAAAAAATACTAAGGAGAGTCAACAAAGATAGAGAACTGCTAAAGGCTGTTAAACATCGAAACAGTCTTATCTGGGACATATAGTAAGGGCAAGTCGATATAAAATATTACAGCTGATCCTTAAAGGCAAAAATAGAGGGCCGTAGAGGTGTAGGAATGAAACGGGTTTCTTGGTTGAGGAACCATTCGTGAATGGACTCGGATATCAAATGCGGGACAATTATTCCATATTACAGAAGATCGAGAAGCCTTCGCAATGGTGATCGCCAAAGTCTGATATGGCCCGCGAAGAAGAAGAATAATCATGTCTGAAAATCGTTCTTCTTTTTCTTGGATATATTGACAGCAGTTCTAAATAATAATATAGTAGATTTTCTGTACCATTGCCTTAGATTTTTAAGCCATAATGGGTACTTCAGAATGTGACCGAAATAGGCCACCTTACACATTATTATATTGACCAGTCGTATTATTTGGTTCAGCTGTATAAGACTTTTCTCAATTCGGACTGTTTACCCAGCTTATCTGTTGTAGTCGTTTGTATATCGTTTGAGGTAAGGTACTGTTTTAAAGCATTTAAGTGCCTCACTTACCAGTCCATGCTTCTGCTCCATATAGTAATACTGGTAAGATACAACAATGTTTCATTTTAGCTCGAGAGCCACTATCATGGTCGGGGTGGTAAAGTTGGTTTTTAATTTTTACAAATGTTTCTCTGGCCCGTTCTATTAGACTTTTAATTTCTACAGTCAGATACCAACTCTCGATTGATATTTCTGCCGAGATACATGAGTTTCTCCACTCTGACCAGTAATGCATCTTAGCTAGTTAGCTAGTACCTACTAAGATATGGTCGACATGTCTAATATTGTTCACGGTTAGGCCATTCACTATTATGCTTTCTGTTTTCTCGTCTTTTTGTTGTATAACAAACAACGCTACGCAACGCAACGCAACGAAGCCACGAAAATGGATGCCATCAGAAGATCCATGAGAATATCAAGAGCCGACAGAATACGGAATGAAGTGATAAAACAACAAATGGGTATAGAGGGCACTATAGTTGAGGATATTGAGAGAAAACAGCTCATATGGTATGGGCATGTGAGCCGAATGGGGGACGAAAGATTGCCTAAAAAAACGATGATGTGGCAATCCCCAGAGAAGAGGAAACGAGGAAGACCACCACAGAGCTGGAACCTGGGAGTTAGGAAAACGATTAGCGCTCGAAATCTGGACGAAGACCTAACTCAAGACAGAATACAGTGGCGTTTGGGAGTCGGACAACGTCGTAACACGTAATAAAACCGAATATATTTGTATTGTTGTATAGCAATGATTTTTTTCGTTCGAATTACCAAGTGCATAAAAATGTATTGATTTAGTTCGAAATATAAAGAGATTTTGTAGGAAACTTGTGATAACTTTGAATTATAGAGAGGTTTGAATTAACGCGAGTCGACCCTAGAAATCTGTTAAAACCTAAAACTAGTTTCTCGAATTTCGTTAAGTCAAACGGTGATATAACGACATTAAAAATATAGTTTTCGGTTTAAATCCATTAGTAGAGTAAAAATATTAAATTTTCCACGCTTAATAATATATAAACAAATAATGTTTAATCCCACGTTAAAAAACAATACCATTGAAAACGTCTCCTTAATGTTTACTCGGACCGAGATATGAAAAAAAAAATATAGAAAATAGATTCCAAATTATTTATACCAAAAATAAATATATAGTTGTGCATGCAAAAGACTACGAACAAAATTATGCAAGAAATAATGTATATATGTTTATAAAGTTTTAATAAGTTGAAATAACATAAATGAGTTTTTGGACATCCAAGTTGAAATATTCGATTTTAAACTATATTAAATTTTTATAACCGTTTGCCAAGTTTAGTATTACGAAATTACGTATACAATAATCTTGCATATTTATATTTCCAATACTTACTCAAAGAAAAGCAGTGTGGGAAACCCAGTGATGTTGTAATGCGTTCTTACAACAGTATTCTCAGGTCTATTAACATCAATAGCTGCTAGAACAGCGTCATCTTTCAATTCTTTTGCAGCTTCTGCATAGTCGGGTTTTAGGGTTTTGCAAAATCCACACCATGGTGCATAGAACATTACCATTAATGGCCTCAGCTCCTTTTTTAATAGTTTCGCCAGTGTCTGAAAAAAGTTCATGATATGAGATGGAGTGACAAATAGGTGACTGATCAAAGTTTTGACAGTTTAGTAACAGGTATAATTAAATGTATTTTTACATTAATACAAAATTTGTTTTGCGTGACCAATGAGATCATAACATTATTTAAGCGTCATTCAATCAATAAAATGTTGAAATAACAGAGCAATATGACTCACACAAGTATGTTTCAAGCATGGACGTATAAACACAGATATATCTATGTTTATACGTCCATGGTTTCAAGCTAATACAAAAATTTTAGAGAACAGATTGAGAGATTACGTGATACTAGAACACAAGCAGTGACGTAGCTGTATTCTACGCATTTTCGTAATTTTAGAGAGTTGATTATAAAAAAAAAAACAGCAAACATGGAAAATGCAATCGATTACCGACAGCAAGCGCGTCGATGTCCACAGCAACGTCACTTCACGACGAATATCCGAAGAAAATTAAATAGAATTTTGTTTGTATTTTGTATTTTTTATATATATCTAAATACAGTGTACATACATTTTCACTAAAAAAAGCATTTTGATTTATTTTAAACATATTTTTATATAACGGACTTTCGCTTTTAACGGACACCACGTCTCCCAATTAGTCCGTTATATCGAGGTTTTACTGTAATTATTTTTATATAACAAGGATACTTATTCTTTTCAATATATTTTTTGAGTAAGGTGTAGTTTGTCATTAACGAAAACGCTTTTACACAAAAAATGATGACAAAACAATGGTCCTTAAAGTATTTTCGTAAGTATTATTAACGAATATCTGTTATATGAGAAACAGTATTTGTAAGAAAAATAATTAAAATTTTAATTTTAAAAAAAATTATAATAAAAAATTATAAATTATGTTTTTCAAGACATTAATATATTACTTTTAATTTGCATTATTTGAAATCTTGAAGTGTCAAAAAAAATAGCACGTTATAACTTATGTATTATCGTTATAACTTATGTTTTAACTTTAAAAACGGTCTCTGGAATAGATATCGAAACGTCAGAAAATTAAACATATGAATAAATATTTTATGGCTTATTCCCTATATTCCCCTAAAAATACAGAATGCCATAAGCAAAAAGCTATAAAAAACAAATAAATTTGCAGAAAGTTTATTGATGCTACGCTATCGCGGAAGTTACGCTAAAACGTCTATTGACGTGACCTGACCAGGTACTAATTTTGTAAGATTCTCTTAAACAAGCGCTAAAATACTTCGCTAAAATTTTCTTTATGACAATCTCCCCTATTTCTCTTGACTCATTCATACTCACTCATCAAGGAATCCTGTATCACTTCCTGTATGGATAATGATTGAACGTCGTTCCTTTCCTGTTGGACCTTTTAATCACCATCTCATTATAATTTACCTAAATGCCCTATCGTGCGTGTTGCCAGTACTTACATATGGTGCAGAGACATTAACACTAACCAAGAAAGTAAGAAATAAAATTTGTGTTACCCAAAGAGCCATGGAACGATCGATGTTAGGCATTTCTCGTAGGAATCGGATCACGAACAAGGAAATAAGACGGAGAACAGGAGTGACAGATGCCATAGAAAGAATTATGACCCTTAAGTGGAACTGGGCGGGGCACATAGCTAGAATGTCGGATAACAGATGGACACAGCTAATAATACAGTAGAGACCGAGACAAGAAGCACATCGAAGTAGAGGTCGTCCACCAACAAGATGGTCTGATGACATAAAACGGATCGACAAAAAATTGGATGCAAACAGCACAAAACAGAAATACATGGAAAAGACTGAGGGAGACCTATATCCAGCAGTGGATAGATCCGGGTTAAATGATGATGATAATGAAATGCCCTATAAAAAAAAGATTATATCGATATTAGGAGAACAGGGACACACTCTACCTCGCCTAGAGACCTATCAAGTCATTGATTTATATAAGACACAACAACCCTAGGTCACGGAGAGGAGGAAGTTATACAAATGGTTTAAAACAAAGGTAACAAGATTAAACTAAATAATTTTTTAGAGAATTAAACATGCTTTGAGTTTACTTTTGACATTTAAATTTTACCAAACTTTTCCAACTGTATGACCCTTCGATAATCCAGGTTTCATCCAAATAATATATTTTCCGTGGAATGATGCGAATTTTGCGTATTTCTTTTAAATATTTTTTTTCTCCACACAATAATTTCTTTTTTTTTTCTAACATACTTTTATGATGCGGTTTTCATATAGAAAGTTTATGTTGCGCATAGTCCTGATTAATACTCTATGAGATATCTTGGATAAGAAGTAATCGTTTTCGAGCTCTTGAGAAGAAATTTTTTCAGTGCTGAAATTTCACTTTACACTACTTGTCTCCTCATCCAAAACAATATTTTTTCTATAATTGATGGATTCGACCGTTACTTGATGGAAATTCATTTTATGTAACAATAAAACACTGAAAACTTTGTTTTTACAAAGTTTTCCACAAAATTTATTACAAAATATCACTACAACTGTTTCGGCTGATTGCCTTTCTCAAGTGATCTATTTTTGGCATGCGTTTACACTTTATATTCTTTAATAAAATAGGTTGGGAGGGAGAACTGTTTGTCTCAAGTTGGTCATCAGAATTATATCTGTGTTTTTAGTTTCCATAGATTCTAACAAAGATAGCTTAAGGCTTTTATTTTGAATGTGAAAAATTTTAAATTCTTCATTAAAAGAATGATTATGATCTAGAAGATGAAGTGCATATGTAAAATCTGTTTTTTCTATTATTGAAAGCCCTTTTATGTTCTGCTATTCGTTTATTAAAATTTCTACCAGTTTGACCGATGTAAGTTTTGGGTTTTTGTTTTTAAGTCTTAAAACTTATTTATATTTATCAGACTTAAAAACAAACATGACTTGTTCATACTTCATAGTAGCTTATAAGCTACTACGTGAATGCTTCTCTTACCTAAACCAGAGGCAATCAAAATTTTGAATCTAATTTTCCACAGTATGGAGTTTTATCAGAAACTGTCAGTTTACGAGGCATTTGACAATTTGCTTTCCAATAACTTTCATCATGTGGCATTTACTTGGAATCTAAATTTTAATGGTAATGTTAAGCAATTAGATTATAATACTACATATTTTGACTATCGTAATGAAAAGTTTACAGGTCTAAACAATTATTTTTTTTCAGTTGACTGGGATCCTATTTTTGATGATTCAAATATTAACCTTTCAGTAAATAATTTGTATGAAGTAATCTTTAAAGCAATATCATTTTTTGTTCTAAAAAAACATATAAAGCTTACTAAACATATTCAGTCAGCAGCTGATGACACCTTATTTTCAGATCTTAAAAACACAATGCAAAACATTAAAAGATAAATGCTACAGATCTTATATCTCCAACATTAAAGAATCTATTCACTCAGGTTAAAAACAATTTTGGAATCATGTAAGCTCCTTGATTTGAATGATTTGTCAGCATAAACAAGTTTATCTAAACCGTTACATGTATTATTTAATTTATCTTTGAGACTGTACACCTTGACTAGGAAGTAGCGTGATAGTTATATAACTCCAGGATTCAAAAACGGTGACAGGAGACAATATAAAAAAAATTATAGGCCTGTTGTTATAGTTATCTGCTATCCCTAAAACTTTTTGAACCATTGTAAAAGATTGGTAATCTTTACAATGGTCTCCAGTTTAATAAAGATAACTGTAATTGTTATACTTATCCTTTAGTAAATCTAAAAAAGTAATGTTGTGTTTGACTATCACATTATACAAGCCTTCTCTCACGAGTGACAGAAATAAGAGATTTGTTATTTGATAGTTCAAAATATCTCGAGAGTTCTCGAGAGAACTCTCGAGATATTTTGGTACCCCACTTATAGAATTTTATATCTTACTTTCGTTCGTTGCAACCTACCTCATGTTTCTATAGTATGGTCACTTGAAAAAATTCAAAATAAGTTTCTCCGGATTTGTGCTTATAGATTAAACTTAAAGAACATGTCTCATAGAACTAAGGTCAAGGCTAAATATAATGGTGGAGAGGATAAGTTTATTACCAAACATTCCACATTTTAGAGAGGCATAGTTCAACACCTGATTGCTTCAAAATATTTTAGGATCACTGAAGCAATAAAACACTTAAATTGCTTTTTTCCTTCGATTTATTGATATTGAACTTAAAGGCTGATTCAATACTTTGATAAATATCGCAAATCTGATAGTGACAAAGAGTTATAAAAATATCATTAGCTTTACAGTGCTGGGGGAGCAACAAAGATATAGAGTATTCAGAGAAACAAAACTGGTATACAATTTAACACAAAACACTGGTTCTACATGTTGACGCATCTATAACTCACACACTTTTCATGCAAGTGCCAATATACCCAGTTTTTACATGCCAGAAGGCAACTTTACATGGTGGAGAAAGTAGAGAGAGATAATATGTGGGAGGTGGTCACAGATACATTAACACGAGAGCTGAGCGCACAAGATGGTAAAACTACAGAACTAAATGTGATCTAGTTTTTCTCTATAAACTACTTGACCATACCACTGACTGTTCTGATTTATTAAGTCTTATCAAACTTTAGATGTAGTTACTAAAATTTTTACAGACATACTTTTGTTTTCTATAAAACAGTAACACACTAACTATGGCAAATTCTCTCCCATTAATTTTTAATGGGAGAATCCTTTTAATCTTTAGTCAATCTTATGATCTGGTGGATATAAAATCTGCAAGATTTAAGTAGTGTTCGACTGAGTAGGTCAGGGTTTTCGAAGATGTGTTACCTTTAACTTGGAGTATTAATTTCATTTTAATAAGATTATCAGGAAAATTTCATCTATTTTAATTTAATCATTTAACAATATTTAATCATTATTTAATATTTAGTTTTAGTATTTTTGTTAGTTATTCTATTTTTAATAAATCTTTGTGTAAAAATGGAGGCATTTATAAAAACCTGGATACTGTACATTCCCTAATGACAATAAGGCCATAAAATAAAGATTTACTGTTTTTTCTAATGCAAATAGTAATATTGGGTATACCTATTCTCCTTCTTTTGGATTAAAACCCTGTTATAAATCTATCTGTCTATTTCAATTCTTATATACAGTTTGGTTTTCCAGTTGTCATATACATAATAAAACTATTACAAAACACTTACATTTGCATCTGGAATATGAACTACTCCAGTAGCAGAAACATCTTCTTCCCATGGTATGTCTCCAGTTGGATCTCTCATGAAATTGGTCATAGAACTGACAGTAAACTTCCTATCATAATCTTTATGAAAATCGCCATCTTTGTAGTGTTTTATAACATATGGATCGTCTGTTGATATTTTTAGTTTTTTGCACATCTTTTTGGCATCTCTATAAAAATTAAAAAGTATGTGAAAATAACAGTATAACAATCAGGGCCGGTTTTAACGTTTTGAGCGCACGGAAAAAACAAAAATTGGCACCGTTATATAAGATAATAGGGTGCCAATATTATAAGTAAAAATTTATTAAAAAATAATATAATCTTTATTTATTTACAAGTGATGCAATATATGAAATCACATAATGAACATATTTAGGGCTAGAGTGAACTTTGAATGCACTCAAAGAAATGAAATGTATGACAAATAAAAAATAATTTAAAAATATTTTTTCAAGCTTTTAAATCTGCAAACTTTTGTATGTATTCCATCAAATTTATAATTTTTCCAACTTCTTTCTCTATGGACAAAATTGCCAAGCTATTTAATCTTTTATTTGTTATTGTTGATCTGAAATATTTTTTAGTAAGTTTCAATTTAAGTACTGAAACTATGTTAGCAACCTGTAATAGTTACAAGAATTATTAGCAATGTTCTTAAAGTTTTCCAGAGTACAATTACATACAGGTGGTGAATCCTCAAACAGGCCATAGGAAACTCAATGGGAAATTTTAAATTGTTCAATTGCTGCTTCTCTAATTATTTTAGATCAAAAGTCATAAAAAACTATTTGTAGAGGACTAAAATCTAAATTCAAAACAAATGTTAAAACCGTTCTATGAATTAAATGTAAGCATTTCACAATTTGGCAAAAATATGATACATTTTTCAGGCCACCCCTAAAAGTTAGGCCAAACGTAGGGCAAGAATGTATATTATGACATATGTGATTTATCAAATTTGTCAGATGTTTGAGAATATTTGAATTGTCAATTTTTTTATTTTATGATTAAATTATAAACAATGAATTTTACTAAATACTACTACTACTGAACAACAAATATTACTTTGTGAACAATAAATTATATTGTTTACAAATTAATAAATATAATGAAATGTACTCAGTTGACGAAAAATTGCATACTGTTGTATTCAGGCAATAGTGCGAACCTTTTCTTTGACTAAGTTGCGAGCACTACCAGATATCTTTATTTAACGTAAGATATTCTAATACACTAAAATTTAATTCCAAGTTTTACAACAATTCAATGAATTCCAATATAGTGTTACTGTAATCCTTATTCCTAGAAGTAATTTATGCTATTTATAAACATAAAACTATAACAAATGTTATAATAAAACATGAATAAAACATTTTTATTATTGCTTTTCTCCTCAACTGAGTACATTTTTTAATCAACTTAATTTTTTTTAAACAGTAGATCACATTGGCCATTTAAATAATAGATAAATATATTATAGTTGATTTAAATATTGTCAAATATCAGAAACATCAATACGACAAAAGGCAACACGTAATACACATTTTTTCACAGCACCTGGCCTGACTTTTAGGGGTGGCCTGAAAAATGTATTATATTTTTGCAAAATTTTAGAATATGTTTAAATTGTAGAACAATTTTAACATTTGTTTTCAATACATATTTGAGTCCTCTACAAATAGTTTCCCATGACTTTTGGTGTAAAATAATTAGGGAAGCAGGAATTGAATAATTTAGAATTTCCCATTGGGTTTCCTATGGCCCATTTAACGATTCACCAACCTGTATATTTAATATGGATACTGCAATGGAGAGAATAAAACATCTCTTCACATGTGCAACACAGAATGACAACTCCTTTGTTGTTCTGTCAAGATAACCAATCTAATTTACATGTTTGGGGATCAGGATAGCCTACATTTCAAATCATTAATCAATTGTTTTATTATCTTATATAATGAGTGGCCTATGGATTCTTCAATTTCTTGGTAGATAATAAAATACTTCTTGATTTTTAAGTTGCTTCCATTAATACTCACAAAACATAACATAAATGAAAGTTGTTCCTTATATCTACTAATATCAGGAGTACAATTCAAATGAATACTCAAATATTTTACTTTACGGAAAAAATATTTTATTTTTTTGTCAGCACCTCTCAAAATTTGGCACCCCAGGCAGTCACCTGGCCTGCCTGCCCCTTGATCCGGCACTGGTAACATATAAGTTTTGTATATGTTTCTAAATATTAAATTTTTTCTGTTGATTTTCCAGTCTGTTCTTTGTATAAGTTTTTCTTCATCCTATAATCAAGTCACTTGACAACATTCTTCATATCAGCCTTTAACTTTTTATCAGTCTTCCATATTCATCAACCTACAATTGTATTATATTTTATTTTTGGAATTACATGACTCCCCATTTTTCTACATTTTATTACATACTTATATCAATCACATCATCAAATTAATGTATTGTAATATTGCCAATCTTTTGATGACAGAAACTTAATTGCTTTTTGGTTCTAATAATTATAAGTTGTTTTTGGGGCATTATAAATACACCTACTTATACCTATCTTTTACAAGTGTTAGCTGTAGGAAAGATGGAAACTTGCACTACTCTTGTACTACCTATTTTTTTGTGTAATAATACTACTTGATGTTACTAATAATTATTAATTCCTACCCTGAACAATCGATGAGAGCCATAGTCCCTTCTCCTTTAATATTTTCTGTAACGTCTTTAAACACTTTGATAACATTTTGGGACTGTTTATAGTTATTATAGAAACAAATTAAGACATTAGTTTTAGTCCTGAGTAACTTTTTAAAGTCTTTAATGTCAGCTATATTTTCTATTATTAATTTTTTGTTGTTTCTGGAAGAACATCTTGCTATGTGGCAACTAATAATCTGAAAAAATGAAAGTTTTAGAACACTACAATTACCGGCTTGACAAAAATTGTACTTACAATGATACAAATTACAAAAAACAGACTTCTCATGACACTAAATTTAGGCACATTTATAATACATATAAAAATGGAAATTGTTCTATTTAATTAAATAAGAAAACATTTAATTTAAGTTCATTACACCCACATATTTACAATAACTATGTGGCAAAAATTTAAGTTTACATTTACATACACATAAAAAACAGGTTATAAAATTTTGACAAATTGTTGACAGTGAAGCTTCTTCATAGGTAGGCATTTTTTCAACATTTAATCAGTTTTAAAACGTAGTCTTCATTTTCGAACTTTTGCAAAACGGTAAACATTTTTTACTCTTATATTTTATTTAAAAAAGATATAATTAATATTTTTCATGTGTTGATTAGTCATAACATAAACACATTTAAAGTGGATATCGTAAAAACACAGATTAATAAACAATCAGAATGCCCACTCTGCTTGAAAAAATAAGTAACCGCATCACAGTATAGTGCGTTTACTGTGACCGCATGTCATTCGCGCAGATTGATAGAACATGAATATTTTGTCTCAAGAGAGTATGCAACCCAAATGTTTCATATCCGTTATGGTGGTTGTCTGAACTTAATTTCAGTGCACATGTTGATTAACTGTAGCGGAAGGCGTTTGTGGCGATACTTATCAAAAGTACACTCTTATTAATGCATTGTTGAAGTTTTTGTTTTAATTTGAAGAGTTTAGATTGTGTAACTAAATTTAAACATACAGCTCTCACCATACAATTTCAGGTAATTCTATGTATGTTGCCTTAATTTATGTTTTACTCTCAATATTTTAAATATTGACATTATTGTCAATATTAACTGTCAATATTTTAAAATATTTAACCAAAGTTATTTCCGTGACTCTGAGTAGCGAGTAGGAACTCCTTGGAGTCCCTTGGATTCTATTGGATAGTCCTATCAGGGAAAGTGAATCAATCCCTGCCCCCCGCAGATTCCAGGAATTTCTTGACCCAGGAAGCTAGCACTTGCTAAGGGTGCCTTGTCCAGGGTCACGGATGAAGTCCAGAACGGCATCCAAGGCGACGAAGAATACTTCCGGAACCCATGATTTTAGGGGTAGTATGAGATCACAAACCTAGGAGCGTCTTAACCGGATCGGGCGGCTTCAAACAGCATCAGTACTCACAATGAGCGGCTGAATTAAAAACTCACCAACCCGCCTTGCCAGCGTGGTGTTTCAAGGCAAATAACTCCCAACAAAATTTCATATTTTAAAACCAAAGTATATCGAGAAATCGAAACTCTCACATTGATTTATCAGTCTGTCCCAAGGATTCTGGGGGGACAAAAAACTGACGACGCGAAAGACGAAAAAACCTTTAACACTCTTTATCTGTACCTACAATGCCAGAACATTATTATCTTGAAGAAAAATTCACTGAAATGGAAATCGAGATGTCAAAAGTAAAATGGGATACCATTGGAGTCAGTGAAGTAAGACGACATGGAGAAAACCTGACAACACTAAAATCAGGGCATATATTTTACAGTATAGGTAGTGAAACCGAATCAATTGGGGGAATCGGTTTCTTTATACACGAAAGACTTGCAGATGACATAGTAATTACAAGAAGTATATCGACAAGAATAGCCTATTTAATCGTAAAGCTAAACCAAAGGTATGAAATAAAGATTATTCAGGTATACGCACCAACAACGGACCATCCAGATGAGGAGATTGAAGACTTTTACGATGACATCTCTGCGACACAGAAAGAAACACCAACACATTACACGATTATATGCGGCGACTTTAACGGAAAGATCGGTCTAAAGCAGGATGAACAGGAAACAGCACTAGTAAATTTGGATCCAAAGGCAGAAACGAACGTGGACAAACACTACTAAAATTTCTATTACAACAAAATATATACCAGATGAATAGTTTCTTCTCTAAAAAAGATCACAGAAGATGAACGTGGAAAAGCCTAGATGGTAAGACCAAAAACAAGATAGACCATATAATACCCGACAAACAATATACATTCAACGATGTCACAGTCCTTAATAGCTTTACCACAGGCAGCGATCATAGAATGGTAAGAGCCAAACTAAAATTAGACTTAATAACAGAAAGATCCAAAATGATTAGGAAGAAAGCCAACCCAATATGGAACGACCCAACGAATTTAAATGAATATCAAGGCAACATCAATAAAATCCTACAACAAAATAAATGCATGAATAATGTAAATTGCCCAAACGAAAATATGGTAGAAGCTATTCGAGAGGCTCAAGTAAAATGCTGCCCTAAAAGACGCCAAGACAAAAAAAAATAACCATTGAAACAAAGCAACTAATGGAAACCAGAAGCAATAAGCAAAAGAAAAGAAAGCATTGACGAAGAAGAACTGCGAAAAATAAATAAAAAGGTATCAAAAGCTATAAGGAAAGATTTAAGGAAACTTAAGAATGAAAAAGTCCAGCGAACTATAGAAGAAAATCAAAGTCTGAACGTCCTGAGAAGACGACTAAACAATGGAAAATGCGAAATACACAAACTAAAGAACAAAGAAGGAGTCCTCATATAAAATAAAGAAGAACTACTACACATAGTTGAAGACTTCTATCAAGAACTATACACAAGCCAAAGATAAGATCAAAAGAACTTGGAAGCCACCGCATCACGCAAAATTATCAATTAGGGTTCAGAGCTCATGCCAGAGATCACACTAAGCGAAATCCAGGACGTAATGAAAAAGATGAAACAAAGCGCCAGGAGAAGATAGAGTCGCAATAGAAGCTATAAACATGGGCAGACGTGCCCTTCTCAACCAAATAAAAATGTTGTTTAACCTTTGTCTAACAGATTGTTGCATACCAAAAACATGGAACAATGCAGTAACAATTTTACTACACAAGAAAGGATATAAGGAGCACCTAGAAAACTATAGACCAATCAGCTTATTGAACCACATTTATAGAATGTTTACCCGAATAATAAAGACAAGACTAGAGACAAAGTTAGATTTCTACCAGCCTCGAGAACAAGCTGGTTTCGCCTCAAAATTCGGAACAAACGATCACCTTGTAGCGTTATAACTGCTACATTGCCTGCTTTCTTTCTTATGTTAATATATTTCATTAATTCTATTCTCCAATTTCCGTATCTTCTGTCATAATTCATATTCTTCTATATCCTCCATTGTATCTCTTATTTTTCTATATATTTTCTCGGATATAGATTGTATCAGAATTATGTCGTTACTTAATTGATTCATTATTCTCTTTTCATTTTTACTGGTATTTGGTATAAAAACCAGTTGGTGTCCAAATCTATCTTCTTTATGTATATATTTTAGTATCTACCTTTCCTATTTTCTTAATAATCATCATTTTTATCTTTTACTCAAGTTTCTAAAGAGTGAATTTTATTTTCATCTCTATTTCTGTTACTTTGGAACGAGAGGTCCCATCTTTATTTTCTGTCGACATATTTCTCCTTCCCGTTCAATACAAAAGTCGATATAAAGACTTCTATTTTCTAAAAATGTCGATTTTCTTCATGACTTCTCTAAGAGTAGAATAACCAATTGTTGTGTCGTCTCCAGATTTGGAGTCAACCTAACAAACAGTAAAAACCTAAAAAACCGAAAAGTCGCTAGAATATAACAGACCACTGGTACTTATCTTCGTAGACTTCCACAAAGCCTTCGACACTGTGCAAATAGACAGCATTATAACTGCTCTGAACAATAGTAGAATAGATTACCGGCTTACAAAGTTAGTACAAACATTATACCAAAACGCCACAATGCGTGTAAAACTACATGATAGCACCAGAGAAGTTCATATCAAGCGAGGTGTGAGACAGGGCGACACTCTCTCACCTAAATTATTTATAACGGTCCTAACATAAAAGTGGGAAAATAGAGGAATAAAAATAAAAGGAGAAATGCTCAATCATCTGCGTTTTGCCGACGACATAGTACTTATTACCGAAGATCTGGTTGAAGCACAACAAATGATACAAGAATTAGAAAACATATCTTCAACAATAGGTCTAAAAATGAACATCAGTAAGACCAAATTTATGACAAATTTAATTCCCAGCGAACACCTCATCATCATCATCATCATCATCATCCAGCCTCTATTTATCACGTCCACTGCTGGACATAGGCCTCCCTTAAACTCCTCCATTCCTCACGATTTTGTACTCTCTGTTGCCAATTTTTAGTGATACGCCTGATGTCGTCGGCCCAACGTGTAGGTGGTCTTCCTCTACTGCGTTTTTTCTGCTCTTGGCCTCCAATTTGTAATTTTGCTCGTCCATCGTGAATCGTGCATTCTCACTACATGGCCTGCCCAGTTCCATTTTAGTTCCGCTATGCGTTCCACAACATCAGTAATACTCGTCCTTCTTCGCAGATCTTCGTTTCTTATTCGGTCCCTCAACGTCACTCCCAGCATAGACCGTTCCATTCGTCTCTGTGCCACTCTCAGTTTCGAAGCCGTGGTCTTGGTTAAAGTCATAGTTTCCGCCCCATAGGTCATGACCGTAATACGCATTGGTCAAACACTTTTCTTTTGAGGCTGATTGGTATGTTGGCCCTAAGTGTGTCTCGCAGTTTTCCAAAGGCTGCCCATGTTAAAGTAATTCGTCTTTGGATCTCACATGTTTGGTTATCCCTGCTGATTCTTATTTCATGACCCAAATACGTATATTTCTCCACCAGTTCTACCATTTTGTCTTGAATAGTCAAATGGTTATTGGGGACCAAATTTGTCATAAACTTAGTTTTGGTCAAGTTCATTCTCAGGCCCACATTCGAACATGCAAAATCCAATTCGTTTAACATATCTGTAGCTTCTCCTAAATTATCTGTGATAAGGACAATGTCATCTGCGAAACGGAGATGGTTAAGCTTTTCGCCGTCTATCGTTACTCCTCTGTGGTCCCAATTGATCATCTTAAAGGCATATTCTAATGCCGTTATGAATAATTTCGGCGACAATGTATCTCCTTGCCTTATTCCACGATTTATTTTTATTGGTCGGGTTTTATTGTCTATTTTAACAGTCATAGTGGCATTTTTTGTAAATATTATAAATAAGTTCACTATACCTATGGTCAATCCTGCTGTCATTCATTGCTTCTATAAGGCTGTCTAATTCGATCGCGTCGAACGCTTTATGAAAATCTATGAAAGTGAGA